TAGGAAACCTTAAAGCAGTAAATCAAGCAATACAAAGAGCAGGGCGTCTACGTGGTAAGTCTCTTCATAGTATACTTTCAGTACTCCAAAGTTGGTCCCATTGCTTGAATTTCCAGTAAGCCAGCCTGATGTTTGGCTTTAATTAGGCTCCAGACCTTTCTTTCTTTCTTATTTGGGAGGAGGGATGTACTAGGGCACTGGTATGATACAGGTGAATCATGCCTTCAACCCTCGTTTTCACTGGTTATTTTTAGGATAGGATCTTGCTTCTTGCCCTGAGCTGCTATGGTTGCTGTGATCACATGTATGGGCCAAGTCCAGCTTCCCTCTGCAGAGACAAAGTCTCATGGACTTTTCAGCCCAGGCTGGTTCGGAACCATGACCCTCTTCCCATCCTTAGCCTCCCTAAAGGCTAGATACAGGCATGAACCACAGGCACTTGGTCTCCAGACACTTTTATAGAGAAGGAAAGCTTTTAGGCCTTTTTTTCCCCCCTAAGATCTTACTGCATCCTTTAAAGAAAACAGTGCATATACCCCAAAGAAAGTATATAGCCTTAAAAGCACCATTTTAATGGAGCTTTCTGAACATTGATGAGTTAAGTGCACAACTTAAAAGTTCTAGTTTGAGATGTTCTCTGTGTTTGTTTTGTGATAAATTGCCTCACAAAGTTCTCAAACAGTGAGAATAGCAAAATTTGTATATGCAACTCTTTTTTTACCCTACTTTTATATTGTTTCAAGAGACCACTCATTTACATTTTTAAAAACTTAAAATTTCTTCTCTTTTCTTTTTTGTTGATGTGGTATGGTGGAATTGAACATCAAGGGCCTCATGTATGCTAGGCAAGCATGAAGCCACTTTCCTAGTCCCTAATAATTTAATTTTTAATAATCTTGGGGAGTACTGAAACTTGATGCTTCTCATACAGTTGGAAAACCAAAGAACCAAGTGATCACTGCTTGTCGGGATGCCATCCGAAGCAACAACATCAACACACTGTTCAGAATCATGCGGGTGGGTACAGCGCCTTCGTAGAAGATGAGGCAATAGGAAAAGGAACAGTAACTTGGAAAAGTTTTCTCTATCTAAACATCTATACTGTTTTGCCATGCATAAATCCTGGTGACCTCTGGGCACTGTGGGTGAAATGTTGGTGAGTATACAGACCAAAGACAAAGCATTACATTTCTATCTTCTGTCATAGCACCATTGCTGATAGCAGTAGATTTGTATGAGGGAGTGTGAATACCTCGGAAACATCAGGGCTTCAGAAGCTCAACTTTTAATGTAAAATCGCTGTAAGACTAGGTCCTTTTTCTTGACATTGTAATTCAATAAGTGGATTGTTTACTTTTTCATTAAAATTAAAAGGCATTAGTCTTTTTTGTTGACTCATTGTAACATCACCATATCAGAATTGCACAAACGATCTACATCTTACAGAGGGAAAAATTTGAAGCCAGCCTGGTTGGTGAGACTGGTCTGAAAAATTCTTTTTTCATTAAACTTTCTTCTTGAAAATACACAAAACCATGCACTAGTCTTGGCCTATACTGGGTTATGCTGATCCATGTCACTGTCTCCCACTTGCACATTCTGTTTCACTGGAAGTCTTCTGGGGCAGTAATATGCACAGAACTATTTTTGCCTAACCAGCATCTTCTTCTGGAATCTCTTTTCAAGGACTTGGCTAGGCAACTCTTCTGTAATAAAGTGTAGTATTAACACATCAGTTAGGTACTGTATGAACTTGCATGTGCTATTTTTACTTTGTACTGTGGAGACTACAACCAACTGCTAGTCTTTCAGCTCCCTTAGTTTAATGGGCCCATAGGCAGGTTTAAGGTCTATCCTTGACTGGCACACCAGCATGTGGTGCATGACTTCTGAGACAAAGCAGCTTCTTAATCACAGTTATATCAGCCTTCATTGTTGTGTACATGATATAACCGACAGCAACATCGGAATGGGGCCCTTTGGGATTCTGTCCCCAGATACCCAAATCTGTGCTCACAAAGATTCTGTTGTTATCTGGGTGCTGGTGGCTCATGCCTGTAATCCTAGCTACTCAGGAGGCTGAGATCTGAGGATTGTGGTTCAAAGCCAGCCTGGGCAGGAAAGTCTGTGAGACTCTTATCTCCAATAAACCACCAGAAAACCAGAAATGGCACTGTGGCTCAATTGGTAGAGCACTCGCCTTGAGCAGAAGAGCTCAGGGACAGTGTCCAGGCCCAGAGTTCAAGTCGCATGACTGGAAAAAAAAGATTCAGTTGCTGACAGACACCATAGGGATAGAGATAAAGGAGAAACAATTACAGTTTCACATGTAGGTCTAAGACTTAAACCTAGCCCTCCAGAATCTGAAAAGTGGCCTTTCATTGGTACTGAGAGTCTGAATCTCAAACTTCTCAAATGTCTTCAAGCTTGGCACACTTGATGGTGTCACTGTCCAACACTTCCCTGAGACTTCCCGGGGTTAAGCCAATGACAGTGTTACCTCTCCCCTTATTTTTATTCCCTAACTCATGAAAACAGAAAGTAAGTGTGGCTTCAAGTGTGGCTCAGTGTTAGAGGACTGGCCTAACATTGAACCTGGGTTCCATCCTTAGTGCCCCCCAAAAACAGGACAATAAAAAAACAAAACAAAAAAAAAAAACCAGTATGACAAAGATGATTCCTGGTCTGTAGGAATTTAAAAAAGGGAATCTTCAAAATGAACATTAGCAAAATATCTGCTAATCCCACTTGAGTGTAACTACACCACACCATGGTTAAAAACTGTCTCCAAAACAGTATGCCGGGTACATATCTATTAGCATGTGTTATGTGGGAAGACAACCAGAACTAAGCTTGGGTATTCTTGGTTAAAAACTAGTATTTGTAACAAAATTCTGTTTTATAGTATCACTATACATATACAAGTTATAAATATTCATATAGCATATATATGTATGCTAAATAAAATAGGTTTTCCTGATGAGGAAGGGGTAGTTAAAATAAAAAAACACATCAGTCTAAGAGCAAAATTATTTAAATGTAAAGTTCAGAAAAGAATTATTCCTCACAAGTTTTTTTTTTTTTTTTTTTTGTTGATCGTGGGGCTTGAACTTTGGGCCTAAATGCTGTCCCTCGGCTCTTCAGCTCAACACAAGCGCTCTACCACTTGAGCCACTGTGCCACTTCCAGTTTTCTGAGTGGTTTATTGGAGATAAGAGTCTCACAGTCTTCCCTGCCTGGGCTAGCGTTGAACCGTGATCCTCAGATCTCAGCCTCCTGAGTAGCTAGGATTACAGGCATGAGCCACAGGCACCCGGCTTCCTCAAAAGTTTTAAGATATTAGGAAGAGAAGACAAGAAGTTTAAAGGTGCAACGTTTTTCCTATTTATTAGTGAAACGACTCTACATACAAATGATAGCAATGGCAAGAAACAGGAGGAAGAGAAATGTGTGAGTAGTGTGAGAACAGCATGTTTCCTCCACATTTGTAAACCCCTCCTCCATTAGGAGGCATAAGACAAGCATTTTTGAGGAAAGAATTAGTCTTGTGCCTGGCAGGGATGTGTTCTTTTACTTGAGCCTTTGGAATTTTGGTTTAGTTTCTTAGCAGCTGATCTCTTAAAGGGAAAAAAGGCAAGTCCTATAGTTGATCTTTCAGCATTCAGGAAAACAAAAGCCATACATGAAGCTAAGACTCAAGGAATCATGGAAAAGCCCCATCATGAAGGCAATGGGCAAACAGCCACATATGGCAGCACTAAAAGCCTGTCTTCTTTATCAACTTCTGTCTTCTTGGTGCTAGGTGGTTTTCAGCCAGACCTCCAAGGGTACAATGCTACCCATCATGAGTCTACCCTAAGTCACTGGAACAGACCACATGCAGTGGGACAGAGATAATAATGATAATGAGCCAAATTATATCAGAACTTGTAGGCCCAGAAGGATGAGAATTAAGGTTCTGTGATTTTTCTAGGCCAGTATGACTGGGAAGAATAGAATCTATAATCACTTTGCATAAAAAAGAAAAATCACTGGAAACACTATGGAGGAATTTGGAGGGAGGTAAGTCAATCAGTCACAAAAGGACAAAGACTACATAAAAAATTACACTGAGGATGAATACTCATAGTCAACCAAGAATAGTAGAGATGAGACGGAAGAGTGGGGAGTTACTGTGCAATAGGCACATTTTCATTTGGGAAGATGGAAATATTGTGGATACTGATAGTTATTGTACAACAATGTAAATGTATTCAATATTACTGAGTTGTACACTTAAATTGGTTAAATAGAAGGGATAATTCTGATTGAAGTTAAAAACAAATGATTAAACTGGCCAGGTATGGTGGTACATACTTATAATCCCAGCACTCGGGAGGTTGAGGCAAGTGGCAAAGCCAGTTTGGGCTAAACAGCAATTTTACCCCCTCTCCCCACAAAATCCCTGAAGTTTAAAAAAAAAAAAAATCTGAAGCCGATGCTGGTGGCTCATGTCTGTAATCCTAGCTACTCAGGAGGCTGAGATCTGAGGATTGCAGTTCAAAGCCAGCAAGTCCGTGAGACTCTTTATTTGCAATAAACCACCAGAAAACTGGAAGTGGTGCTGTGGCTCAAGTGGCAGAATGCTTACCTTGAGCTGAAGAGCTCAGGGGTAGCACCCAGGCCCAGAGTTCAAAACCCATGATCCACCTCCTCCCCCCCCCCACACACACAAAAAAACCCTTCTGAAGATGAAAATAAATCCTCTCTTTTAAACTAAAAGATAAATACACAGTGCCCAGCTCAGACAACATTTTGTTTTATTTAAAGACAACTTTTCCCTGTGCAGCTCAGGCTGGCCTCTAACTCAAAATCTGCCTCAGCCTCCTGCCTGAGTGTTGTAATTATAGACATGTGCCACCAGCCTGATAAAGACAGTCACTTTTGACAAGAGTGTCAACCAGGCCACCTTTACTTCACACACAACTCTTCCCGCCTTCCCAGTACTCACAAAGCCTGACTTTTTTTTTGTCAGTTTGCTCAGTCCTTTTATTCATAATAGACGAATGCAAAGTCCCAGAAACCAGTCCTGTCTGGCAAGGTTTTCTTCCTTTTATTCATAATAGACGAATGCAAAGTCCCAGAAACCAGTCCTGTCTGGCAAGGTTTTCTTTTGTTCTAGGCTTCGGTGGTTAATATACTTGACAAATTTCAGAGTTTCCTGATCTCTGTAGACCAATGCGAGACAATTGTTTTCTGGACTTACTGTTAACAGCTGAAATAGGCAAACACAATGACATATCAGAACACAGCTCATTCTCAGCTCTTCAGTGATTCACCATGGAACAGATGGTTTCCATGGTAAGTGCTTAAGTAGGGGGACAGGGGATCCTTTACCAGAAGAGAAAAAGCTGATTTCTTGCTGTCAAGACAATTTTCTAACAAGCGTACAGCTAACGTCCAGAAGTTTTTTGTTGTTATTGGTTGTGGGGCTTGAACTCAGGGCCTGGGCTCTTTTGCTCAAGGTGAGTGCTCTACCACTTTGAGCCACAGTGCCACTTCTGGTTTTCTGGACTTTACTGCTTGGGCTGGCTCTGAACTGCAGTCCTCAGATCTTAGCCTCCTGAGTAGCTAGGATTATAGGCATGAGCCACCAGCACCCGGCCCCAGGAAAGTTTTAACTATTGCTTTATTTCTACACCAAAAGATTTGTGGAGATATATTATGAGCATCTTAACTTGTTGCTTTTCGATAAGATAGGATAAGTGGTGATTAATTCTTAGCATCCTTCCTCCATTCTTAGTATTTTCTTTCTTTTTTTTTTTTGCCAGCCCTGGGGCTTGAATTGAGGGCCTGGGTGCTGTCCGTGAGCTTCTTTTTTTGCTCAAGGCTAGCACTCTACCACTTGAGCCACAGCATCACTTCTGGCTTTTTCTGTTTATGTGGTGCTGAGGAATTGAACCCAGGGCTTCATGCATGATAGACAAGCACTCTACCACTAAGCTACCTTCCCAGCCCACTTAATATTTTCTTATAGAAATCAGAACCACTGTCAGGCATGCCTGCATGGATGGATTTATAGGCTGCAGCTTCTGGATGAGTTCTCTGAAGAATGAAAGCTTTGTCAAGAACTGAAAGTGGAGTGTACAATCAGAAGAAACGTACCTCTTCATCTTCACCTTTGGCAATGTAGGAAGTAAAGCCACCATATTCTGGCTCCCACCCTGAGAAGAGGAAAACAAACATCACTCAGCCGTCACCAGCTCCATGACTTGTGTGCTAGTTCCTAAATGCCTCATTTCCCAAACAGCTACACTGGAGTATGGTTGTACCTCAATTACCATTGAATAAGAGAATTAAGATAACTGTATGTTAGCCAGGCACTACTGGCTCATGTCTGTAATCCTAGTTACTCAGGAGGCAGAGGATTGCAGTTCAAATTAACCATCAAAAAGGCCTGAAGTAGAGCTGTGGCTCAAGTGGCTCACTAGCCTTGAGTAAAGAAGCTCAGGGATAGCACCCAGGCCCTGAGTTCAAGCCCCAGAAATGGCACAAAAAAGAAAAAGAATTAAATGTTAAATATTTCCAGAAGGATATATTTATATAAAAATTGTGGAGCCTGGAAACTGGAGACAATTATGGTTTGGTCGATCTCCCAACCCCCAGTAATAAATAAAAAACTCTAATATCTTTTTTAAATGTGAGATTCTGGGATCTGAGATCTTGGTCATAACAAATTATTCCTAATTGTTTTAACTGGGAGAGATTGCTCTCCCTCTGAGGAGTCCTTCACTCCTATCCTTACTCTCTCCCTCTTACCCTCACAGCCACAGTAGAAAAGTAAGTCCAAGGCAAATTCAGTCTTGCTGTTGTCATGGATTAAGGTGTAGTGACCAGGCTTCCAATGCCTCAGTTCTCCTTGGCATGTGGGAACACTTGACTCTAAGGAAAAAAAAAAAAAAAGAAAAAAAGAGCTAGAACAAATTTTAAGTAAACTTGGATAGAAATGCCATACTCAAGCGAATTATAATTAGGAATGACATGTCACTGGGGAAAAGCCTTCCCATAAACCTCATTTAACCAGCTGGTCCCTAACTAGTCCTTTTTTTAAAAAAAATTAATTTATTTTTATTGTAAAAATACTGTACAGAGGGGTTACAATTACAAGGGCAAGATAATGAGTACATTTTTTTTTTTTTTTTTTGCCGGTCATGGGGCCTGAATTCTGGGCCTGGGCACTGTCCCTCAGCTCTTCAGCTCAAGGATAGCGCTCTACCACTGGAGCCACAGCACCACTTCCGGCTTTTTCTGTTTATGTGGTCCTGAGGAATCGAACCCAGGGCCTCATGCATGCAAGGCATGCACTCTACTGCTGAGCTAGGTTCCCAGCCCCATGAGTACATTTCTTATCAAGCATTGTTGCCTCCTTCTTTGTTTCCTCTTCCCATCTCCCACCCTCCCCGCCCCCACTAACTAGTCTTATAAATGACTGCTAGAAATCAGGAAAAAGGTGGAATTTCAATTTCTTTGTAGTAAGTAGAAAAGGTGGAGTAGAGATTTAACTACAAACGAATGAATAAATAAAGCATGAAAGGCAGAGACAGATCTAACTACTAAAACTTCATTTCTTTCTTCTGGACTATACTGGGATTTGAGCCTGATCAGGGGCTCATTCTTGCTAGGCAGACACTCTACTACTTGAGCCACTTTGCCAGTTCCTTTTCTGTGTTGTTTTCAAGACAAGGTCTGGCTTTTAAAACTGTGTCAGCCTGGTCTATGAACCTTCTATTTGTGCTTCCCTTTGTTGGCCGAATGACATGCTATAGCACCCAGTCATTGATTGAGATGGAGTCTGTCAAACTTTTATGTCTAGGCTGGCCTTAAACTGTGATTCCTGATCTCTACCTCCAAGGATTAGACTTGAGCCATTGTACCTGGCAGACAGAGAGAGAGAGAGAGAGAGAGAGAGAGAGACAGACAGACAGACAGACAGACAGACAGACAGACAGACAGACAGACATATGCACATTAGTCCTGGAGCTTGAACTAAGAGCCTAGACACTGAACTTTTTTGCTCAAGGCTAGCCCTTTACCACTTGAGCCACAGGTCACTTTTGGCTTTTTTGCTGGAGATTAGAGTCTCATGGACTTTGCTGCACAGGCAGGTTTTGAACTGTGATCTCAGCTTCCTGAGTAACTAGAATTATAGGTGTAAACCACCAATGCCTGGCTAATACTAGGTTTTAAATTCGACATCATCTGCTCGTTAGATGGGCACACTACCGCTTGAGCCATACCCCCAGCTCTTTTTCCTTTTATTTTTGGATAAGATCTAGAGTTTTTGTCTGAATTGGCCTGGACCACGATTCTATCCTTACACGTGTCTGGGATCACAGGTGTGTGTGTGTGTGTGTGTTTAGAGTCTTGCTAAACTTGGCTGGGCTGGCCTGGAAACTATGATCCTCCTGATCTCTGCCACCTGGGATCACAGGTAGGGAGGGTGTGTGCGTGCGTGCGTGCGTGCGTGTGTGTGTGTGTGTGTGTGTGTGTGTGTGTGTGTGTTTAGAGTCTTGCTAAACTTGGCTGGGCTGGCCTGGAAACTGTGTGTTTAGAGTCTTGCTAAACTTGGCTGGGCTGGAAACTATGATCCTCCTGATCTCTGCCACCTGGGATCACAAGTAGGGAGGGGTGTGTGTGTGTGTGTGTGTGTGTGTGTGTGTGTGTGTGTGTGTGTGTGTGTGTGTGTGTGTGTGTGTGTGCCTGGAAACTATGTGTGTGTGTGTGTTTAGAGTCTGTGTGTGTGTGTGTGCTGGCCTGGAAACTATGTGTGTGTGTGTTTAGAGTCTTGCTAAACTTGGCTGGGCTGGAAACTATGATCCTCCTGATCTCTGCCACCTGGGATCACAAGTAGGGAGGGGTGTGTGTGTGTGTGTGTGTGTGTGTGTGTGTGTGTGTGTGTGTGTGTGTGTGTGTGTGTGTGTGTGTGTGCCTGGAAACTATGTGTGTGTGTGTTTAGAGTCTGTGTGTGTGTGTGTGTGTGTGTGTGTGTGTGTGTGTGCTGGCCTGGAAACTATGTGTGTGTGTGTTTAGAGTCTTGCTAAACTTGGCTGGGCTGGAAACTATGATCCTCCTGATCTCTGCCACCTGGGATCACAGGTAGGGAGGGGTGTGTGTGTGTGTGTGTGTGTGTGTTTAGAGTCTTGCTAAACTTGGCTGTGTGTGTGTGTGTGTGTGTGTTTAGAGTCTTGCTAAACTTGGCTGGGCTGGCCTGGAAACTATGATCCTCCTGATCTCTGCCACCTGAACAACTGAGATTATAGGCATGTGCCTCTGAACCTGGTCTAACACCTTTTCTTTAAGACAATAAACTTGGTAAACTTTTGTATTCTCTACTTTGTTTTAGCTAAGTGCCTTGCATCTGGGAGTGGTTGAATAATAAAGCATCTCTTGATTGCCGATGTAGATTTTCTTCCAAGTAGCAGGTTAGCATGCAATGAACCCAAAAGGAATAGAAGTGAATAAGTAATTTAAGAAAATCCTTGTGGTGGTGGTGGGGGGGGGGGGGGGGGGGGAGGGGGGGAGGCTGGGAAGGGGAAACAAAGGAGGAGGCTACAATGCTTGATAAGAAATGTACTCATTATCTTGCCCATGTAATTGTAACCCCTCTGTACAGTATTTTCACAATAAAAAAAAAATAAAATTAAAAAAAAAAGAAAAGAAAATCCTTGTGGTAACACTTATCTTCACCAGTGCTGGGCACAGGCGCCAATCATCTTGCAAAGTGAGGAGGTCTTAATTATCTATGGGGGTTTCCACCTCGTGCTGCCTCTCCTATTTTATAGGATCTTTATCAAGAAATCAGAGGGGATGATACAACTAGACAGGAATTTGGTGATGGCCATGAAGTGCTGAAACATCTAAGCTCAATTTGTAGTGTGCTCAGTTAATTTTACCAAGGTTTCCCCAAAAACAGAAGCATTTCTTTCTTTCCTCCTTTTTTTGAGACATAGTTTCCTATGTTACACTGTACTCAAATGTAAAGTCTACCTGCCTTTCTCATAAGTGCTGGGATTGTGCCACCACCTCCAGGACGTTCATGTTTTAATGTTCCCTGTGTTTTTTTCTTTCTTTTTTTTTTTTTGTTGGTTGTGGGGCCTGAACTCTGAGCTTGGGCGCTGTCCCTCAGCTCTTGAGCTCAAGGCTAGCGCTCTACCACTTGAGACACAGCAGGGCCACTTCTGGCTTTTTTTGCTTATGTGGTGCTGAGGAATCGAACCCAGGGCCTCATGCATGCAAGGCAAGCACTCTACCACTGACCTTTCCAGCCCCCCTGTTTTTTTGTCTTTCATCTTATCTGAATAAATATCCTCTGGTTGTAATTACTTCCTTTTATCTGTCCAGATTCAAGCACATTTTTCTAGGCTACTACTGGTCTTCAGTAGAAATAAGCTGCTAGCCATCATCTTCTTTATGTACTAGTGGTATTTCTGTCTACTGTTTGTACTATTTTAATCTAATAAAATAAACTGGCTGTTTTCCTACCTAGAGTGCTCCTCTCCATAGATTCTTCTTGTCATTCAGAGCTGAGCTAAAAGTAGCACCTTAGGCTTTTATGCATCAGACACTCGTCTGAGGTCTAGATCATTCCTTGTCACATGACCTTATTTTACCGTTAGGTATTTAACATTATTTGATGCTTTGTTTTTTGTGTATCTAACCTATCTTCCTCTACAAAAATATAAGTTTTTGGAGAGCAGAGACTAATTTTTTTTTCTCTAGCTCCTGAAATGAGGCTTTTGAGACAGGACCTTGCTATGTATCTAACTGGTCTTGAACCTGTGATCCTCCTGCCTCAGCCTCTTTAAATGCTGGCATTATAGGCACACACTACCACACTGAGCCTGAAATGTAGTTTAGCAGCACATGAGTATATGCTCTAGAAATATTTGCTAAATGTCTGAATGGTGAGTAGCTAATGAAAATAAATCAGGAGAGTTCTTTAACAGCAGCTTACCTTTCTTTGCTTCATCTTCCTCTGGGTTTGGGTCTGTGTGTTCACTACTCTGCTGGCTGCTGCCGATAGCTGCCTGATTCTTCTCAGGCTCTGAGGAGGTGTGGCTAGTACCTTCTTCAGTGCTATCAGTAGCACAGGCTGCTTCTGCCTCTATTTTGTCCTCAGTTTCATCTTCTGAAGGGGCCAAGAAGTGAAGCTTCAGGCCTGTGAAATTGGAGAGCAGCAAGAACAACGCCTCGGAGCGGAACAGCTCCATGCAGTCCTTCAGGATGTCAGGGAGCTTATTCTCATCAGCTTTGTCATAAAACCTGAAAAGCATCAATGTCAAGTTCACCAAGCCTCACAAAATCACACATGGTATAAAAGCTGCTTGTAAGGGCTGGGAGTATAGCTCAAGCAAACATAAAGCATCTAGTTCAATCCTCAGTGCCACCCAAAAACCCCAAAGCAATACCAAAAAATGCCAGCTCATTAGCTTTGTGCTTCTCTTCCTAAATCTTGGCATGAAAACAGAAGTTATGATAATGGTAAGACTGTTTAGTACCTGCTACTGGATGGCCCTTGAAAGGACACGTCCCATAATTGGATGTGTTATGTAGCAAAATGGTTGGTGCTGCGCACAGATGCAAAGGTCTTATGTGATGGGTTGTACCTTTTGTTAGGGGGACCACGGCTACTCCATTCCACATCTCCTTTCTCCAAGGCCTCACAGACCTTTGCAAATTTCTCAGGCTGGAAACAAACCAGTAAAGAAGCAGTTAGTAGGCTGGGAATGTGGCTTAGTGATAGAGTGCTTGCCTAGCATTCATGAAGCCCTGTGTTTAAATCTTTAGTACTACAGAAACAGAAAAAGCCAGAAGTAGTGCTGTGGCTCAAGAGGTGGAGTGCTAGCCTTGAGCAAAAGAAGCTCAGGGACAGTGCCTAGACTGAGTCTAAGCCCAGGACTGGCAACAAAACAAAAAAAACCCAACCCCCCCCAACCAAAAAAAAAACACAAAAAGACTATGGAAAACAAAAAAAAGCAGCAGTTAGCATTTTTCCTGTTTCTACACTACGTGTCAGATGTGGCAGCTCTGCAAAACATCAAGATGGCTGATTCATTCCTAAAAGGGCCATTTAACGCTAAGCTCTTTCACATAAGATGCCCCACTGTTGTGATGAAGATAGAGCAAAGATTGGATTTCATTTTGTTTTAGCCTTAATTAAATCTGAGTGCCATTAGAACCATTCTGTGTTTGTGTATCATTTGTCAAATTTTGTCAAATTCCTAGCTTTTGACAAATTTTCTATATCTTTTTTTGTCAAATTCCTAGGTTTATGAAATAAAGGATCATAATACCGACTCTAACTCATAAGATAGGATGAAAAAATTAAACTGCATTAGTTGATGTCCATAGTAACAACTCAGGTACTCTTGGTCCCAGCTTATTTTCTCATTTAAATTGAGAAGTCAAGTACAACACAAGGTAGCTTTCTATGGAAATATTATCCACAAGTCTTTACTTCTTTTTCGTCAGTTGTGGGGCCTGAACTCTGGGCCTGGGTGCTGTACCTCAGCTCTTCAGCTCAAGGCTAGCGCTCTACCACTTGAGCCATAGTGACACTTCCAGCTTTTTCTGTCTATGTGGTGCTGAGGAATCGAATCCAGGGCCTCAAAGCACTCTACCACTGAGCCACCTTCGAGGCCTACTTATTTTTCTCTTTACTGCAGTTTTCCAGGGAGTTCTACCAGCTCCTATCGGCTATAAATACACAAATGATGAAGGAGCCCACCCCTATCGCATGGGTTAAGTAAGCTCAATTAAACAGAGTTAAACAGGTTTATTATAATGCCCCTCAAATTGTGTAACAGGCTAAAATATTATAAAAGAGAAAGACAGTATACAGAATTCCTGTGTTGTACTTTTTATGAAGGAACAGATCTTGGGAATACAGTTCCAAACACTGTCAACTGTAAGGTAGTAACACCACACGTTATCTCCCCACCCACACAACAACCTGCAAGAAGGACAAGTATTATCCCAGTACAACTGACAATAAGAGAAATACTTCAGCTGGGTGCTGATGCCTCACACCTATAATCCTATATACTTAGCAGGCAGAGATAGGATGAGGTTGGAAGTCAGCTCTGGCAAGAAAGTCTATAAGCCTCTTATCTTTAAACACCAAAAAGTGGGCAGTAGAGGTCGGAAGTCAGCTCAGGCAAGAAAGTCTATAAGCCTCTTATCTTTAAACACCAAAAAGTGGGCAGTAGAGCTGTGGCTCAGGTGGTAGAGCACTAGCCTTGAGCTGAAGAGCAGAGGTACAGCACCCAGGCTGTACCCAGGGACAGTACCCAGGCCCTGAGATCAAGCCCCAGGATGGGAATATAAGCCAACAAACAAACGAAAGATTGGTGGCTCATGCCTGTAATCTTAGCTACTCAAGAGGTTGATATCTGAGTATCAAGGTTTAAAATGCCAGCTTGAGCAGCAAATTCATGAGACTCTTAGGTCCAATTAACCAGAAAAAAAGCTAGAAGTGGGGGTATGGTTTAAGTAGTAGGGTACTAGCCTTGAACAAAAAATCTAAGGGAAAGCACCCAGGCCAAGTTAAAGTCCCAATAGTGGCACAAAAAACAAATAACCCACCACTCCCAAACAAAAACAACTTCCGAGGTTTAGTGATTTGGTTAAGTTATTAACACCAAAGCCAGGCATAAATTAAGCGCTTCTGACTTTAGATCTCTTTCTACTAAACATGTGCCTCACCATTGCCACACTTTCATTAATACATGCTAACTAACTGTAATTAGAACCTAGAATTGCTGGGTATCAGTGGCTTACGCCTGTAACCCCTAGATACTTAGAAGGCGGAGATCTGAGGAAAGCCAGCTGGGAAGTAAAAGTCTTTGAGATTCTTACCTCTAACTAACCACCAGAAAACCAGAAGCAGAGCTATGGGTCAAAATGGTAGAGAGCTAGCCTTGAGCAAAAGAGCTCGGGGACAGCACCCAGGCCCTGGCTTCAAGCCCTACAACCACCCCCGCCCCCCCCCCAGAAATCTAGTATTAAAAGTAATAAGCACCATCTTCACCAAATGAACTAGGTTAACTCCTTTTCAGGACACAGGATTATGTGCATGTGTGTATATCACTAGGACTCCAGTGGAATCCCCAAGGGGACAATTAACCCACTTAGCATACAACTGATAGCAATGTTTACTATTACCATTTCTGTTTTTTATTTAAAAAAGAGAATGATATAAAAATGAGGAAGAAATCAAAACAAGAACTCAAGTGACTCCATTCTTCCACTCAAGGAAGACTGGATGCCAACAAGACATACAGAGCTGGACATGCTGACCCACCTTAAGAAATTCCTTCAGGAGAATTTCAGACCTTTCTTCGAACTCTTCTTGGATTTGAACTTGGTAATCCATGTCCAGATAAGTAGGGTTGATCCATTCATACAAAATTTCATGCTTAGAAAGAAGCAGTAGGTGAGTTAATAATTCCTATGAATTTTGTTTTTATATCATTTCATGTTAGTAAATCCTCACCTGGTAAGTTTCTCCTATTAAGCCTAAAGTACAGGAAAGCTGAAAGTCACTATGAAAAGCTTAAGAAGTACTGAAGTATTAAGAAGTTAAGAAGTATTGAAGTTCAAAGTCTATTTTAATGTGAAAGAGTTTGAACATTTTATTTTTTTTTATTTTTTTTTTTGGGTCCAGTCGTGGGGCCTGAACTCTGGGCCTGGGCGCTGTCCCTCACCTTTTCAGCTCAAGGCTAGCGCTCTACCACTTGAGCCACAGCGCCACTTCTGGCTTTTTTCTTTTTGCTTATGTGGTGCTGAGGAATCGAACCCAGGGCCTCAGGCATGCAAGGCAAGCGCTCTACCACTGAGCCACCTTCCCAGCCCCAAGTTTGAACATTTTAAAATGAATAATATGCTAGAGTTCCTCAGATAATAATTCCATGAATTTATCCTTACATCATGAGGGATGTGAGGGCTCCGAGGTATAAGGGGTTCAAGGTAGGTGAGAGGCCTGGTCACCGAAGGACCATGAAACCAGCCACTTATAGATAAGCGTGATGTTTCTTCTGACAGAACTTCAGACACCTGCAAGGACAAGACCAGCAGCCCATGAACACAAAGGATGAGGAGGGAGATACAGTCGAGACACATTCGAGAGTCCTTCAAGCTGGGTACAAAACAATCTGGTCAGGGTAAGTCCAACAGGAAGCTGTCATGTTTGGACAGTAGGTGACCAGAAGGCATGGTGATCCTTAGTACTCTCTATATATTTGTGGCTTACAGTCTTTACCTGGTGAAAGGATACTGGAGACACTTCAAAGAAAACCAGTTTGTTCCACGAAGGGACAAGAGACTTGACAATCTGCTTCGGCTGAAAGTGTTCTGCACCAGGAGAGAACACATTCATAAATGTGGCTCATTACCATTAACCATTTCCAGGCTGCTTCATTTCACTGTTCAACCCGCTTTACTCACACTTCTGCTGTGTGATGTGTGTTACTACCACATCACCCATCTATTATTGATGAGGGTTAGAGGAAGTTCTGAGCTTCCTGAAGTCAACCCTGGTGTCAGTCACTTAAAGAACTTGATTTCCTGTCAAGTAGGCCAGTTCTGGCACAGGAAGCTTTGTATGCTTTCTACCCTTTCCTGGTCAGTGTTCAGGTGTAGTGTCTCATAATTTCTCATCTGAAATTGATTCAACTCTATTTCAGGAGTAATGATTATTTTAGTACAACTTGAAGAGGTGGGCTGGCATTAATTCTCCGGAGGTGGCCACCACAATGAATAGCTTTCATCTTCTATGACAAGGACTTACATTATATGTAAGGATGATGATGTGGAACAATTGGGCTTTCATTGAGAAGTGGCCACTGGTGGTGATGAGCATGCTTGCCTTACCATCAGTGCTGTACAGGTCCAGAGTGCCCCCCAAGCTGATGTCCCAGGAAGGAACCAGGTAGAGAATGAAGGCAATCCGGCGTCCTTCCAGCTCATCATCATGGCAGAGAAGGGCATCTGCAATAATTTTACGCATACTTTAGAACCTTGCTTACATTTACTATCTGGCCATCTGGTAGTCAACTGTAATGTCAGTTCCAGTTTTAAAATGAGACAATTTCTATTCTTCTGTAAGTAAAGAAATAAAACCCAGAAAACAGAGAAAGTGCTAATACCGAAGAGTGCATATACATAGATAATATAGCCACTGTAAACATTGTTGCATACAGTCTTCCAGGACAATATGCCCAGCTCCGGATCTTGATTTTTAACTATCATTTTTCACTAATGGGAAGAATGACCACTCCAGGTCATTCTAGGACTTGGCATAGAGAATAGAACATAAGGGCTGGGAAGGTGGCTCAATGGTAGAGTGCTTGCCTTGCATGCATGAGGCCCTGGGTTCGATTCCTCAGCACCACATAAGCAGAAAAGGCCATAAGTGGTGCTGTGTCTCAAGTGGTAGAGCGCTGGCCTTGAGCTGAAGAGCTGGGGGATAGCGCCCAGGCCCAGAATTCAGGCACCACAACTGACCAAAAAAAAAAGAACAGAAACCTGGAAAATACTTTTTTTGTAAACTGAGAAATAAAAGAATGATGGACACAAGTTAGTTTAAAGGTCCTACCTTTGAATCAGGAATAATATAAATCTCAATATAATGGTAAGTAACAGTAATCATTGCATAAACAGTAATCCATGCCAATGGATTGAATGAATAATGGAGGAGAAAAGTTTCTTTGCAGTAGAATGACAACTAATAAATGTTGAAGAAACCACTGTATGATAAAAATCACCATTTGGTAACTTTCGTGTGATGTAATTTAGCAAGGAACATCAGTAGATGCTAAAACAAGTGAACCAACGTTTGTGGAAAATAGGATAATCTTATAATCTTAAAAGTATCTACCACATATTGACATAGGGGAAAAGCTACAACAGTGGCCAAATTAATCAAATAATCAAAGTTAATACCATGTAAGATGACACAAAGAAACTACCACCTAGAAGAATGCTGTGAAAAGAACACATTAATTCTGTAGTATTCCTGCCAAAAATGCATGCTTGAGTCTAATCATGAGGAAATATCAACAAACACAAGTGGAATAAAGTGTTAAAAAGCTGGGCACCAGTGGCTGAAGAGTTGAGGGACAGTGCCCATGCCCAGAGTTCAAGACTCATGACCAACAACAAAAAAAGTAAATCTATAAATCTTCAGAAGCATCAGGATCCTAGAACTACAGTTAAGACTGGGAAATGAGGAAGGGGTGCTCAAGTGGTAGAGTGCTCGCATTGAACTGAAGAGCTCAGGGACAGTGGCCAGGCCCAGAGTTTATGTCCCAGGACTGACTAAAAAAAAAACAAAAAATAAAAAAAGACTGCGAAATCAGCTGGGTGCCGGTGGCTCATGCCTGTAATCCTAGCTACTTAGGAGGCTGAGCTCTGAGGATCATGGTTCAAAGCCAGCCCCGGCAGGAAGGTCTGTGAGAATCTCATCTCCAATAAATAACCAGAAAACCAGAAGTGGCACTGTGGCTCAAGTGGCAGAGTGCTCACCTTGAGCTGAAGAGCTCAGGGACAGTGCCCAGGTCCAGAGTTCAAGACCCAAGACCAATTAAAAAAAAAAAAAAAGACTGGACACTGTTCTAGGCTAAGGGAGATTGAAGAGACAGGAAGTACATGTAATATGCAAGCCTAGGCTAGATCCTTTTCCTATCAGAAACCCAAGTAACAAGATGTGAGGCTGTGACCTATTATCCGGCCAAGTACTAGGACTAACTGGACTGTGGTGGCTTGTATCCCAGTCCTCCCTCCTCATGGCTCCAAATCTGTGCATGTCATTGAAGAAGACAACCTTCCCTGATAGAGGACTACTTTTTCTGTGGTCAAGGTTATATGAGTAGCTGTGTTACCCTGCTAGAACCTCAAGGACCAAATAATGAAATGTGAATGGGGCCTGTGGATTACAGAAGAATAAGAAATGACTATTAGATTCCTGATTTGATTGGTTTTTGTTTGTCGGTTGTGGGGCCTGAACTCTGGGCCTGGGTGCTGTCCCTCAGCTCTTCAGCTCAAGGCTAGGGCTCTACCACCTGAGCCACAGTGCCACTTCCGGCTTTTTTCTTTTTGCTTTATGTGGTGCTGAGGAATCGAACCCAGGGCCTCATGCATGCAAGGCAAGCGCTCTACCACTGAGCCACCTTCCCAGCCCTGATTTGATTGTTTATGGTGTGTTATTGGAGATACAAAGTACACAGAGTCTACAGAGCATTATGATTGCCACCTACTTCGAAGTAAAACAGGAAACAAATGTTTGTTCTGTCCATTTTACTTTTCTGTAGGTTTGAAATGATTTCAAATAAAAAAATAGAAGTTATAACATGGCTTTTCATATGGATCACTAAGTTATTCTCAAAAATAACCAATATATACTTCACTAGGATGATGGATGAAACTAAATCCAAATCAAAACTTTAGTAAAATTAAATTAAGCAGGTAAAAATAGATACTTTTTCTTTCTTTTTTGCCAGTCCTGGGGCTTGAACTCAGGGCCTGGGCACTGTCCCTGAGCTTCTTTTGCTCAACGATAGCACTCTACCATTTGGGCCACAGTGCCACTTCTGGCTTCTGCTGTTTATGTGGTATTAAGGAATAGAATCCAGGGCTTCTTGCATGGTAGGCAAGTACTCTATCACTAAGCGACATTTCCAGCCTGGGATATTTTTGATGAAGGAAAAAGTGACAGGGACTATCATGGCTTAGATGGTGCATTATATTCCAACAATATGTTCAAACTTTTTCCTTTAAGCAATACTCACGTATTACTTTCAAAATACAAAAAGGAAAAATGGCACTGAGAGTGATGGTTGTTTCTTAGGAATCCAATAGAATTTATAATGTTACCTTAGTATTTTGTGATGCTATATGCAAGGGTGTTATGTCTTGTGCATTACGAAAATTTTTTCTGAAAATACTAGCAAAAGCTTTTATCATACTTTGAAAGAGAAGCACTGCCTTATCCTTTCCAACAGGGTAGCTACTTGTCCATATGTCTCATCAGGAATTTAAGCTATGATTTCTTTTCATCATTGTAGGTGAAAGCCTTTAAATTTGACAGACATCAGGGCTTTAACTTCCTTACCAGTAAACTCATATTTGGCACAGGACATGTCAATGGTTGATTCCAGTGCTATGTTAGAAATGTCAGAAAGCCAGGTCCGGAAGTCTTCAAACAGAAGTTTCCTAGAAGTGTGAACAAAAGATAACTTGTTATGCCATAGAGTAGGTGCTATCTGGATTTGGGCCACAACCATTCTTTCCTGGATGTCATATTTTATTCAAGAGACCCATTCTTAGATTTTTTTCTAAGAGATCCTGTGAACTGTCCCTTAAACTTGCATAGTTTAAGAATAATGTTCCCAGAGAAATAAGTGTAAATCCTCAGCTGCTTTAGCTCTGAAGTCTCATTTATTTCATTCTTTCAGTCATTTATTTTTCCTAAATTTAAAGTATGTTCTACTTTGGGATCACGTTGGCCTTTGTTACAACTTACCACACTATTATTTCATTCCATCTGATTTGCAGATGTTTTTCAGCAGTACAGTTCTTTTTTAAACTTCCAAAACCAAATGTATGGATTTCTTTCCATATCAACTTCTCTTCTCTGAAACCAGCTGGGCATCCTACAATTCAATTCTTTTTTTGGTTGGTCATGGGTATTGAACTCTGGGCCTGGGCGCTGTCCCTCAGCTCTTCAGCTCAAGGCTGGTGCTCTACCACTTGAGCCATAGCACCATTTTCAGCTTTTTCTGCTTATGTGGTACTGAAAAATCCAACCCAGGGCCTCATGCATGCAAGGCAAGCGCTCTATGACTGAGCGACCGTCCTACTCCCTGTATTATAGTTTTGATCATGTTGGAATTTGAATTCAGGATCCTGTACTTGCTACCCCTTCACCTCCACCTCTGGGGATTTCTAAAAATTTCCCAATTACCATAAACCTAGATGTTGTGTGGTTAGTTGAAAGGGGGTTTATTTCTTGCAATAAATGATGCTCCATTTGTCAGGCGCTGGTGGCTCATACCTGTAATCCTAGCTACTCAGGAGGCTGAGATCTGAGGATTGTGGTTCAAAGCCAGCCGGGGCGGGAAAAGCCTGTGAGACTCTTATCTCCAATTAACCACTGGAAAACTGGAAGCAGCTCTGTGGCTCAAGTGCTAGAGTGCTCGCCTTGAGCTGAAGAGCTCAGGGACAGTGCCCAGGTCCAGAGTTCAAGACCCATGATGATAGAAAAAAAAGAAAAAAGAAAAAAAAAAGAATTTGTCTGAACTCAAATTACACACAAACACACACACAGACGCACACAGACACACACACGTACACACATTTGTGCCAGTCTTGAAGCTTGAATCCAAGGCCTAGGCATTGTACCTATGTCCTTTTTGCTCAAAGCTAGTGCTCTATCACTTGAGCTACAGCTCCTGTTTTCTGGTGATTAATTGGAGGTAAGAATCTCACATCCTCCCCCAACCCCTCCCCAGCTAGATTTGAACTGTGATCCTCAGATCTCTGCCTCCTGAGTAGGTAGCATTACAAGCATGAGCCATCAGTTCCCAGATTCCCTATCCCAAATTATATATAATTGAAGTTCCCATAAAATGAGAATGATATTTAGTTTGTAATTAAATATCAAGTCTATAGACCAGGGGATATAGAGTACACCTGGAATCATAGCTACTCAAGAAGTGGAGGAAGCCAGGTGCCGGTGGCTCACGCCTGTAATCCTAGCTATGCAGGAGGCTGAGATCTGTGGATCCCAGTTCAAAGTCAGCCGGGGCAGGGGGCAGGAAACTCCGTGAGACTCTTATCTCCAATAAACCACTAGAAAACCAGAAGTGGTGCTGTGGCTCAAGCGGTAGAGTGCTAGCCTTGAGCTGAAGAGTGCAGGGAAAGTGCCCAGATCCAGACTTCAAGCCCCAGACTGACAAAAAAAAAAAAAAAAAAGGTGGAGGAAGCAGTACTTTTAAGTTTAAGGAGAGATTTAGCAAAGTTATGAGATCTTATCTAAGGACAAAGTTTCTAAGGGTGTGGCTCAGTGGTACAGTATTTACAGTATTTGCTCAATAGCAAGATGCTAGGTTCAATCTTTGGTAGTGTCACCGCACCCCAAATATTTAAGTGATCTACAAGATTTCATTATCAAATACCTTTTGTAGGTTCCATACAATTCAAACCAAAATATCTCACAATAATAGTATTTATCATAACAGGTTTTGTGTGTGTGTGTGTGTGTGTGTGTGTGTGTGTGTGTGTGTGTGTGTGTGTGTGTGTGTGTGTGTGTGTGTGTGTGTGTGTTTAAAGCAAAGCTGCAAATTACACAGATGGGCTAAGACACCAAACTGCTGAATCAGACTTTGGGCAATGTAGGTGATAAAAATTTCTGCAAAGTCTTGTTACTCTAAACAAGAATATCATCAAAGCCTTAAACCCAAGGACATCAACTTCACAAATTACTCCACAGAAAGTTCTCTTACTGACTTTTTGAATGACTTACGGGCGTATTTTCTTTCTTTCTTTTTGTTTTTTGTTGGTCATGGGGCCTGAACTCTGGGCCTGGGCACTGTCCCTAAGCTCTTCAGCTCAAGGCTAATGCTCTATCACTTGAACCATAGTGCCACTTCCAGCTTTTCTGCTTATGTGGTGCTGAGGAATAGAACCCAGGGCCTCATGCATGTAAGGCAAGCACTCTACCACTGAGCCACCTTCCCAGCCCTTATTTTCTGAAACACTAGCATTTATTAACTGTACTTATGAGAGAACTCCCAGAACCCTAGTGGGAAGTAAAAAGATTAGTTTTCTGCAATGATCAAGTAATTCAGGTTCTCACTGTTCTGAATATTTGGGTATGAAATGTAACTTAGGCCCAGGTGAAATGATTACCAGAGGGGTATAGTGAATTAATAAGACAATGTCTTAAATAGCAAGACTATCTCTTTTTGGGAGAGGGGTATGTTTTATAAGAACAGTATGAGTTATACTTAACCTTTTTTTTCTCCTGATTTCATCAAGCTCAAGATGCTTTTTTCATTATAAGAAGTATTATTTTGTATTTGCTTACAGGAAAAAAAATACTGCTAATGAAACCAGTATAAAAGAATGACTGTGCAAGACACAGGATCTGAGATATTCTTAAAAAATGTCTTTGAATTGAAATATAGTATATTGCCATTTTCTCTTCCTTCCTCCCTCTTCTCTTCTCTTCCTTTTCTCTTCCTTCCTCCCTCCCTCCCTCCCTCCCTCTCTTTTCTTTTTTTCGTTGCGTATGAACTCAGGGACATGCACTTGTTAGGCAGGCATTCTACTCCTTGAGCCATATCTCCAGCCAAAGGGCCTTACCAAGTATCTCAGGCTGGCCTTGAACAATTGTGATCCTCCTGCCTCAGTCTCCCATGTGCTGGGATTACAGGTATATCCCCTTCCCCAGAGGTTTGTTTTGTGTTAAATTCATACACATATTTAGTGGCTGTATAATTTCCACTTTATGTTTTGTATCCTTCTCTATATGTATGTATGTATGTATGTATGTGTATGTATGTATGTATGTATGTATGTATGTATGTGTGTATCTATCTATCTATCTATCTATCTATCTATCTATATCTGAATGGATAGTCACTTAAATCTCAATACCATTATGAATACCATTATAAGAACTGTATGCAATTTCTGAGCACATCCTTAATTTTTATTTTATTTTTGCCAGTCCTGGAGCTTAAACTCAGGGTCAGGGCACTGTCCTCGAGCTTCTTTTGCTCAAAGCTAGTACTCTGCCACCTGAGCCACAGTACTACTTCTGACTTTTTCTGTTTATGTGTTGCTGAGGAATTGAACCCAGGGCTTCATGCATGGTAGGCAAGCACTGTATCACTAAGCCACATTCCTAGCCCTCTAAATTAATTTTTTTGTCAGGATAAATTGTAAGTAACATTACTCTTCAAGAAAGTATGCTTCCTTTTAAGGGTTTTAATACATCCTTCCAAACTATCTTACTTTAAAAGAAAAAAAAAGACTGCAGCAATGTAGAAAACTATTTATGCTTCTGTCAATACTGGGGTGTCTGTTTTCAGTAGTTCCTAGTTTAATGTATTAAAAATAGTGCATTTTTTTTTTGCCTAGGAACAAAGTTGAACTTTTTTTTTTTGGGTCTGGTCGTGGGCCTGAACTCTGGGCCTGGGCGCTGTCCCTCAGCATTTCAGCTCAAGGCTAGCGTTCTACCACTTGAGCCACAGCGCCACTTCTGGCTTTTTTTCCCCCCTGCTTATGTGGTGCTGAGGAATCAAACTCAGGGCCTCATGCATGAAAGGGAAGTGCTCTACCACTGAGCCACCTTCCCAGACCCAAGTTGAACTTTTTTGTATGTGCTAGTACTGGGTCTTGAACTCTTCACACTCTTACTTGGCTTTTTTGCTCAAGGTTGGCATTCTACCACATGAGCCACATTTCTACTTATAGTTTTTTGCTGGTTAAATGTAGATGAGTCTTATAGAATTTTCTGCCCAGTCTGGCTTTCAACTTTGGTCCATAGATCTTAGCTTCCTGAGTTGCTAGGATTACAGACATGAGCCAGCAGCACCTAGCTAAAGTTGAACATTTTATCATTAAGAATCTTACCTCCAGTTAACCACCAAAAGAAAGCTTAAGTGGAGCTGTGTCTCAAGTGGTAGAGCAAACCAGCTAAGGGACAGCACCCAGGCCTTGTGTTCAAGACCTAGGATGGGTGTGTGTGCACGTACATGTGTACATATATGCGCGTGCGCACACACCCATACCCATACCTGCATGTGTGTGCACACATACAAGAATCTGGATAATCAGCGTTCAAAGTCAACATGAGCAGGAAAGTGACTCTATCTCGAAAACCCAGCAAAAAGCCTGGCTGGAGGCATGGCTCAAGTGGTAGAGTACTAGATGAGTAAGGCACTAAGTCCCCCCCCCCCCCCCAACACACACACACAAAGTTGGGATTTAGATTTTGGCATCAGTCAGACTTGGATTGTAGCCTATCTCCCTGGATTTTATTTTATTTAATTTGTTGTCGGTCATGGGGCTTGAACTCTGGTCCTGGGCACTGTCCCTCAGCTTAGCTCAAGGCTAGCTACCACTTGAGCCATAAGCACCACTTCCTCTCCCTGGATTTTAACTGAGTAGCCTTGAAGTTATGTACTTTCTCAGTTTTCTCCTCCTGTACAAAATAAGATGTCAACAAACACTATATGTCATAATGTTTAAGGCACTATGCTGCCTAAAATATATACCCAACATATATGATTGTTTACCTTAATGCTGAGATATGAGGCTCTCTTCTCTTCTTCAAATCATCAGACTTGATCATGGAAAAGCAAAAGATAAAAAACATTTCCTATTAGAGCATAATAGATGCACAGTGTACACTAGTAGAGTCTGGCACTGTGGTTAAAAGCCTGGATAATGAAGCCAACTGTCTGAGTTTGATACATGGTATTTCCATCTGGCAGTTGTGATTTTGTTAGGTGAAGCAGTCTCTTTCTCCCTTATTCAATCAACTGACAGGTAGGTATTTAGAAAGTCTGTTGAGGGAGATGAAAACTAAACAAAAGTAAATGATTAGCATATAGGTCACAAATGCATAGGAAAAAGCTGCAAGGTAAAGAGTGAGAAGTGCTGAGAGTTGGGAAGAGTTTGCAATTGTACATGGAGGCCAGGGTAGACTTCAGTGAGGTGAAGCAAAGCCTTCAAGACAGTAAAAGGTACAGAGCAAGGGGAAAAACAGAAAATGACATTAAAGAGGTAATGGTTTTGTTTTTTTAAATACAGCTTTTACTCAATGAAAGAAAGAACCAATGGAGATTTTAAGCAAAGAGGTGATATAATTTCATTTATTTATTTGTTTGGTCCGTCATGGGGCCTGAACTCTGGGCCTGGGCACTGTCCCTCAGCTCTTTAGCTCAAGACTAGTGCTCTACCCTTGAGCCACAGCACCACTTGCAGCTTTTTCTGCTTATGTGGTGCTGAGGAATTGAACCCAGGGCCTCATGCATGCAAGGCAAACACTCTTACCACTGAGCCACCTTCCCAGCCCAATTTCATTTACTTTTTTAGGTAAAATTTACATTAAAAATTTTGCCACTTTACTTAAACTTGCATAATTAAATGAGTTTGATATATGTGTTCACTGTGGTATAACCATCAGCAGTATCTAGGTATTTAGAATTTAACAGGTTGCTTTTTTGTTTGGCATTTTTCACCAAGCAAAATGTTTTCATGTTGTAGCAGTGGATTCCTTTCTATTGCTGAATGACCATTCCCCTCTATGGACATACCACTCCATTCATTAGCTGATGGACATTTGGGTTGTTTCCAATTTTTGACTATTATAAATAATGCTGCTATGTTCATTTGTAAACAATTTTTTTTTTTTTTTTTTGGTTCCGGTCGTAGATTCTGAACTCTGGGCCTGAGTGCTGTCCCTCAGCTCTTCATCTCAAGGCTAGCGCTCTACCACTTGAGCCATAGCGCCACTTCTGGCTTTGTTTTTTCTGCTTATGTGGTGCTGAGGAATCGAACCCAGGGCCTCATGCATGCAAGGCAAGCGCTCTACCACTGAGCCACCTTCCCAGCCCTGAACCAATTTTTTATGTGAACATCTGCTTTTGTGCTGAACCCTTTAACTTTTCCTTCAGTCCTGAATGTGCTTTGAAATTTTCTTGGGTCCATTTACATTTTCAAAGAACACAATGCTATTGTGTAAGATGGTAAGAGTGGGATATTAGTTATTATACTAATAAAATAATTCCATTGAAAGACAAAGACATCCTGGACCTGATGTTACTGGCAGTGGAAGTGGTATCAAGTGTTTTTTCTCAGGACAGATTTTGAAGGCAGATAGAAAAATTTACCAATAGACTGGACATGAGGGATGAGAGAGAGAAAAAAGTCAAGGATAATTAATTTTGGCTTGAAATCAAGGTACCACTAATTGAGATGGGGAAACCTGCAGGTAAAACAGATTTAGGTGGGGAAGATCAGGAGTTTGGTATGGGAATTAAGTTGAGACTCTTGCTATGAGAAAGCCAGGAGCGGGGCAACAGTGGCTCACGCCTGTAATCCTAACTACTCAGGAGGTTGAGATCTGAGGATCACAGTTCAAAGCCAGCTGGGGTAGAAACGTCTGTGATTCTTATCTCCAATTAACCACCAGTAAACTGGAAGTGGTACCGAGGCTCAAGTGGTAGAGCTCAGAGACAGCGCTCAGGCCCCACGACTGACCATTGAACTTGAGTGAGATCCACTGAACTTGAGTCCAATCAGTCTCAGGACTACGCCCTAGAGTATTCAATCATTAAGAAGTCAGTTATTTGCAGATGATCTAGCAAAGGACACTAGGAAGGTTTGGCCTGTAACTCAGAAGGAAAACTAAGAGAGCATGGTATCCTGAAAGCAAAGTAAAAAAAAAAAGTTTCTAGGAAGAAGTGATGGACTAGATCAAATGCTTCTTCTTTCCTCCTTTTTTAAGAGTCAGGGTTTCCCTGACTCAGGCTGGCGTTGGAATTATGTGTGGGTGTAGCCACATTCATCTTCCAAATGTTTCTTAAACATCAAGTAAGAACTGGAGGCTAGGAATGACCTTGACAATTACAGTTTCAGCAGAGTAGTAGAAGTGAAAGCCTGATAAAGTGGGCTTACCAGAGAATAGGAGAGGAATTTGAAATAGCACAGACAGCTCTTGAGGTTTTTGTGTGTGGTACACTGAAAGGAATTATCCAGAAGAGAAGGAAAAACTAGTGTAGTTTTCTTACTGTAAAGTGGGAATGTGGATTAGTGGTGGTAGAGTGCTTGCCTAGCATGCATGAAGCCTGGGTTCAATTCCTCAGCACCACAGAAACAGAAAAAGCCAGAACTGGTGCTGTGGCCTTGAGCAAAAGAAGCTCAGAGACAGTTCCCAGGCCCCGAGTTCAAGCCCCTGAACTGTCCCCCCCCCCCCAAAAAAAAAAATTATGGAAGGTGCTGGGAATGTGGCTTAGTGGTAGAGAGCTTGCTTAGCATGCATGAAGCCCTGGATTCAATTCTTCAGTACCACATAAACAGAAAAATGTTAGAAGTGGCACTGTAGCTCAAGTGATAGAGTGCTAGCCTTGAACAAAAGAAGCTCAGGGACAGTGCCCAGGCCCTAAGTTCAAGCCCCAGGTCTGGCAAACAACAACAACAACATGACTGGGCAATTCCTAATGACAAACTTAGCAAGGGTGTTGGAATGTCAAAGACCCAGTAATCTATTCAATTCATACTACAAGCAAAGAAAAGGTAAAGAGATATAGGTGAATTTGAAGGGGCAGATGACTGAGAACTGGTTTTACACACTTAGGGAAAAGAGATGCTTTCCAAAAGTGAGCAAGGTAAAAATTTATTCACACCAAGCTCATTTGGATACAAGTGGTTGCTTCTTCATAACCCATAATTCTGTTGATTATTTTCCTTTTTACTGACTTCACAATCAATGAAATATTTTCATCTGTCAAACTGTTTCAAGTAAAAACTACACAATAACTTAATAATTAGGCCTAAATCAATGAGAGACCAAACGTTACTAAAACTGACATAATTATAAAGGAAGAGAGCTATGATTTTTCATTAACCTGGGAAACTTACTTTAGCTAAAAGTTTAGGAAGTGGAACTGTGGCTCAAGTGGTAAAGCACTAGCCTTGAACAAAAAAGCTCAGCACCTATAGGCCCTGAATTCAAGCCCCAGGACCAGCACTAAAATTAATAAAAATAAAGTTTACATGAAATTTTCTGAATTTTAGTGTCATAATTCATGTTTTTAGCCTTGTTAATTGAATCATTTGTACAAAGTCCAAGGACAGACTGGTGTGCGGCAAGTTATTGCCAGCTGACTAGAAGATCAATTCTAGTGAAAAAGGATGAGAGAGAGAGAGAGAGAGAGAGAGAGAGAGAGAGAGAGAGAGAGAGAGAGAGGGGTCCACTATTTACTCTTATCTCAGATAAAGGGGGAAACAAAAAGAAACACAAGATTCATCTTTATTTATTTCTTAACATTTAAGCCCTGATGTCCTTAAGGGCTTTTGGTGTTTCTTTTTTGGTCAGTTGTGGAGCTTGAACTCTAGGCCTGGGTGCTGTCCCTCAGCAAAGGCAACCACTCTACCACAGCCCCACTTCTAGTTTTCTGGTGGTTAATTGTAGATAAGAGTCTTAGACATTCCTGCCTATGCTGGCTTTGAACTGAGAACCTCAGATCTCAGCCACCTGAGTAGCTAGGATTACAGGCGTGAGCCACCAGTGCCTGTCCTGTCCCTGAACTTTATTGCTCAAGGCTAGCTCTCTACAACTTTGAACCACAGTGCCACTTCTGGTTTTCTGGAGATTAGACTCTGATGGACTTTCTTGCCTAGGTTTCTTTTTAAAAAGGATTTCCAAGAGTGATGTATTCATGTGTTCCATGTACTGAAAGTTATCCCCAAACTGAGGAAACACAAGATTTGTATTTCTATACTAGGTGCAGCTGTGTCTTCTAATAGAATAAACAGCCTAAAATTCAAGTTAGTCTTTTCTGGCCAATTAAATTTTCCACCAAGAAAAAAAAGGATGGAGGGCTGGAGATGTAGCTCAGAAGTGGTGTTTACCTCATGTGCTTGAGGTTTGAACTCTGCATGTGGTGGAGTGTGTGAAGAGGAGAGAATGGATTTAATTCTCTGCTAGACATATTGCAATGCAGAATACACTGCAATAGTTCTAGCCATCTAAATCAAAGACAACTTTTTTTGTTGACAAAGATATCAATTTTAAATGGTGATTATATTCCAACATATATTCTTTATACCACTATCCAAAGTCTACTTCACTCCATGATATAATGGATCACTTACTGGCTTAATGCATTTTTACTTATATCTGTACTATCACATCATCCCTATTAAAGTCTTATATGGAAGGAATTGCCAAAATTGTCTTATAATAATTATAGCACCTAACACATGGCTAAGAATCACATTATGTTAAATGGGGGAATGCTTTTAACAATATTAAAGCAAGGACCAAAGCAAACCCAATCTAAAATCCAAGTCTTAAAAATACTGACAATTATGAAATGATAACCCCTCAGCACATAATCTTTAAAATAACAATAAAAATAATTTTAAAAAGATACTGGTTTTATTGTTCATGAATGTCTTAGCTGCAAGAGTAAATATGTAAAGGGAATAATTACCTGCTGAAACTTATATAAATCGTTATATTTCTCATGGAAGTCCAAGTTCAAAAGTTCCTTCTGAAGCCCTTCCAAGAACTCTTGACTTCGGATGAAGTTTGGGATCACACAGTGAAGAAAAGGGTCCATGTCCATGATTATAGCTTCTGTTGAAAGGAAAATATTATGGTTGTCTTCCCTTTTGTATTTATTTATTCATATATTTATTTGATGCAAGGTCTCATATCTCAAGTTGTTCTCTAACTAGAGATCCTCCTACCTCTATTTCCAAAGTGCTGGGATTAGAGGTGTGCTCCACAATACTAAGCCCCTTTTGTACCTTTGATCTCTGGGCAATACAGCAGAGGAGACAAGAGAGAATGGTAGAAGGGTCATACATTTTTGAGAACCTAAACTTAAGTCTAAGACTGGGGGAATAATTATAAGCTATCTTAATTTTCTTTTTTGGGTTAGTTGTGGGCTTGAACTCTGGGCCTGAGTGCTGTCCCTGAGCTCTTCAGCTTAAGGCTAGCACTCTACCACTGGAGCCACAGTGCCACTTCTGGTTTTCTGGTGGTTACTTGGAGATAAGAGTCTCAGGGACTTTCCTGCCCAGGCTGGCTCCGAACCAAGATCCTCAGATCTCAGCCTCATGAGTGGCTAGGATTACAGGAGTGAGGTACCAGCAACCGGCTTAATTCTTTTTACTTATTAGATGACCCTACCATTTAAAGGCATTGTGCTTAAAATGCTAGTCCTTAAAATACTACAGTTGATGTTATTAAATTGAAAAGGCCTTTTTTTTTCAGTTTAATGATGATTGAATTGGGCATATTTTTTATTCATCTTCCTCAGGCTTAAAAGAACAGCCATGAGATTAGCAAAACTGTATGGCAAATTGTCTTCAATCCCACCTTTTCTTTCCCAAAGTGAGTGCTTTTTTTTTTTTTTAATCAGTTCTTTCCTAGTGTCTTCTAATTCCTTCTAACCCTACCCCACCATGGCACCTGCTGGCTCTAACAGGCTAGGTTAGTATTACAAGACCACTACTGCCTACTAAATGTCTGGCTAAGAGGTACTTTACATGAATTCTCTCACTTCTCCTTGACAACTCTGGTATAAATATTATCACTAATCTCACCCAATAGATGAGAGCACTTTAAAACACTAAGGTATACCTCTGTCTTTGCATCCTAAGCAACCAGGATTCACCTCTCCACTTGAAACAAACAAACAAAAACCCCATGGCCTACTTTGAAAGAAAATGCATTAAACATTAAAGCAGAATTCATATCTTTTTTTTTTCTTTTCTTTTAGCTGGTCCTGGAGCTTGAACTCAGAGCCTGGGCACTGTCCCTAAGCCTCTCTGTGCTCAAGGATAGAGTTCCACCACGTGAGCCACAGTGCCCCTTTCGGCTCCCCCCGGCCCCGTATGTGGTACGAGGAATCGAACCCGGGGCTTCATACATGTTAGGCTAGCACTCTACCACTAAGCCACATTTCCATATTCTTGAAGTTGGTAACTTCGAAGATAAGTCTGGAAAGCTCTGGTTAAACCCCCATGGGACTGTAAAGCATTACCTTTACTCGAAAAATTACATAAGCAATTCAAGTTTCTGTCCAAATGTTCAATGGTTTCTACTCATGGAAATATTTACTGATGCTACAGGATGCCTGTCAAACCCATTTACTATCATTACCATCCTTCCCAGGTACATACTATTAATGACCCCACGGAAGCTTAGAGAAGCCTGCTACCCAAGGATGCACACAATCAGTGAAGATTCTAAGTCGGGGGCCTCTGATTCCACGCCGAGAACGATCCACTACCTCTCAGATTCAATCACTTACACATTTCTAGGCCCTCTCTTTCCCACATTCTCGGGCCATCGCTTACGATGTTTCAAACAAACCGAATTTCCAACGAAAGACGGCAGCAGCCGAGGCAAAGGCGGCCGTGGTCCTCCCGCTCCCGCCCCGCCTTCCTGGCAGCCCCGCGCTCGGCTCGAGCCCCCCAAGCCTCTCCCGAGGCTTCCAGGACCGCCGCGCCCGCGACTCCCCCCGCTCCCCGCCCCCGCCGCAGCCCATTACCGTGACTGAGGGGCGTCCGGTGGCTCCACGCCTCAGCCACTTGCTTTTTCACACCATTTTCCTTCACAGCGTCCGAAAACGCTGCTATCACCTCTTTCTTTTCCCTTTTCCTCACCCAGACCACGTCGAACACGGCAGGCCGCTTGCCACTCATTTCTCAAGGTAAGAAGCCCAGCCGCGACGTTCAAGCAGCCATTTCCCGGCAGAAACTACTCTTCCCAGCCTGCCCCTTTACCCACGCTCCCTAGCGCCACCCAATGGGCATGGGGAGGCGGAACCCATACCTGATTCCACCAATGGAATTTTCAGATCCTCAGGCCTCTACGCCAGCGATTGGCCTAATAGGTGCTCGGCCGGCTACGTCCCCGCCTCCCCACTTCCTGCCGCCAGAGGGTCCGGATTCCACTTCCGGTGTGCGTACGCCTGTTCTCGCTTTCTCGCGTTAATGGCGGGTGGCGGCTGCTGAGCGGGACGCCGATAACCGCTTGCCTGCACAGGGGGGAAAGTCTTTCCCTACCCCCTATTTTGTGTTCGCTTGCAGTGCCGGAGTTCGTCAGCATGTCTGTGGTACCGCCCAATCGTTCACAGACGGGCTGGCCCCGGGGAGTCAATCAGTTTGGTAACAAGTACATCCAGCAAACCAAGCCCCTCACCCTGGAGCGCACCATCAATCTGTAAGTACCGGCGCGGCCCTGCCGCGTTCCCTTCCGTTCCCTCGAGAGCGCGCCTAAATGCACGGACCTCCTTCCGGCGCGACCCGGCCGGCCGGCCTCTGGCGGGTCCCACGCCGCCTCGGCGCTCCGACGCCCACCTCCGGACCCGTGCAGGTTACGCTTGCACAGGCCGCGTCCTCCCCGCCCGAGGCCCCTACTCTGGCGAGCTTTCCTTGTTCTCTTTTCTGTTTGAAAAGAAGCCTTGCTTCCACTCTGTCCTGTGTTCTTCAGTCATTATGGGTAAAGCCGAAGTTTGCTTTGAACTCTCTTTTCCCCACCCCCTCCAAGAAGCAGCCAACTGCAGAATGCGATTTTTATCCGTCAGGTACGATGGGTTGTTTTTTTTTTTTTTCCAGTGTTTGCATAGCACGTGGATGTTACTGTTTTGGAACGTTTTTATTTGACATAAGTGATATAATCATTTTTTTTGCAATAAACTTCGATATCCACTTGTAATGCATAAATCTAGTTTTTCCTTTCAAGTGTTGTATAGTATTTCACCTAACGGCATTCAGGTATTCATGTCCACTTTAACAGTGTATTCCATGCACACACCCAGTAGGGTCCCTTCTCCCATTTAGAGTTTGGACGCTTTTGCCGAGTGTGGGAGGAACCAGACCAGAATTTTGCCATCTGGAAACTTCTTTGTGAGCTGCTTGATTTTTCAACATGCCTTTCTTTTTTTAAGGAAACGATTGCTTTCTCAAAAGTAATCTTTAAAATACAAGTAATCTTGCTGTAGCAAGTAATTGCTATCGGGTGTATGTCTTGCTCAACAAATTGTCAGTGTGTACTTTTTGGAGGTTTCTGAGTGAATTTTTAAGGCAGCATGGTAGTGCTGTCTTAAAAAAAAAAAAAAGGAAGAAAAGGAGCTGGGAAGGTGGCTCAGTGGTAGAGCGCTTGCCTTGCATGCCTGAGGCCCTGGGTTCCATTCTTCAGCACCACATAAGCAGAAAGAAAAAAGCCAGAGGTGGCATGTGGCTCAAGTGGTAGAGCATTAGCGTTGAGCTTAAGAGCTGAGGGACAGCGTCCAGGCCCAGAGATCAGGTCCCACAACCGGACCCCCCCCCCCAAAAAAAAAAAAAAACACGGAAGAAAAGGGCTGGGAAGGTGGCTCAGTGGTAGAACACTTGCCTTGCAGGCATGAGGCCCTGGGTTCGATTCCTCAGCACCACATAAGCAGAAAGAAAAAAGGCGGAAGTGGCGCTGTGGCTCAAGTGGTAGAGCATTAGCCTTGAGCTTAAGAGCTGAGGGACAGCGTCCAGGCCCAGAGTTCAGGCCCCACGATGGGACCATCCCCCCCCCCCCCCAAAAAAAAAAAAAAGGAAGAAAATGGCCAGTGTAGGTTGGTACACAACGTTTTAAAAGGGTGAGAATTTGCTGATAGTGGTATTCTGGTAAGACTCTAGGTGTTTTTCTGTCAAATAAACAAACTTCCCCATGTCTTCCCAAAACACCAGAAGTGACTTGAAATTGGAAAGATGTTTATTGTTCTTAGCAAAACAGGTGCTGGCTTGGAAATTTAGATAGTGTGAGCTGTGTATACTTTAGAATTAGTTGTGTGTATATAAATTATAACTTTGTGCCCATTAACACAGGTAGTAAGTAGCACTTTAAGTTTCTATCATTGAAAAAAAATCCTCAGAAGCTTCCTGTGAAATGGAAATTATGAAAGGATTGGGGTGTGATTCAGGAAGAGAACACTTGCCTGTCCTGCACGAGGCCCTGTGGATTCCATTCCCAGCCTTGTAAAGTTGAAATTAAAAAAATGTGAAAGCCGGGGCTGGGAAGGTGGCTCAGTGGTAGAGCGCTTGCCTTGCATGCATGAGGCCCTGGGTTTTATTCCTCAGCACCACATAAGCAGAAAAAGCTGGAAGTGACACTGTGGTTCAAGTGGTAGAGTGCTAGCCCTGTGAGCTGAAGAGCTAGGGGACAGCACCCAGGCCCAGAGTTCAGGCCCCACGACCCCCCCCCCCCCCCCCCCCCCCCCCCCCCCCCCCCCCCCCCCCCCCCCCCGCCAAAAAAAAAAAAAAAAAAAATGTGAAAGCCTACCTTCTGTATTCCTTGCATTGATGAGCTAAAATTGGAGCTACAGTGATTTAAATTTTTTCCTTGATTATGGATCAGTTTGCATTAGGTCATTATATAGGATTGGCAAAACAGTTGTGTTTTCAACAGTGTCTTAGTCTTTGTTTCATTGATTATGGGTTGATGATAGTATTTTTCCTCTTTATATAAATAACAATATTCAGATACAATCATTTTGTTGTGAAGTTCAATTCATCTGGATGAGTAGTGACCTATTACATTGAATACGAACCCACTCTCAATATTTTTTTAGGGAGGGTTTCATGAGTGCCATTGCCTCATGTAGTGTGCATCCATAATGCTAGAAATACAGTGGTGAGGAAATAAGATAGACTCCTGCTTTATGATGCTCTTAGTGTAAGAGTAGTATTTATACGTCTAGACTAGCACAGTTGAAAATTTTAACATTTCATCTTGATATCTTACTGATGTGGGAGTTGGGCCTTGCGATAGAAATGTATTGCGGCTATTCTTAATCTTTCTTTTCTTTTTCTTTTTTTTTTTTTGCCACTATTAGGGCTTGAAGTTAGGGTTAAGGTCCTGTCCTTTAACTTTTGTTCCGAAGTCTAGTGTTCTACCACTTGAGACACAACTCCGTTTCCAGCTTTTTAGGTGGTTAATTGGAAATAAAAGAGTCTTAATGGGCTTTCCTGCACAGAATGTTTTGAATTGCTATTTTTCTCAGATCTCAGCCTCCTGAGTAACTAGGATTGTAAGTGTGAGCTAACAATGCTTGGTTCCTTAATCTTTTCTGACTCAGTCTGTAAGGATGTAAATCATTTAAAAGATAGTTTGGCACCAGGTGTTGCATGAGATAACTTCTTGCTAATGATGATGGTGTTTGATTCAGTATTGAATCTACTAGGAAAAATATTTAAAATGTCCTAGGAATGGTGTATTTCATTATTTTAGAGTTTATGCTTAGAGTTTAGCTTGTGAATTTTGTGTGTGTGTGTGTGTGTGTGTGTGTGTGTGTGTGTGTTTAAGAAAACTAGGGGCTTGAAAAAGGGCCTCACTCTTGCTTAGCTTTTCATTCATGGTGAGTGCTCTATCATTTGAGGCATACTCCCATTTCCGGCTTTGTGCTGGTTAATTAGAGATAGGAGTCTCAGATTTGTCTGCTCATGCTGACTTGATCCTTAGATCTCAGCCTCCTGAGTACCTAGGATTACAGGTGGTTGTGTTTTTTATTGTTTTCTGTTCAGCAACTTTGATTTCCCTTTTCAAGAACAGCTAAGTAGATTAAGTAGTTGACTGTTCATGTCAAGGGCATTTGTGTGTGTGTGTGCGCGCGCGCGAGAGTGTGTGCACGCGTATATGTGCATGCGCACCTGCTTGTTAGCTCCAAGGTTTCAATTCTGAGTCTAGGCGTTGTCCCGGTGCTTTTCGTTGTTGTTGTTGTTGTAGGGCTTGAACTCTGGGCCTAGGCATTGTCCCTGTCTCTTCAGCTCAGGGCAAGTGCTCTCCACTTAAACCACAGAGCCACTTCCGGTTTTCTGGTGGTTAGTTGGAGATAAGAGTCACATGGACTTCCTGCCTTGGCTGGCTTTGAACTGCGATCTTCAGATCTCAGCCTCCTGAGTAGCCAGGATGACAGGTGTGAGCTACTGGTGGCCAGCTCTCTGAGCTTTTTTTTTGTTTTTTTTTGATGGACTAGTGTTCTACCACTTGGGCTTCACTTCCTTTTTTTTTTTTTCTTTTGCTGGTTATTGGAGATGGGAGCCCCACAGACTTTTCTGCCCCAGATGGCTTCAAATATTGATCCTCAGACCTCAGCCTCCTGAGTAGCTAGGATTTGAGGTGTGAGACACCAGCACATGGCTTGTCAAGGCTTTTTAATAGATAGCTTGCTCTTCAGCCATGTCTTACCCAAATATTCTTATTGAAAAACTTATGCATAATATATGATCAAATATAAATGTGTGATTTTAAACTATTCTTAAAGACTTTCTTAGGCAAATAGCTTAGAAAACAGTAGAAACTGTACTTTCAGGTTTTTATTTTTATTTTTCCCCTGGTCATGGGGCTTGAACTTAGGGCCTGGGTGCTTCCCCTGAGCTCCTTTTGCTCAAGGCTAGCACTCTACCCTTTGAGCCACAGGTCCACTTCCGATTTTTGAGTAGATAAATAGAGATAAAAGTCTCATGGGGATTTTTCTGTCTGCCCTGGCTTTAAACTGTGATCTTCAGATCTTAGCCTAATGAGTAGCTAGGATTACAGGTATGAGCTACTGGCGCCCTCAATATTTTCAGGGTTTTTTTGATTTATGTTTTTACTGGTCCTGGGGCTTGAACTCAGGCTTGGGTGCTGTCCCTGAGCCTCTTTGTGCTCAAGACCAGAGCTCTACCACTTGAGCCACAGCTGCCTTTCTGGCTTTTTTTCTTTTTTTTCTTTCTTTCTTTTTTTTTTTTCTGGTCGTGGAGCCTGAACTCTGGGCCTGGGCACTGTCCCTCAGCTCTTCAGCTCAAGGCTAGTGCTCTACCACTTGAGCCTCAGTCCCACTTCCGGCTTTTTCTGCTTATGTGGTGCTGAGGAATTGAACCCAGGGCCTCATGCATGCAAGGCAAGCACTCTACCACTGAGCCACCTTATCAGACCCCCAGTTCTGGCTTTTTTCTGAGTAGTTATTGGAGATGAGTCTCATGGACTTTTCTGCCTGAACTGGCTTTGAATCGTGTTCCTCAGATCTCAACCTCCTGAATAGCTAGGAAAACAGGCATGAACCACTGGTGCCCAATTTAATATTTTCAGATTTTTTTTTTTTTTTTTTTTTGGTTTGTCGTGGGGTCTGATCTCTGGGCCTGGGTGCTGTCCCTTAGCTCTTCAGTTCAAGACTAGTGCTCTATCACTTGAGCCACAGCACCACTTCTGGCTTTTTCTGCTTATGTGGTGCTGAGGAATCGAACCCAGGGCCTCATGCATGCAAGGCAAACACTCTACCACTGAACCACCTTCCCAGCCCAATATTTTCAGTTTTTAAATAAGAGAATATTTGCCCTAAATATGATGGTTAGACAATTTAAATGAGAAATGATGAATAAGGACACTGAATAGAAAAATACAGAAAACTATGAGGCTTTTAGTAGGTTCAAAGGGGAAGGAAAGCAGAAACTTTTATCTATAAAAGGTTGTGTTTGAATAATTTGAGGGAAGTTGAGAGAAATAGAAAATTGTTGGAGAGATGCTGATGGATAACAGTAGCTTAGTATTGGATAAAAAGGATGAATAATTAACACTCATAATTTAATACAATTTCATATTAGTAGTGAGGGGAACCAGGTTGGTAATTGTTAGTATAGCAGCTGTTAACTAATAAAATTAGAGGACTAGCACTACCTATCAATAATCACCTCTAAGCATTTAGAGATCTTAGGGTACAGTTAGTATGCCATTAGATCACATGGGAGCTCTGGTTTTAAGAGTCCAAATAACGGGATTCTCATCTCTTTAATTATGCTTAGCCAGTTATATAACTATGGGAAAATCTTTTTTTTTTTTTTTGGGTCCGGTCATGGGGCCTGAACTCTGGGCCTGGGCACTGTCCCTCAGCTCTTCAGCTCAAGGCTAGCACTCTACCACTTGAGCCACAGTGCCACTTCCAGCTTTTTTTCTTTTTGCTTATGTGGTGCTGAGGAATCGAACCCAGGGCCTCATGCATGCAAGGCAAGCGCTCTACCACTGAGCCACCTTCCCAGCCCCCATAACTATGGGAAAATCTTAAGTTTTGTGAGCACAAAGATAAACTTTGTCCATGATTTCTTTATATGTGACTGGTATTTGTTGTGGTAAGCATGGGCATCAATTCTCATGGTGCATGTTTGTCTTTGGGTAACAGGTACCCTCTTACCAATTACACTTTTGGTACAAAAGAGCCCCTCTATGAAAAGGACAGCTCTGTTGCAGCCAGATTTCAGCGCATGAGGGAGGAATTTGACAAAATTGGAATGAGGAGGACCGTAGAAGGGGTTCTGATTGTACATGAGCACCGGCTGCCCCATGTGTTACTGTTACAGCTGGGAACAACTTTCTTCAAATTGTAAGTGTTGTTAGAAATTAATACCAAGACAGTGTTTAGTGGGATGGCTGTTTCATGCACCTTTGGAATACAATTTTAGTCCTTAGTCATTAATTTCAACAAACTTTTGTTAATGGCATCTTCAGGAGTCTTCAGGGGGAAAAATGATGATTATTTTCTCTAGTGCAGTGTGCACTTATTTTCCTAACTAGAAATCTGCACGTTTCTTTATATTTTGATGTTAGTGATTGAGCTTGGTAGAAACCCCATGAAACAGATCAGACTAAGCTCAGTTTCTAGATATCAGTGTAGCATTACTAAGAGCATTTGATGTTATTGTTTCCTTTAGGATGATGTCCTCTCCTCTTAAAACAGTTTAATTTTATCATTTGAGCTCATAAGTCTATAAATATATACCCAGTCCGCAGTTACTTGGTCAAAGTATGCTAGAAATCTAAAAAACTTAGATATTCTTGAAAACTATCTTATTCCTGAGACCTAAAAAACATTTCTGTTGCTCAGCCTTTCTAGACTCCATTTCTTCCTGAGAGGAGAGTGGAATGGATTTTGGCCAGTAATTGTATTTATGCTGTTAGGCATTTTTCTGTGTAAAGCTAGGTAGATTAGTATGAACTCAATGTTCCAGTGTACTCTTTCTTCTGCCTTTGACATTTGTTTTAGTTGCCTTATGTGATGTTGAGATGTTTTATTCACTTCAGTGATAGAAATGATTACTGTATTATTTCTGTAATCCTAATTATATTAAGTTGCATACTGAAATTTCTTAACCTTTGTACAGACCTGGTGGTGAACTTAACCCAGGAGAAGATGAAGTTGAAGGACTAAAACGCCTAATGACAGAGGTATTTTTCTATTTACTCTCTGACCGTTTTATTGCCTATCTGAATACCACCAATTTATAATGAGATTTTATTATGTCTAATGAAAAAGATAAGATTATATGAGATATTTAATTTTTAATACAGAAAATAGACTCAAGTGTTAGTATATGTTCTTTAAGTTGAATTCACACAATTTATCTTACCATTTTGAAGTCAGTCTAATAACAGTGTTGTAATAATGGTGATAAATGACCAACTTTCATTTATTAATCACTTTGCTAGATACTGATTTAAGTGCATTACATTCAATAACTTTTTTTTTCTCCCCCCTGGTGATTGAGGTTTGAATAGTGCCTTAGACTTGCTAGGCAAGTACTCTAAAACTTGAGCCATATCTCTGGCCCTTTTTCACCTTAGTTATTTTTCAGGTTAGTGTTTTTATGATTTTCTCTGGGCTGGCCTTGAACTGTAAGCCTCCTATCTGTCCCTCCATAGCTCAGATTACAGACATGTGCTACTATGTCTAGTTGAGATGGGAGTTTTGCTCACTTTTTGCCCATGCTGGTCTGTTCTCTGTCTCCCAAATGCTGAAATGAGAGGTCTGTAAGGTAAATTAAATAGGCTTAATTAGGTAGCTGATAAAGAGAACGTCACTCGGTATTCAGGCAGGAAGAAAAGTTTATATTACCAAACTGCTGCCCCACTGTGCTTGGTGGAAAAATGTATGGCTGAAGGGGCAGAGCTTAGGTCCTGCCTGGGTTCAAGTAGGGAAGGGGAAGGAAGAAGGTGTGGCCAGATGCTGGAAGGTGTGGGCACACCAGATGAAGACCAGATGTGGGACTCTCAGAGCCTGAGACCCTACCTCAGTCCCGGTGTATGGGGGGAGTGGTGGCCTCTGAGGAGGAGGTAACTCCCTCCAGGTGTGCCAGTTACCTAGGTGATACAGGTACTGGGTGGAGACTTAGCCAAGATGTGGGGAAGCCACGGCCCGTTTGGCCCCAGAGCAGACCTTACATGGTCTTCAAGCCTGCCCACAATACTCCTCTAATCATCATAACAGCTCCAAAGTAGGTATTATCATTAATCCCATTTTACAGATAGGGAAATGAGGGCACAAAGTGTTTAAACAACTTGTTATTATAGAGCCAATGTGTAGTAGAGCTGGAGGTTTAAATGCAAATGATTTTGTCCCAAAGTAGGATTTTGGGTAAGAGAAGTCTGTCTTAATATACCTGCTTTTGCATATACCTTTTATATTTTGCCTAAGTTATACTATTTTTAAGATTTCTGATGTCTGTTTCTGAAGAGTTGGAGCCAAATGCATAGAATTGGAAGTTTTTGAGATTGTAGGGTTTTTCATTATCAAATATTTTTCTTTTTTAGCATACTTCCTTAATTAAAAAACTAATACACTGTCTGAAAAGCAAAAGGGAAACAAAACTAAGATGAATCACTTGTAATTCTACTCTTGACCTACAGATTTTTCTAGGCATTAGTTTGGTTTTTGGAGATGACAAGGTCTCACTTCATAGCCCAAGATGGCCTCAAATTTGAGATTCTCCTGCCTCTGCCTCTTGAATGTTAGAAGTACAGTCATGCACCACCATATTAGCTTTTAGTATTTTTTAAAGTGCATTGCAGTTCTTAAGGATGCTGTACTGTGCTTCATTTACGTATAATAGAATCTACTTGCTTACCTCTAATTCTGAAAACACCACTAAAAAGGTGGAATATCTTTAAAAAAGAAATGAATTCAAATTGGGGGCACAAAAATGAGATTATAGCAAGTAAAAATGGGGGTGTCTAGAAAGCAGATAGCTAGATCATAAATGACTTATCAGAACCCTTGGGGGGGTGTTGGGGGACGGGGGTGAAATTCAGAATCCGGCACTGAAGAACACCAGTAAGGCTGAAGAATTTGAAATGTTAAGTACCTGTGAAAGTGGGCACATGCATGGGTTGGAAACCAGATTGATGAAGTCTATGTAGGGTGTATTTATATATTAGATCGTCTTTCCTACTCTATAGGTAGGCAAGACTGGCTGATGATTGAGTCTCTGTAATAATTGATCAGAAAACAGCTACCAATGAAAAGTAAGGCGATAAGAATAAGGGAGTTTCCCTTCTGGCTACTGAGACTTCCCAGGACTTGATACTCCTAGTTCAGAATAGAGCAGAACTACACAGAAAGTGTCCTAGTAGCTGAGAGAATGTTAACAATTACTGCAGGCAGAAAACTAGATGTATTTTTTGGAGATAGTGACCAATCCAAGAACAACTCTACCTGATAGATTTGTATATGTTAGAAAAGTGCCCTACCATTGAGCTAATTTTCCAACCTGAGCAGGCTTCTCTTAAGGGTTCAGTCTTAGTACCTATCAGAGGAGGAAACAAACACTAACAACACCTCATGATTTCATCTTTCTTTTTTGGGGATCAACCATGGGGCTTGAACTGAGGACCTGAGTGCTGTCCCTGAGCTCCTTTGTTCAAGGCCAGAGCTCTACCACTTTGAGCCACAGTGCCACTTTTGGTTTTCTAGTGGTTAATTGGTGATAATAGTCTCAGGGACTTTTTTGCCTGGGCAGCTTTGAATTGAGATCCTCATATCTCATCTCAGCCGCCTGAGTAGGTAGGCTTATAGGCATGAGCTACAACACTTGGCTACAAAAAAATGCCTTTGATTTGACATCTTGCTCATCATTTTTTTTTTTTTTTGAGTAATCTTAGTAAGAAAGAGATAAAAAGAAGCAAAAGGAATAAAAAAAATGGAAATATTCATAATTGAAAAAACTGATTTAATATAAGCAAGTTTTGGTAGCTCATCTTTCTAATCTTACTTAGGCAGAGATCAGAAGGATCACAATTTAAGGCCAGCCTGGGTAAAAAGTTGGGGAGATCCCAACTTTGCTGATGCACACAAGCTGGGTTTGGTGAGCTCAGCTGAAAGGAAAAACATTTAAGTAGGAGTATCTCAGACTGAGACTGTTACCCAGGTAAGATCAGAAGATCCTATATGGAAAAATTAAAAAAAAAAAAAAAACAAAACTAGTTGAGGCCGGGCACCGGTGGCTCATGCCTGTAATCCTAGCTACCGAGGAGGCTGAGATCTTAGGATCACAGTTCAAAGCCAGCCCAGGCAGAAAAATCTGTGAGACTCTTATCTCCAATGAACCACCAGAAAAGTGGAAGTAGTGCTGTGGCTCAAGCGGTTGAGTGCTCGCCTTGAGCTGAAGAGCACAGGAATAGCGCCCAAGCCCGGAATTCAAGCCCCATGACCCCCTCCCTCCCCCCCCAAAAAAACAAAAACTAGCTGACGACTTAACTGGTATTGCACTTGTGAAGGCTCTAAATTAAAACCCCAGTGTCACCCAAACAAAACAAAAACTAGGATTATTATTCTTTGTATAATAAGAAAAGGTATTATATCTATAAAACAAAAATCCCTTAGAAGTGTCCTATCCAAAGGGAAAAAACCTTACACATGCTGGAAAAAATGTCAGTGACAACAATAATAAACAAAATATCAGCACTAAAATTGTATCTGTAACTTTAGAACTTAGCCTGAAGCAAAGATTTAGTTTGAAATGGCCTGGCTGTCTCAAAAAAAATAAAAAAAGTTTAATTCTATTGGATTAGAATATAAGGATATAGAGATGGCATGTAGGGGAGGAAAGACTAAATTCATGGGTCTCCAGAAGGACCAATAGAAACTACAAATAGAACTGAGGATAAAGAAGAATTAGCATAATTTGAGCAAATTTCCCCAACACAGACCACAAGTTATGAGATTGAAAACTCACAACTCTAAAATAAATGTTTATGAATCCAAGGAAAGGCATAGCATCCCAAAACTTTAGATCAATAGTGATGAACAGAAGGTACCCAAAGTATCCCTAATGAAACAAGTGGCTAAGCAGTGAAATAGATTAAATACAACCATCAAAATCAGAAATGGCAATGCCCAGAAGTAATGCTGGAAGCTAAAAGATCCTGGAGCATTCCTTTATAACTCTGAGAGGATTTGATTTCCATCTTAGAATAATATCTAGATATGTGGGAGGCTGAAAAAAATAGGAGAGGCCAGCCCCAGCAGGAAAGTCTCAAGACCTCTTTCTTAATCCTCATCTGGATACTGTGGCACACCTGGCATTGTAAGCTATGTGGGAGGCTGAGACTGGGAAGATTTTAGTTCCAGGCTAGCCTGGGCAGAAAAATCTGAAGAACTCATGTCAGTGGAGGGAAGCTTGATGTGGTGGCATGCACCTAATACCCCAGCAATGATAGGAAGCCTTAAATAGGTAGATTGTAGTCCAGGCATATGCCAGGACAGAAATTAGATTCTGTCTCAAAAATAGTGAGCAAAAGACTGTGTTGGAGAGAGAATCGTAACACTGTAGGAAAAGAGGCCAAGGTGAGACCCTAAGACTCCAGCTGTGAAGCAGGGCTGAGCACATCTAGTATAGAGTGGAGCATAGCACGAGTGTCCCTTAGAATGAAATTGATAGAGTGAAGTTAGAATGTAGAAGTAAGTTTAGTTGTTTTAGACAATTGGGAATGAATATAGTGATAGCAAAGTAATTGAAAGAAAAGCATAGCTGTACAAATAATAAATTATACTTTTAGTTTACTAATCACTGTTATGACTGATAATATGACTTAAATATTTACCGATTTAGTTAGTGGTAAACAGGATTTTGGAAGAAAAGTGAATGGGAAGATGATTTAAAAAAACCATTTTTCCAAAATCTCATCTTTTTAGTCTTTTTTAGACTTTAAGAAATGGGAAGTAGTTAAGAAACAATCATAGGAGAATTTTTTTTTTTAATGTACATTTAGGACTGGGTGTGGTGGTAAAGCCCAAGCAACTTGGGAAGTGGAGGTAATGATCAGTCTGAGACACTGGGTAAGCAAGACCTTACCTAAAAAGTAAACTAAAGCTCAAAGGGGTTGGCTGGGTCATGCGGTCATGCTCAAGTGATAGAGTGCTTGCCTAGCAAGCAAGAGGCCCTGAGTTGTTCAAACCTCAGTATTGTCTCTTCTCCCCAAAATTAATTTTATATTGGAGAAATCTGACAAGCACTACTTCAGACAGGTGATCAGAAGTCATATTAATGGTAAGTCATGTTCATAGCATGGCACTTTTACAAAACACTATGGTCTTCCTTCCAAAACTCTATGGCCTCAGTCTAGTTGAAAAACACCCTACAAAATAGGATGACTGCTCAGAACTTCCCAGGATCATCAAACACAAGGAATTTGAGAAATAAGGAAAGTGAGCTAGCTGCTGGTGGCTCACTCCTGTAATCCTCGCTTCTCAGAAGGCTGAGATCTGAGGATCATGGTTCAGTGCTAGCCCGGACAGGAAAGTCCATGAGATTCTTACCTCCAATAAACCACTAGAAAACTGGAAGTAGTGCTGTGGCTCAAGCAGTAGGTGGCTCGCCTTGAGCTGACGAGTGCAGGACAGCACCCAAGCCCAGTGTTCAAGACTTTGACCAACCAAAAAAAAAGAAATGAGGAAAGTGTAGTTTGAGGAGAAATGGTGACCAAATGAGGTCTTTTATAAGACTGAAAAGGGTTATTAGGTAAAAACAAGGATATCTGAATATCAAAGTATGAACTTCATTTCTAATATGTTTTGATATTGGATCATTTGTTATGATAGTTATGATGTAATTGTTAATAATAGGGAAAACTGGATGTAGGGCACATAGAAATATTCGGAACCATCTTTGCAACTGTAATTTTAAAACTGTTAAAATAATTTGTTTAAAATTGGTAAGAATGGGGTTGGGAAAGTGGCTTAGTTGTAGAGTGCTTGCCTACCATGCATGAAGCCCTGGGTTCAATTTCTCAGAACCACTTAAACAGAAAAGGCCAGAAGTAGTGCTATGGCTCAAGTGGTAGAGTGCTAGCCTTGAGCAAAAGAAGCTCAGGGACAGTGCTCAGGCTCTGAGTTCAAGCCCCAGGTCTGGCAAAAAAACAAACAAAAAAACCTCTCCACCAAAATGGTTATTAGTAAGTTCATTTACCAGCTATCCTATTTCTTTTGACAGATACTAGGTCGTCAAGATGGAGTTCTGCAAGACTGGGTCATTGATGACTGCATTGGTAACTGGTGGAGACCAAACTTTGAACCTCCTCAGGTCCGTGTTCACTTGTATTTGCTGAGGATTGGGGAAGTGGAAAATTCTAGATATTTTTAAAAATGATGAAAGTAGAACTTGAAATTTCCTATTCTCTTTTTAATTTTTTTTATTGTGAAAATACTGTACAGAGGGGTTACAGTTATATGAGCAAGGTGTAATGAGTACATTTCTTATCAAGCATTGTTGCCTCCTCCTCTGTTTTTTCCCTACCCTCCCTTCCCTCCTGCCTCCACAACTATACTCAACTATACTCCTCTCCCCTGCCTAAATTGTAAAGCTCATTTTTCAACATAGTGTCTTGTATATCTCATTGTTAAAATGGGTCAACCTGTTTCCTTATTTTTTTACCAGTCATGGGGCCTGAACTCGTCCTGGGTGCTGTCCCTCAGCTCTTTAGCTCAAGGCTAGTGCCCTACTGCTTGAGCCACAGCGCCACTTCTGGCTTTTTCTGCTTATGTGGTGCTGAGGAATTGAACCCAGGGTCTCATGCATGCAAGGCAAGCACTCTACCACTGAGCTACCTTCCCAGCCCCCTGTATCCCTATTTAAACATTTTGTTTTTTTTTCCCTTCCCCTCTTTTTTCTCTTCTTTAGACTAAAAAAAATTACCAAAACTGAGCATTTTATGAAAACTCTACAAATACAAAAGTAGAGAGAAAGAAGTCAATCTACCCATAACAATAGCTCATAATTAAACATACTCATCAGTTTTCTTCTGCCATGTTTTCCTTGCCCTCATCTTGGGTCATTTTTGAAGCAAAGTGTAGATAGCATTTCACTTGTAAATACTTTAGTATAAGAGTCATAGAGATTATGATCTTTTCCTTTTTTTTTTTTTTTTGTTGGGCAGGGCTTGAGCACTGTCCCTCAGCTCTTCAGCTGAAGGCTAGCACTCTACCACTAGAGCATCAGCACTATTTCTGGCTTTTTCTGCCTATGTGGTACTGAGGAATCGAACCCAGGGCCTCATGCATGCAAGGCAAGCACTCTACCACTGAGCTACCTTCCCAGCCCTGAGATTATGATCTTTTAAAGAATGATCTTAGTACTACTAATATACTAAAGTAATTTTATAACTTGTAGTATCTAGCACTTATTTTTACATGTCCTGATTATTTCTTTTTTTAAAAAAATATTTGTTTGAATTAAGATAGTCTTTTAAGATCTTTTTATACCTACATGTTGATTACCTATTTCTTTTTCCTTGTAATGTATTTGTTAATAAAAATAGACAAGCATTTCTATTGTAGATACACTCCCTGTTGTCATTGAACTTTGTAGCCTTTTCTCTTGCATGTCTTGTAAATTAATAGATCAAAAGATTAGATTAAGGCTCAGTGATAACAGCCAGGAAAATTAGGCTTGTCATGGATCATATTTTATTGAAATGTAACAGATTATAGGTTGAATACCTCTAATCCAAAAATCTGAAATTTAAGCTATTTGGTTGACGAGATGCTAAAAAGGTTTAGGATTTGAATTAGGAATGTTCAGCTGGTAAAGTCTGCTAACAGTTTCATCCCAAGCCTTTCCAATAAGGAATACTAAATACTATCCCCAAATCTGTCAACCTGAAACAGTGGATATTATCTGTTTCTCAGGAACGCCTTTGCAGGGGGTTTCTGCTCAGGTCTCATGAAGTTACAGCGAGATTGCATCATAAGCCTGAACTGGGGAGGATCTGATCCCAGGCTCACATGTATTGGAGCACATCACAGTTCCTTCTGAATTGTTGGATTCAGTTTTTCCTGGATGTTGACCCAAGACCTCCCTTCAGTTCCTTGTCATGGGAACATCTCCAAAGGGTAACTCTCACTAAAGCAGCCACTTTCCCCAGAGTGTGCTATTGAAGAGACTGTGAGAGACAGCCACAGGGTGCCCAGATAGGAAGCAATTTTTGGTTATAACCCTGGAACATAGGAGGAGAGGATTCTACAAGGATGGGAATGTCAGGAGACAGGTGTTTGGGGTCATTTTGGAGGCTGGTTCCATAGGTGATGTTTTGTACTTTTTTTAAGATTTTAGAAATAAGATTTTAGGTCAGTGGTGTTAATTTCCTGGAGCTAGGAAATTATTAGGGTTGTAATTCTTCTATAAAGAATACAAAGACAGCCAGGCGCTGGTGGTTCACGCCTGTAATCCTAGCTATTCAGGAGGCTGAGATCTGAGGATTGTAGTTCAAAGCCAGCCCAGGCAGGAAAGTCCTGAGACTCTTTATCTCCAATTAACCACCAGAAAACTGGACATGGTGCTGTGGGTCAAGTGGTAGAGGGCTCGCCTTGAGCTGAAGAGTTGAGGGAGAGGGCCCAGAGTTCAAAAAAATAAAGTTCTAGGAAGGAAGGGAAGGAAGGAAGGAAGGGGGAAAGAAAAAGAAAGAAAGACAAGGAGAAATTTTTTTTTTTTGTTGGTCATGGGGCTTGAACGCTGGGCCTGGGTGCTGTCCCTGAGCTCAGCTCAAGGCACAGTGCCATCTCCAGTTTTCTGGTGGTTTATCGGACATAAGAGTCTCACAGACTTTCCTGCCTCGGCTGGCTTTGAACCACAATCCTCAGCTCTCAGTCTCCTGAGTAGCTAGGATTACAGGCATGAGTCACCAGTGCCCAGTATAAGATAAACTTTTTTTTTTTGGCATGCGCGTGCGTGCGTGCGTGCGTGCGTGTGTGCGTGCGTGCGTGCGTGTGTGTGTGTGATGGGGCTTGAACTCAGTCAGGGCCTGGGCACTGTCCCTAAGCTTTCTTGCTCAAGGCTAGCACTCTACCACAGTTTTCTGGTGGTTAATTGGAAGTAAGAAGTCTCAGGGACTTTCCTGTCCAAGCTGGCTTCGAACCTCCATCATTAGATCTCGGCCTCTTGAGTAGGCGAGAGCTACTAGTGCCCAGATAAAGAGAAACTTAATCATTCTATAAGTTACTTATTTGCCCTGAGGTTTATCTCTTGTATAGGAAAGAACAGATGCTTCCTCTCTTTGTCAGTTTTCAGAAGAAGCAGTTTGTTCCTGTCTTCTGAAGACTAGGCTTCATTCTTCAGAGAATAAGGGTGAATTGGGAAGTGATCTCAGAAAGTAGAAGTGCATAGGGAGAGGGAGACCAGAAGCAGGAAAAGTCAAAGAAAAAAAAATTACCTAACTGGTGTTAGTAGTTGTGAGCAATGATTAATTTGGTCAAGGACAGTCAGGAACTAAATGAAATGCACCTCGTGGCTGTCCATCAAAAGATACAAGGCCAGGGACTCAGATGGGTTGGAGGTGCTTCACCTTCCTTGCAATTTCATGTTGAGTCTAAACATGAGCTGAGAAGACTTTTCAGACTTTGGAAAGGCTTGGAGGCTAAAAAGCAGATAGTGGGACAGTGGCAACAAGCAGGGAACTATCCTCCATGCTTAAATATAGCTGCTCTGAACTTTGAGGGAAAGTGAGATGTTGAGACATGGGCACAAAAACATGTTTCAGTGACCTTTCAAAGTATCAGCATACATCAGGACTTAAATATTCTCGATTTATTTTAATGATTGATACTGAGGCTCAAAATTTTCCTACTTTGGGCTAGTGAGTGAACATCTTAGTTAATCAAAATCCCTTATAACTTGATAGCTTCTTTCCAAGTCAAGCAAAATGCGTCTGTCTTATATGGTAGATGGATAGGACATGGAGCTGTCCGTGTCCTTCCTGTGGAGGCTAGTAAGATTGCCACAAACATCTATGTTCCCAGTTTCACACAGAAGTAATGAGGTGGCTGGCTCAAAGCCAAGTGGAGAAACCATTCTAAACTGTTTTTGTTTCCATTTTGGTTTTCTAACATTCACTAATTGGAGACTGCTTGGTAATAACCTAACGATTTTGCTGGTTGCTTTCTGAATATCCTCATACATTCATCTTCCCTACCATGGTTCCACAACAACTCCCTTACTAGAGTCTAAGGATAACAAAAGAGTGAATTTATTTAATAAGCATGTGTTTAAAAAGTCCAGTTGGCTTAGATATTAAGACCAGAACTAGAGAAGAGTGGCACCAAAAGGATCTTTTAGCCTCAGAAGAAAGCACAGCAACTTCACTTTAATTTGGGTCATGGTTTGTTGGGTATGAACTACAGGTGTTTGATTAGCGTGTGCTGTTTTAAGTTACTTCTCACCTCTTTGTCTTTACTGGTTTTGATTAGTGCTAAGGACTACCAAAGCCTGGCTTGGATAATTGCCTCAATTCATTGTGCATTAGGTTCTGGTGTATAATTATCCTAACTTGAATACTGGTTGGATGTGATGAGAGTATAGTGGGAAATAACATTGGCTTTTATAATAAGGTAAGAATTGAATAGATGTAGTTGAATGTTGGCTTCACTACTTAGCAGCATGATCCTGGGAAAGGCCTTTCTCCTTTTAGCAACAGATCCTATGTAAAGGGGGAATAATGACACTACCTACTTTGGTGCTTTTATCATCCTCTCTCCTTGTATGTATTTTTCAGCATTTTAAAATTGCTTTACTCTCAAATGCAACTTCAGATTTCTGAGTATTGTGGAGAGATGTAGGAAAGTGTTGTGTGTGTTTTTTTTTCAAGGTGGGGGGGGGAAACATTTTCTTTCCTCTATATCATAATTATTTTTATTTTGGTACTAGGGTTGGACCTCAAGGCTTCATGCTTGCAAGGCACCAAGTGCTTTAACCACCACTCTTATCCATTTTTGACTTGGTTGTTCTCAAGGTAGACTCTCACTTTTTGCCCTGGCCTCCTATTGACACTTGCTGTTATAGCTGAGATGATAGGAATGCACCTCTGCCCAACTTTTTCTTTGAAAGTGGGGCTCATGAACATTCCCTAGGCTGGCTTCAAACAGAGATCCTCATTATCCCTTCTTCCTGAGTACCCAGGATTATAGGCATGAGCCATTGCTACCCAGAAAAATGATTCATTCTTGGATATCAGTGTCCTTCTGTAGTTCTCTTTCTCCTTTTAAATTTTCTAAAATATTTTCTCCATTTTAGCAAGTAATTAGACTATCCAGCTGGCAGAACACCACCAAGATAGCTCATCTGGTGTTCCTAAAGCGTGTGCAGCAGGAGGTTACATCTTGTTAACTATCTCACAGGCTTTATTTAAACTTTTAACATAGTAAACACATTCACACCAGGATTATAGAGTATTTAACTTAGTAATGATATTTAAAAACAGCAGCAATAATTTTGTTAAAAACACTAATTAAAATCAAATTCATTATATTATAAATTTCCCAAGCCATAATTCCTGTGACTACATATTTGTATTGAGTGTTTGACTGAATTACTACTTGTTATTTTTTACATCTGAAAACATTTACTTACTAGTACATCCGTTAGGTTCTTAGTCCTGGTAAAGACAAATGAGAAAGGGTTGTATACTACTAGCAGTTTACCCTATATTGGGAACTTAAATGAATAAACCCATGTGCTACATGTTATAATAAAATTGTGTTCAGGATATGAGAACTGAGCTCTAGAAAGTTCATAGTTGAGTTTTATTGTCTGAAATGGAGAAATTAATAATTAAAGGTGTAGAGTTGTAAAGAATTGTGGCTTTTGAAAACTATAAATCGTTCTCATTTCTTAATTTAGTATCCATATATTCCTGCACATATTACAAAGCCTAAGGAACATAAGAAGTTGTTTCTGGTTCAGCTTCAAGAGAAAGGTAAGTTGTTATTGAAGATAGCCATCTAAAAAATTTGTTGTGTTTTCAGTATTTGTTATTCTTTCAAGTTCCTTAAATTTCTAGAATTTATTATAAAGCTAAAAAAATACATACCTCATCCTCTTAGTTGTCTACACTGTGTTTTATTTGTTTGGTTTAGTATTTTGAAATAGTGTTGCTATGTAGCCCAAGGTGACATCAAACTTGGAATGCTGCCTCAGCTTCCTGAATGCTGGGATTACAGGTGTGTTCCACCATACCCAGTACAGGGTATAGTATTTTTAATAACTGGGGCTGTTGATTTTCTAGTGAAAAATCCCAAGAGATTGGTCCTTAAAAAAATAAAATCTCGCTGGGCGCTGGTGGCTCATGCTTGTAATCCTATCCACTGAGGAGGCTGAGATCTGAGGACTGCAGTTCAAAGCTAGCCTGGGCAGGAAAGTCTGCAAGATTCTTATCTCTGATAAACTTGAGCTGTGGCTCAAGTGGTAGAGTGCTAACCTTGAGCTGAAGATCTGAGGGACAGGGCCCAGGCCCAGACCCAGAGTTCAAGCCCCACAACCGACAAAAAAAATCTCTAGAGCTGTTTTAATAAGTATTCTTTTTTTTTTTTTTTGGGTCGTGGGGCCTGAACTCTGGGCCTGGGCGCTGTCCCTCAGCTCTTTAGCGCAAGGCTAGCGCTCTACCACTTGAGCCACAGTGCCACTTCCGGCTTTTTTATTTTTGCTTATGTGGTGCTGAGGAATCGAACCAGGGCCTCAGGCATGCAAGGCAAGCACTCTACCACTGAGCCACCTTCCCAGCCCCCTTAACAAGTATTCTTATGCTTGATAATTTTATAATAGAATTTATTACAAACCCAAGGCTGTTTTCTTTTCCGGAGTCAGTAGTTACATGTGATAGTCTGGCTGTTAATAGCATGTATCTGTCTATTGAGAGAACCAGTTTTTCAAATCTCTGTGACCTTTAATAAAACATACTCAATTTATTAATGGGAAGTATTTTTCCATATTTATTTTTCTCAAATGTAAAGTTTATTGTATGAGAAATTATACAAAATGAATACTATCTTGTTTGTTTTAGCATTGTTTGCAGTTCCTAAAAATTACAAGTTGGTAGCCGCACCGCTGTTTGAATTATATGACAATGCACCAGGATATGGCCCCATCATTTCTAGTCTCCCTCAATTGTTGAGCAGGTACGGAAAGTTGAACATTTTGTGATTAATTTATATCAACCGTCAATTTTTAAATCCACAGAACCACTTGAGAAGGGATAATTCTCAAAAGTTTTTGTTTATAGTGATGAAGACAGTAGGTAGACTGCATGTGTAGACTAAAGATAAAATGTGACCTACAGTGTCTCTGTACTCTTAAATTGTGACACGGTGTCTTGATATTGTGCTCTTCTACAGATATGATGTCCTCTGCAGTTAAGTTTGTAGTCTGTTCAAAGCACAGGTGCCAAAATAGTCAACAGAAGTATGGGAGAGTGATCTATGAACAGATGTAGATTATTTTGCTATACTATTTTCTTTTTGGACCTTACTCTAGGTCTAAATTGGGGCAGAGGGAATATGGAATTAGACCCTAAATTTTTAGATGGGAGTTTAAACTTTAGGGAGATAGTGTTATGAAACTTTTTTTTTTTTTTGATTTATACTAGTTGAGGTTTTTTGTTTGTTTGTTTATTTTTTTGGGTCCGGTCATGGGCCTGAACTCTGGGCCTGGGCGCTGCCCCTCAGCTACCACTTGAGCCACAGCGCCACTTCCGGCTTTTTTCCTTTTTTTGCTTATGTGGTGCTGGGGAATCGAACCCAGGGCCTCATGCATGCAAGGCAAGTGCTCTACCACTGAGCCACCTTCCCAGCCTACTAGTTGAGGTTTTTAGAGCCAATCACAGATAAAGAATTTCTAAATAACATGTTGGTTAGAGTCTGGTCAATGTTTAGATTTGACTGTCATTGTACTGGCTGGCTTTGTAACTCTGGAGAGACTAGTTTGCTTGTTTGTTTCTTCACCTGTAAATATGGCTGGTAGTTTGTTCTTTGTGGGGATATAAGAAATGCTTACAACAGTGCTTGGTGGCTGCCAGTACTTCATAAATGTTAGGTAAAAACAACCCATGTAGTGGTTCTAGTGTTCTAGCTTGATGAATATGAAATAGGCCTTTCCACTCTATTACTAATCAAACTTCATCTTTTGCTTTTACATTTGGGTCTCTTCCTATAAGTTAAAGTATGACATATGGGTGGAGACAAAACTGTGTTCATTTATTTAAACTCCTGCCTGCAAGATAAAGAAGTATACCTTCCTGCCTTGGAGAAAATTATTGTAAATAGTTAATCAAATTTATACCCCCCCAAAATTTGTTTAGTATAAGTATTGATCATTACTGTTATTACTATTATTTATAGTGGGGAAAACCTGTCTTGTAAATGCTAACTATATTAAGGGGGGAGGGGAGAAACAATACCAGACAAATTTCCTTGTCATCAAAAGTGGAAACTCTGTAACTAATACTATTTTTAATAAAGTTTTTTTTTTTAATATTCAGGTTCAATTTCATATACAACTGACTTCTTGCATAGAGGAGAAGTTGAAGCCGTCTCTGTGAGCACAGCTGTACACAGTGTGGAAGAATAAATGTGGTAGAAGTTCTGGTTTTATCTCTTTTCCATCCCTAAGTCTCCACCTATTTTCTATTTGAACAGTAACGTTAATATGAAGAACTAGATAGTGTAAACAAATGTGATAATGTTAACTTTTGGTTCTACTCATACTTTTTTGTACAACATTAAAGAACATGAACATCTATTTGTATTTTTTTTAATTTTAATTTCTCATTAAACTCTAAAAAATCTTAGTTGAAGAGCGTTTTTGTTCCCCTTTAGGCAAGTGACTGTTAAGACCCAATAATAGATCAGTGGAATTTATGGGACTCTTACTTGATTTTGGATTACATAATCCAGGATTGTTGTGGATCTTGTGATGAGGATCTTCCATTATTCTGGGCGATTTATCTGATTGAATCCAAGTTTCAAATCCTGTACCAAACTTTATATTAGTGAGTTCTTCACAGAGTACCACCAACTGCCCAGTAATTTTTTTTTTTTTTAGCCAATCCTGGGGCTTAAATTCAGGGCCTATGCACTATCACTGACCATTTGTGCTCAAGGCTAGTGCTCTACCACTTGAGCCACAGCTCAGCTTCTGGCTTTTAGTGGTTCACTGGATATAAGATTCTCATGGGCTTTCCCGCCCAGGCTGGCTTTGAACTGCAGTTCTCAAATCTCAGCCTTTTGAGCAGCTAGGATTAGAGGTGTGAGCACTGGTGCTCACTGTTATATAGCCATCCAGATTTTAGTTTACAAGCAACAGACATAAGGGGAACCATTAAAACTAGGTCTGTAGTCATGGAGACTGGTATAAAAAGATTGATTTGGAACTTTTTTTTCCCATATGATGGGAGTATTATTTGTGACATTGGGAAATTGTATCTTAATTTTAGGTCCATGGACAAAATAATAAATTTTGAACTCAGATTGCAAAGTTACCTCAGTTTACTCAAGGTTATATGTAGAAATAAGCATCATTTTAGCAGTGACAAAGCTTCAAAAATATTTTGGAGTAACTTGAACCAACTGAATTCTGGGACAGGGTAGGGAACAGCTTTTATGAGTGTAAGAGAAAAATAGCAAATTTTAAAAACTTAGCAACACTGCCCTATTAGGATTAAATTGTGGAAAGTAAAAGGAAATTGAGGACAATGGCCTTGGTTGGTTGTGCCATTCCTTAATGTTCCAAATATTTTGTGCATGCTTTATTCGACTTATTGACTATATATTGACTTTTAATATAAAAGAAAACTTACAAGATATGGGTAATTAAAGAAAGCGGATTGGTAAGGTTTTATAGTAAGCAGAAATGAACTTCTTGTCTCATTTTTTGAGACAGGATCTTGCTTTGTAGCTTAGGCTGGCCTTGACCTCAAGATATTCTAAGTGCTAAGATTACAGGTGTGAGTTGCAATGGGCTCAGAGAACTTTTGACTATTTCTTACATTTAAATGGTACCATCACAAGGCTACTCTTCTGAATATTGGGTGATATCAAAGATATATCATTCTGTATTTAGATGAGAAAATCAAGAATGGGTGTGGACTTAATATTTTATTTAGTTGAAGTCATGCCAAACTTTCACAGGGTGACTAATTGTGCCCATGCTTTGTAGTATGGAACAGCAGTCTTTACATCCGAGGATGACAACTGATTTTCTTGAAGAAGCCACCAGTTCTGACTAGTCCTTTTCCTTCAGAGCTGTCCATCTTGCCTCTGTGGTTTATACTAGTTTCTGGTACAGTGTAGTTTTACTAGCTAAGAGTCCAGCTAATTTCTTCTTCAGATAAAGGAAGCAGAAAAGGAGATGTTGATGGAGCTCATGTTCCATGGTTGCTTTTTCACCTGAGCAGAAAAACATGGCAGATGTTGGCCCTTACAATTCCAGGAGGGTGGAGAAAGGTAAACCTATTCTGGGTATGATTTATAGAGTGTGTCAGTAAGGAGTGTTGGAGTTGAATAGTCATCCAATTCAAGGCCCCACTTGTCCTTTGTAACTTAAGCTTTGCCCTAGAAATTCTTGTTCTTCTCAGTGTAAGTGTTTGGGTCGGTCAACCATATACTGACTCATGAACAAAACCTTTGATTCAGGTTGATTTTGAATGTAAGTTTCCTATAATCAAACACAAATTTTGATTAGTTTTAATTGGATCCTAATTGTTTTGAATTTCTTGATTGATATAGTAGGATAGTAGAAAGATTCAAGTTTCATAGACTCATGAACATTAGAAGACAGTACAGGGTACATTTATTTAATGCTAAGATCTTTTGATATGTAACTTCTTAATCTACTTCAGGAGTGAACAGTCTTAAATTGTGCATTCCAATGATCTGTATTAAATACTGGAAAGTTTTAACATAAGCTTTCAATTAACACATTTTTAAGTATTTGTCTACAAATGAAAACTTTTTGCATTGCATATCAGTATGTCATCGTATTTTCCCTGAGCAATCCAGTAGTACATATTCTATATGAAACTACTAAGTGATACTAGGAAATGTTTAATAGAGTAAGAAGAAAAGTTTTTAAAGTTTTACTTAGTTATTTGCAGTTATACTTAGGACTGACATATTCTTTTGAAGAGAAGTGAAATTTTTTTTTCTAAGTGATGAAGAAAATTGTGATATTTGTAAAAAGCAGGTACTACTTAAAATGGTATTATGATAATTCTGTACATGAATTTGTCTGGAATATTTGAAAGAGTTATATTTTACTGTTCATCATTGTCATACCTTGTAACTAGCATTTAGATATTTAAAGGTTCTATTAAGTTAGCATTGTATTTGGACAAAACATAACCAAACTGCAATCCTATTTTCTTTCATACCTAATTAGAAATAAAAGCTAGAAGTTCTTTAAATTCAGTAGGCCAGTAATACTTATAATTCCCTTTCTTAAATTATGTGACTCTTCTGCTGTCAGCTTTCTAATGACTTTATTTTCAAAGTTTCTGCTCAGGAACTTGAGGAAAAAATGCGTGGAGTAGCTTTTCTCTATTTGAGTTCCTGAGATTTAATGTTTTTACTAGCTTATAGAGTTTGGAACAGTACGCATGGGCCACAAAGATTGCTTTGGAGAATTTTCAGTTTTATGTGTTACATTGCTAGAGAAGGCTTAGTGGTTTTTATAGTGTAAGAACTGATTTTTCCCATGCATATTCCTCTTGTTTTATGTCACTTATTGTTTGGGTTAAACTGGACACTTTTAAGCAGTTTGCCTGTGTGATGAGAAACATAATACTGTGATTTGATTTGAGCCATAACACACATCTTAATGTTAGCTCCTGTTTTGAGGAAAACATATGAAGTCTAGATATGTTTAGGTTAAGTCAAGGTGTATTAGGTATTTTAGCGAGGAAATAAACAAGTTGGGAAAATACATTGATTATGCTATTCCTTTAAGAGAAAGATCAGTGTATTTGAATTTTTAAACTTTAGCTGATATAGAGTTTAGTGGCCTAAAATGCCTGAGATCCTAGGTTTGATCCCTAGTACTGCAAAAAAGCAAAAACCTTAGAACTTTTGGTTACTGTGTTCACATTATTGTGTACAAGCCCCATATAGTTTGGCTTTGAGAACTTTTTTGGTATTGTTTATAGGAAATGTATAAAAGAAGTTGTTTGAAGTTTTGGTTATATTTTTATATTTGTAAAGCAAGGGTTTGATTAAGATGGTCATTGTTCTTTTTTATTTGTCATTTCAATAAAAATATTCAAAACAGAATGACTTTGTGATTATTTTTTGGATAGCCCTATGTGTGGGGATGTTGACCTTAGTGTGCCTGAAAGAATCTTGCATGGTTCTTTGTCCATGGCTGAGAGCCTGGACCATCAAATGCTGTCCTTGCTCCTCGTATTACATGTTCCTGCAGTTGGAAGAGGTCACTGAATTTGGAGCCTGAAAATTGGGAGTTGGAAGTTGCAACACAGAGATGTGATGATAACTTCATGTTCATATGATTAAGAAATCTTTCCTTAATGGAAAGGGGAGATGATTGACTTTTAAACTTCTGAGAAGTTCTGACATAGCATGTTTTTTGCTTATGTAGTTCTGTGTAACTAACTCAGCATCTTTAATAGGAATAGTTTCCCTATAGTACAGGATTTTAACTTGTGTTTGTGTGTGCGTGTGTGTATAACAAAACTATAGCCTTTTGGGCCTTTATAATAGATCAAAAGTTGAATGAGATCTGAAGCTGTTGGCAAGGTTGTTTTGAAAATTTTACTACTGTGTATCTATAACAGACACAAAAGAGTTGAGCAAAGTATGAAAGGCTAAAAGTAGAAATGTGTCCATTAATTTAGTTTTCCCTCCTGCTAGATTCAGCAGTAGAGCACACTGGTCCATCTTCTGAACACACCAGAAATCACTGAGTTACTGGATTCAAATCTTTTTTTTTTGTGTGGGTCGTGAGGCTTGAACTCTGGGCTTGGGCGCTATCCTTGCACTCTTCAGCTCAAGGCGAGCACTCTACCGCTTGAGCCACAGCGCCACTTCTGGTTTTCTAGCGGTTAATTGGAGATAAGAGTCTCACAGACTTTTCTGCCCGGGCTGGCTTTGAACCGTGATCCTCAGCTCTCAGCCTCCTCAGTAGCTAGGATTACAGGCCTGAGCCACCGATGCCTGGGTTTGGATTAGAAGCTTAAGTAACAACAAAATTATCCAGTCCAAAATTATTCCAGGATGGTGAAAATCAAATGAGCTCATGAATACATAAGGACAAAATGTTTTAAAAAATGAAATAATCTGTCTAGATGAGAGTCTTATTCTGTATAAACTGCTTTATCTGGAATGACAAATATTTCTAAACCAAACTGAATCAGAGTTACCATACCACAAAGATGGCAGGAAGTTCAGTCTACCAGTTACTAGGAATAAACGACCTACCTAAAAAAATAGTCTGTAATCTAGAGGGCCAAAATGGTTCTCACATGAGGGTAGGGTTGGAGGTCTCTAGTTTTAATCATGGACTCCACGGAGAGTGGGCCCAGCCTAGAAAATCTAGTGCTATTTCTGCCTCGCTACACTTGCGGCTTGGGACTCAACAGATAGTCCTCATGTCTGTGGCCCAGTCTTTATTGGTACACTAAACATTTATGTCTCCTGTGTCCAGTCTTTTCATCTGGAATGGAGTGTAATTGCCAAAAGTTAGAAGTATGGATTAAGACTGGAAAGTTTTGTTTGGCTCAACAAACAAATCCTTAAAGCAAGTCTTGAGGGTGGTGCTGGGACCTGTGGTTACATGCCTGTAGTCCTAGCTGAAGCAAGAATGTTTGAATCCAGGATTTAAGACCAGCCTGGACAACTTACTTAGACCTTGTTCCTTGAAAAAAAAATTTCAAGAAGTAGTTATGTTCTTAGTTGAAGGGAACAAAGGAGAACAATTACTGATTATTCTAGTGAAATATCCAGTCATAAGCCTTTAAATTCCTTTTAAATGCAAATGAGAATTGTCTTAACACGGGTGGGTTAATTTCATCAGTTTCACAAATTGGATTTTCAAAAAGCTTAAGCTTCTAAAACTTAAAGCAGATCTTAATGCCAGCTGCTCTTAGTGATAACACAAGGTTGATGTGTAACATAACTGGTGGCTTGGGTTCAATGTGAATGACACTGCAGCTTAATTATGGTGATTCAGATCTGATCTGTAAAGGACAATAATGCCCTGGAAAGCTACTATCCTCATAGTTTATAAACAAAGCTTTTTAGCAGTCAAGCTTAAAGGTCCATGTTTTAATCAGATGGCTTTTGTCAGAGAACTAAAAGGAGTTCCAATATTCATAAAAGACTTAAAGGCAGCCTCAACCCCAGGAAAGCCAAACTTGTTTCATAGAAGACCCTAACATGGTTGTTAATCTTGAGGGTTTGTTTTTTTTTTGTGGTGAGTAGACTTTTAGAATATTGAAATGAAAAATACTTTAGGTATAAATTAGTTCCTTTATATAAAAAGTGTAGAAGATGCAACAACTGTACCTACTCTGGGTTGGACACGATTATAGGCCTTGGGAATACAATAAAAAGCAAGACCCTTAAACTAGCACCTTTTGTAAAGATGGTTTTATTTGGTAACAGTTTTGAAATAGAATTCACTTGTTGAGGGTGTAACATTCTGCTTTAACTCATACAACAGTTACATTCATAGTTGTGTAGCTATAATTTTTTTAGATCATCTCAGAAGTACCATTTAGTCACCACTCAGTTCTCATCTCATCCTTAAGTAGCCATTAATATATTTTCTTTTGTGGGGGAGGGAGGGAAAGAACCGGGTGGGTATTGAACCCACTGGGCTGGCACTCCACCACCTGAGCCCACACCGCCAGCCTCTGGTGTCCTGTTTTTATTTGCCTGTGCGGAACATGTCATTATCATCAGGATCACACATTTGGACTTTTGTTTCTGGCTCTGACTTAGGCAAGTTTCCAAGGTTCGGCCATGTTGTGTCATGGATCAGCACTGAATTCTTATGGCCGAATATTCCACTGTATGGATTACCCCCCCTCGTTTCCACTCATCGCTTGGTGGATGTAAGGTTTCCATTTGGGTTACTTGTGTGTGCTTTTTTCGTGGATGTGCTTTCATTTCTCTAGGGTAAGCAAACAGGAGTGTAATTGCTAGGTCAAATGGTCACTCATGTTTACCTTTGAGGGACTGACAATTTCCGAGAGAAGCTGCACCATTTTACTCACCCACCCCCGAAAAATTAACTTCGTTTAGAGGTCATGCTCCAAGCTTTACACAGAAACTTAAAACTTGGTTAATATTTTTTCTTGATGGGACAGGCTCCTATGGCATTTACCTCGCCCCCCACGCCCCAGGACAGCAGAGTGGCCGCCGGGGTGCTCAGGGGCGACCTGTTGGAGGTGGGGGGCAGTGGGCCTCCCCGGCGCGGACCGGCCCGGCCGGCTCGGCCGACCTGGCGTCCGCACCCTACGGCCCGACCGGCCGGGGCCGGGCGGGGGCCGGAGCGGCCGGAGCGGGCGGACTGAGCGGAGGATGCTGCTGGGTGCCGGCCCCCGGGGCCTGAGAGCGGAACCTGCGTCGGCGGGGCGGAGGCGCGGCCGCAGGAGGCGGGGGACGAAGGCCGCGCCCCCGTGCCCGTCCCGCCCGCGTCCCGCGGGGGGCGGCGGCCCGCCCCGAGCCCGCCGAGGCTCTTCCGCACCGGCAGGGGCAGCAGCGGGAGCGGCGCGGGGCGGAGCGGCGCGAGCAGCCAGGAGCGGCCCGGCCCGGCCCGGCGCGGCGGCGGCGGCGGCGGCGACACCAGAGCCCGTGGGCGCCGTTCGCGAGGCCGCCGCAAGCGCCTGGCCGCAGCGCGGGGAGCCCGGGGGCCCGGAGGCCGCCGCCATGCCGCTGCTCTTCCTCGAGCGCTTCCCCTGGCCCAGCCTCCGCACCTACACGGGCCTCAGCGGCCTGGCCCTGCTCGGCACCATCGTCAGCGCCTACCGCGCCCTCAGCCGGCCCGACGCGGAGCCCGGCGAGCCCGAGCCGCCAACGGCCCAGCTCCAGCCCGGCGCGCCCGCCCCGCCGGCCGCCGGGGGCCCCGGGGCCCGCGACGTGGCCCAGTACCTGCTCTCCGACAGCCTCTTCGTGTGGGTGAGCGAGGCGGTGGCGCGGGCCGCCATGTCACCCATTATCCGCGGGGGGGCGTGGCCGGGTGGGGTCCCCCCCGCGTCCTCCCGGGGGTGAGGGGAGGCCTGGGGCCGGGCCCGGGTCAGGGAGCGGCGGGGCGCGGGGTGGGCCGGGCCCGCTCCCCGTAGGGAGGCCGAGGGGAGGCCGGCCTCCCGGGAGCGGGGCGTAGCGGAGCCCAGGCCGCCCCAGCGGGGGGATGTTGGGAGCCGGATTCCCAGGCCCGGGATAGAGAGGGGAAATCAGGGTGGAGTTTAGGGCCCCCCCACTGTTATTATTATTACCGCTGTTATTGTTTTGTTGTTTCATCCTCTCTGAGCGGTGCAAAGCTGCTCCCTGCTCCGCCGGTGTTTTTCCCTGGTGATTCGGGATTCTGAAGGCAGCAAAACCTTCAGAGTCCGAGAGGCAGCCTGAGTTATTTTACACTTATTCTTCGTTTGGTGATAGGTGGTTGTTTTGTTGTTAGTTTGGTTTTTTTTTTTTTAAACCAAGAACAAGGTTTTTCCGTTTGCCCGTGCATGGTCAGCCACCTGGACGTGGCTTACATACTGGTTTTGTGCTTATTGGATCATTTCAAAAGCTGGCCAGATCTACAGTAGTTTGGTTTGAAAGAATTTTACTTGCACCGTGCTCTGGGGATTCTTCTGTAAACCAAGTCATCAGAAAAGTTGTTGCAGGATTTAAAGTCTGTCACTTGGCATTACTGTTGCTTTTTGGATCTTTTCTCCTTTCTCTGCGATTTCCCCCTTGGTGTCGTGGAGAGTAGGCTGTAAATGACAGAGAGATTAATATTCCAAGTTTATAGGATGATATGCAACTCATTTGTTATAATTATTCCCACTGTGCTTCATCAGGAAGCAGTGGGATTTATGAACCCTGTGGGCTGTGGATTAAGTCTCCTGCTCTTCCTTTGCAGAATGGCATGTGTGTGTATGTGTGTGTGTGTGTATGTGTATGTGTTGGTGTCCTGGTTCTGGAGCTTGAACTGGGGGCCTGGGCCATCTTATCTTATTTTTGCACTTGGGCCCCAGATCCACTTCTGGTTTCTTAGTGGCTAATAGGAGATTAGAGTCTCACAGACTTTCCTTCCCAGGCTTGCTTGGAACTGGGATTCTCAGATCTCAGCCTCCTGAGTAGCTAAGGATTTATAGGCATGAGCTACCATCACCAGCCCATGAAAAGTTTAGGAAGGCAGTGAAGAGTGAAATGTCTGTTTCTCTATTTCTCTGTAAAGATAAACCACATTAGTACCAAAGAAGGGAGAAGAGAAAGTACTTACATCTCTTGTTAATTACAAGACTTTTTACATTTGAATTAGCAAGTAAACTAAAACCATGTGAAAGAGTGCTTTTGTCCAATGTAAAGTTTATGATGAAGTTTTCAATATTTTTTATCTAAGATATAAATAAGGCTTTGAAAAGGACCAATGTTACATTCATCTAATAACCACTAATATCGCTCAGTGATTTTTTTTTCGTAGAAGGTTCTTCATATAGAACTCATGTTCAAATTCCAAGGTTACTATCTCTTCATAAAACAGTTGATTTTCCTGTGAAAATACAATTTCTAAGAAACTTCTACTTTCTTCCCAGAAGTCTTGACCTCATGCAGGTTGATCATTTCTTCCTGACTCTAGCTGCTTATTTCTCAGTTGAGCTTCTTACTGGTTTTCTTCTTTCCTTTGGGGCTTTCATGTGCTCATTTCCCTCTTCTGCTTTCTCAGTTCTCAGATGTTCCATATGTGCTTTGCAAATTTTCTTTATCATCTAGTACATAGTTTTTACCTTAGCAGCTGAGTAAAAGTCATCTCAAAACCACTCCTCAGTGGCCTGACAACAATTACTGAGTCAACATGTACAGGGCCTTTGTCAAAATGAAGGGCCTTGATCCTCTCTCATAGGCCTGCAGATAATGTTTTCGAAAACATGTGCTAAGGCCAAGCAAGGCAGAGCAAAAACATACTTCCTGTCAGTTTGCAAATCCTGCTAGCTACTAATTTCGCATATTAAAGTCTCTAAAAACTTACCTTTGTAGAATACAGCTTGGAATAATACAGGTCTGATAGCATCTCAGGTGGTTTTATATTAGTAATACTCAATCCGAAACCTTCCAAAGGTGCTATTTTCAGCTCTCAGGAGCTATGAACAATACTTTCCCCTACCTTCAGAGTGACTCATATGTAAATAAGGCAAAATGAGTGATGATAGATGAACAAATGAAACTTGGTGGTATTTGGAGGAAGGAGAAAGGAATTCTGCCCAGGAAGGATTAGAAAATAAGGAGGAGCCCAAGCTGCCCCTCCTCCCCCCTGCCCACCACCACCCCATGCAATTTGGCATAGCAGGGTGGAGATCCCTACCCTGGGCTGCCCAATTAGAAATCCGTGCTGTCTTCATGTGAGAGGGAGTTTGAGGGGTGAAAAGGAGGCCTGGGGCCGCTGCAGGTGGGGGAGGGGGTGAAGGCTTCTATCTCCCAAGTATGGAGCTCAGTTACTATGGCCTAAGCTCCCCAGCCTTGGTTTGTCACTCATCTGTTTCATATGGTGAGAAAAATAGTGTAGAATTGCAGAACTGGTCAGAATAGTTTAATAGTTTCTTAGCATCAAAAACTTAATTTAAAAACAGGTGATCCAAACTCATAATTTGAAAGTCAAAGGAAACAAAAGTGATAGAAAATGAAAAGTAAATCTCCCTCTTCCTGCCACCTGCTTCCCTCCTACGTAAGTAAGTGACTTTCATCAGCCTCTTGTAATTAGTGCTAGTGTTTAGGAAGAGAAACATCAAGATTGTTCCTAGTCTTTGACATAGTTCACATCTGCAGATTGCACATACACATATTCTTTTTTTTTTTACCCAAAGTGTGGCATAATCATATTTCTGCATCTTACATTTTTTCTTGTTATTGTAAAGTGATGTACAGAAGGGTTACAGTTACATAACTTTTTGAATAGTGTCACCCCTTCCCTCCCCTTCTCCCAGTTTTTCCCTCCCAGAAAGGGTGGGCCAGAGGGTGAACAAATGTAGCAGTGATACTCACTAGACACTGTTTTGAAAATGAACTATGCATCTTACATTTTTTTGTCTTAAATTTTATCTTGATATCCCAGTTATCTTGAAAGTTCCATGCCATACTAGTAATATAGGTTTTACTGGCCTCATTTGTATCTACTAAATCCATTTGCCATTTATCCACATAAGTCTTCTGGGGTTGACAGTGGTTTTAATTTTTCTGCTATTATTAACAGTACTCAAGTGAACTTAAGATTTTAAAATTGAATTCTGCCCACAGCTATATAGAGCTGATAAAGTAAGTTCTCTTTACTCTCCTAAGTACATAGAGGTGGTTCAGGTATTGAGGCCACAAACCTCAGTATGATTATTATAAGCAAGATTTGTCCCACAGTATGTGGATTTATTAGTAATTTATTTTGCAGTGCAGGAGATCAAACTCGGGGAGTTCTGTGGATTTAAATCAGGGCTGAACTCTTGATTCTGCAAGAATATAAAGGATATAATTTGGGATTTGCTTTTAAATGAGATTTGCAACAATTAAATTTCCTGTAGTGTTTGCAGTGCCTCAAGTGTTTGCAAGCTGAAGTTGAGAAGTCATGAATACCTATTGGGATGACATAATATTTGTGAAATAAAGACATTTTTATAAATAGAGTAATTTAATAATTTTCTTAACATCTTCACATAAGAAGAAGTGTGCCTTCCATTTGCAGCATACATACACATCACTTATTATTTTTTTAATTAATTTACTTCATTGTTATCATAGAGGTGATGTACAGAGGGGTTACAATTACATGAATCAGGTAATGAGTACATTTCCTTTCATACAGTGTCTTCTGTTCACTCATTCTCAGTCTCTCCCTCCAATCTCTACCCACAAGTTATATAGTTCACTTTCATTAATGTCCAGTGAACTTTGCTGCTGCATTTTCACCCCTTTTCCCTTGAGTTCTGTGCTCCCCCCCACCTTCCGAAGATATACACGTGAATACACCATACATAAGGTAAATTAGACAGAATTCTAGAAAAGGTTTTTATTATTTATTAAGACAGGGTTTTGCTCCATAGTCCAGGCTGGCCGCCTCCAATTCATGATTCTTCTGCTTTAGCCTCTGATGTGTTGGAATTATGTGTACACCACCACACCTGCTCTATACAGACAGTGCAAAGTTTACATAGGGTTCAGCCAGGACTGAAAGGTCAGGTGGCCGACTGGAGGGTGCATACTGGGACAATGAACTGAATGAGCTGGTCAGCTGGTGACTTGGAATAGGCCTGAGCTTCCAGTGGAAACTGGGGAGGGAGGCTCAGTCATGGGAAATGATGGCTGGATTCCTCTTATGAAATCTGTAGAGCTGCTTTTGGTTTTTAGCAGGAGGAACTGAACTTCCTTTCTCTGTTTTATGTACAGGTTCTGGTAAATACTGCTTGCTGTGTTTTGATGTTGGTGGCTAAGCTCATCCAGTGTATTGTGTTTGGCCCTCTTCGAGTGAGTGAGAGACAGGTAAGCCTGTATAATAGACACTTGTGGCCAGATTTTAAAAGAAAAAAAAAAATCCCTCAAGAACTTTGTAGTTGGCATAATTTGAAGCATAGAGAAAATTCCATGAGTACTATATTGTGTCCTGTGCCTAGGTTCACCAATTACTAATGTTTTCTCCCATTTGCCTTTATATTCACTATTTACTTATGTAACACATATTTTTTTTCCTACCACATTTGAAAGTTAAATAGTGGATGTCCTTTTCTTTACCCCCAGAGACCTGAAGATACATTTCCTGGAATCAAAGACAAATTCAGTACGGCAGTATTTCACATTGATAAAACACTTTGATCTACAGCCCATGTTCAGTGTAGCCAATTGTCCCAATATGGTTTCTATAGTTATTTCCCCGATGACTTTTTTTTAAGTATATTTTTTATTTTCACTTTATTTGTTTTTTGTTCTGGGATTGAATTCAGGGCGGGGAGCATGCTAAGCACATACTCTGCCATTAAGCTGTATCTTCAGCCCCTTATATGTAATTGTGAAATCACTGATTTATTTTAGTTTGAATCATTGTAAATATGAGTAATTAGAATGTGGATTCTTTCCTAGAGAAAATTTCTGATTTTTCTTGTAGGAAAAGTAAATTAAGGTTCATTGTTCTACAGTGACTCGTTGAGATTGTTAAGTATTGAACCTGAACTACTCTTAAAATGTATTAATGGGGAAGAAGTGTTCTCTGTTATACCCCATGTTTACCAGATTGACAATTCTAGGATGTAAATGTAGATTATAGAATGGTATGTTTTAAAGAATTGAGAACTGGCCTTCATAATCACTTAAGAACAAAAATGTATTTACTTTTTCTCATGTCAGTGATAAGACAGAGACTACAAGTATGACAGCTTCCCTGCATTTTCAAAGTACTGTGTTCCCATCTGTCATCCCCCCCAGGTCTGCAGCTACCCACTGAGGTTTAGTTAGGAGCTGGAATGTGGTTACTCTGTGGCTAAGCCCTTGAATGCTGTTGCGAGCAGGATGACTTTGTTGTCCTGGATTCTTCAGTAGTGAATGTTCAGCACTTTGTGCAACCTGTGAATTCTGGAGGTCTCTTAGATGGGCTCAGTGAAACACAGAAGAGTTTTATAGGTGCAAAACTCCTTTTTGGATACTTGTTTGTTTTTCGTTTTTTTTTTTCTTAACATTTTGCCTCTTTTATCTTCTAATTTTCAATTTGTGTACCAGTAGGTCAAATACTTTGTTTTCATTAATATCTGTAGTGTCAGGTCCAAATTAGCAGAAAATATAACCTTAGAGTATTGCAGAGAATTTTGCTGTACATAGAGATAATCATGATGAGTGGGTTTGTTATCCAACTTTACTATTTCAGTTTTTTTTAGAATAGAACATCCTTTGTGTTGGTCTATGTTGGCTTCTTTTATGATTGATGACACTCAAGAACATTTGTTAAGAACTGTTTTGAGTTAGAACTCTAAAGAATTGGTATAGTGGGCTGGGAAGGTGGCTCAGTGGTAGAGCGCTTGCCTTGCATGCCAGAGGCCCTGGGTTCAATTCCTCAGCACCACATAAGCAAAAAGAAAAAAGCCGGAAGTGGCGCTGTGGCTCAAGTGGTAGAACGCTAGCCTTGAGCTGAAGAGCTGAGGGACAGCGCCCAGGCCCAGAGTTCAGGCCCCACAACCAGACCCCCCCCCCAAAAAAAAAAAAAAAAAAAGAATTGGTATAGGTTTTTTCTGTGAGTGCTTTCAAAATTCAAGATACAAGATAATGGTAGAGCAAAGGCATTTCATGCTTTGTTATATGAAAGTGTGAGGCTTAAATTTTTTTTTAAACATTTGACATCTGTTATGGCATTTTAAAAACTATTGTATTCTCAGGGGCTGGGAAGGTGGCTCAGTGGTAGAGCACTTGCTTTGCATGCATGAGGCCCTGGGTTCGATTCCTCAGCACCACATAAGCAGAAAATAAAAAGCCAGAAGTGGTGCTGTGGCTCAAGTGGTAGAGTGCTAGCCTTGAGCTGAAGAGCTGAGGGACAGCGTCCAGGCCCAGAGTTCAGGCCCCACGACTGGACCCAAAAAATAAAAATTAAAAAAATTTTAAAAAAACCTATTGTATTCTGAAGGGTAGATGGCTACCTAGCAAGCCCCAGGCCCTGAGTTCCAACCTCAGTACTATTAGGAAGCATTGTACACCCACTACTTTTTTAATACCCAGAATTCTATGAGTTTTATGCAGTTAATGTAAAACCCATTTTCTGGATGGGGAAGCCAAAGCTCAGGAATGTTGAGTGACTATCCCAAGATCACACATAGGCAGGTAGCAGAGCCAAGATCGAAAACCATGGCACAAAGGGTCCTTAAGTTCATTCCATTCTGTCCCTGTCCCAGATATGGAAACAGATATTCACCAAGCTTTTCTTGGCTGATGTTATTCAGAAGCCCAGATCCACACAGCAGTGTGTAGTGTGGAGGTCTGAGCTCGTTGCTGCTGGGTGTCTGCATTAGGGGATATGCTTTGGTCTCCCCCTGGTTTAGTTTCTGAACACAAGGTATGCAATGAAGCAGTAATTCTTGTTTGTTTTTTTTGTCAGTCATGGGGCTTGAACTCTGGGCCTGGGTGCTGTTAAGTAATCAAGCCAGTTTGTTGCACATTTAGGATCAATTTATTTTCACATTTTGCTTTTTTTTAAAGACATATGCTTTAAAACATGTATATGCTAAAACATTTTATACATTATCATGCATAAAAATATACTTAGACATTACACTTCCATTCTTAGCTAGTTTCTCCTCACCCCATAAATGAGTGGGTAATTGTGTATGTTAATATCTGGTAGAGCTTACCCACCTCTACTGCATACCTCAGTACTAGTTGCCCAGTACTAGTACTGTGTATATGTGTGCACACACACATGCATGTGCATGCATCAGTACTGAGTCTTGAATTCAGGGCTTCATGCTTTGGATCAGCTTTTTTTTTTTTTTTTGGTGGTTGTGGGGCTTGAATTCAGGGCCTGGGAACTGTCCCTGAGCTCCTTTTGTTCAAGACTAGCGCTCTACCACTTTGAACCACAGTTCTACTTATGGTTTTTGAGTGGTTAATTAGAGGTAAGAGTCTCATGGGGACTTTTCTGCCTGGGCTGGCTTTGAACAATGATTCTCAGATTTCTGCCTTCTGAGTGGTTAGGATTATAGGCATGAGCCACCAGTGCCCAGTGCTCAATTGACTTTTTTCCCCCCACCTGCCATTCTACCACTTAAGCATAGCTCTATTTCATAGTTCTACTTCAGGTGGCTAATTGGGATAAGAGAATGTGAATTTATCTACCCAGGCTGGCTTTAAGCTTCATTCCTTGAATCTCAACCTCTTGAGTAGCTAGGATTATAGAAGTGAGTTATTGGTGTCTGGAAAACACTATCTTTTTAAATCTCATAGTCTTTTTAAAAATCTCGCAGTTGATCCAGAGTTATAATCCAAAGTTTACGATTACTTCCTGGAAAACACTTTTTTATTCCTTTGCCTCCTTTTTTTTTTTGGTTGGTTGTGGAGCAACCTGGGCCTGGGCTATGTCCCTGAGCCTCTTTTGCTCAACACTAACATTCTACCACTTGAGTCACAGTGCCGCTTCTGGCTTTTTCTGAGTAGTTTGTTGGAGATAAGAGTCTCACAGACTTTCCTGCCCAGGCTGGCTTGGAACTGTGATCCTCAGATCTCAGCCTCCTGAGTAGCTATGACTACAGACATGAGTCAGTGCTACCCGGTGACTTTCTACTTTCTTTTGCACAAATGTTCAAAGTGAAATAGACTATTTCATATAAGCTTGCTTTTGCTAACTTTCTTAACTGTATTAGGTATGATGATACTTACTGTTGTAAATAATTTTTCCTTTTAGCACCTCAAAGACAAGTTTTGGAATTTTATTTTCTACAAGTTCATTTTCATTTTTGGTGTGCTGAATGTCCAGACTGTGGAAGAGGTAGTGATGTGGTGCCTCTGGTTTGCTGGTCTGGTTTTCCTTCATCTGATGGTTCAGCTCTGCAAGGACCGATTTGAATATGTGAGTCTCAGGCAAGCTCGGCGTGCTCGGCTACACATTTGCGAGGTTTGGGTTTGTGTAATGTGAAGAAGGTAGGCACTTTGTCTAGCTCTGAGGGGAAGTCTGGAGGTCTAGGAACATCTGGGCAGCCCCTAGTGAGTTACGTGCATCATAGCCCTGGCAAGGTCAGTTTACCTACACAAGGAAGCCTTGCTATATATAAGAAAATCTTGTCTCTTCTGTGTATTTTCTGTTCTAGTCTCTTCCCCTGTTGGAGCTTTTCTTTCTTACTATTTTATACAATTTTCCCTGTGAGTCAGGTGTAATTAGCTCTTTTACTTTCCCTGATCTGGATACAAGGTTTGCCTCTGCCTGTAGGCCAGAGCTGTGGAAATGAGCCCTCCCCTAATGAGTGTTCAGGTATATCTTGTGGGTCCCACCTACACATGCAACTGCTGTTCTACCTCAGTTTAACTAACTACAGGGACTTGAACACTGTCTTTGCCCCGTCTTCATGTACCAGATAGTTTTTGCACCCCTCTGTGAGTTAATCTCATCTGTAAAGACTTTTTTCCTTTCCCCATTCAGCTGCCATTCTCTGTCACAAATAGGAGTTTCTAACCTCCCTAACTGGTTTGTAATTTACCTCAGGAGTCACAGCTCCAGGTCTTCTTTTCATGCTGTTGCTGCTCCTTGCATAACACTGACATATTGTCAGTAGTAACTCTACACCTGCTTATATTTTACTTGTCCTAGTTCTGACAGACCAGGAGCAGCCTCCAAGTGAATTTTGGGGAAGATTAGAGTGAGATTAAGAAGGAAACATACAGTCCTGCTGAGTCCTCTTTAATGTTAGAAGAGAGAAATGTGGACCTTGAAAAATCGCTTGTAAGCCTAGTTGTAGGAGCACCCTTTGGGAAGATGAGATGAAAATAACACATTATTATATCTGGTCAATAAAATGATAAAGATTTGCCAATATTAGCTGCCTGTACTCACATTTAGTTATTGGAGAGTTTTGTCTATATGGGAACAGGCAGCTTCCTGTGTGCTAGCACAGGGCCCCAAGCAAAGATGCCTAGCTTGACCTGGCATTCTCCTTCCCTGCCACTGCCATGAAGAAGAAATGAACTTTCTGTCCATTTTCCCTTTCAGCTTTCCTTTTCTCCCACCACACCAATGAGCAGCCATGGGCGTGTCCTGTCTCTGTTGATTGCCATGCTGCTTTCCTGCTGTGGACTGGCGGTTGTCTGCTGTGTCACGGGCTACACCCATGGCATGCACACCCTGGCTTTCATGGCTGCAGAGGTGAGATGTCGGACGTAGGCTTGTTCAGATTACATTCCTGTGCCTCTTCATGTCAGCTAAAGGGTTACTGACAGATTATTTCACCATAAAGTGATGGATGGGTATTAGTGTTTTGTTTTAACAAGGATTTGAGTTTCTGTGTGTGTGTGTGTGTGTGTGTGTGTGTGTGTGTTGGAAACTGCTACTAATTCTTGTTATAGCATAATAAAAAGAATTTTCCTTCCAAATTATGTAGTAGTTATAGTTACTATTTGCCAGATTGTTCTAAATATTCCACACATATTGATAATTATATTATTTCTACTTATGGGGGTGGGAATGGCAGTATCTAAAGTGCATTGTGTGAGGTTCCAGAGTGTGGAATGTCACCAGCTGAGCCCTCTGTGTGCCTGCCTTCCTGCCTGCCAAGTAGGAAGAGTATAGAAGAAAAGTAGTATCTTGCTAGTGATTACCTGTAAAATAGCTAATTTGGTTTTTAAGCTAGAGTATAAAATAAAATGTTATTTAATAATTAATATGCCAGTTATATTATTTTGAAGGATTTTTTTAGAGCCAGGGATGAAATCCAGAGAGTAGCATGTGAGGCAAATACTTTGCCATGAGTTGCACCTCAACCCTCTCTGATTTATAACTTTTTTTTTTAAATGTACTTTTTCTCAGGAGGCTGCGATCTGAGTATCATGGTTTGAAGCCAGTTTGGGCAGAAAAGTCCATAAGACACTTCTCTCCACCAAAAAGCCAGAAGTGGAGGTGTGTCTCAAGTGATAAGAGTGCTAGCCTTGAACACTAGTTCAACGACAGTGCCTAGGCACTTAGTTCAAAGTCAGGATCAGTACAAAAATCTTTTAAATCTTCCAGAAAATGCTCATTTGAGAATGTCTTTATGTTCACTTTATATTTGCATTTTCCTCAGGTCAAAGATTACCTTACCCATAAATGTTATCATTTAAAAACGTGAGATGCAGTAGCTTCCCCTTTCTGCAGTCTTACTTATCTGCAGCCAGCTGATGGCTAAAAGTATTAAGTGAAAAAATTCTTGAAATGAACAGTTCTTAAAGTTTTTTTTTTTGTTTTTTTTTTTTGCTTTGGTCCTGGGATTGAACCCAGGCTGCAATATTCTGCCACTTAACTTGCACACTTAGCTCTGAACCATTCTGAGTAGAATGATGAAATCTTGTGCCTTGTCATTTGGACCTAGAATTATCTCTGCCCAGTGTCTCCATGTTTAAGGTGCTCCTCACCATTATCTGTCAGATGACATACTGTGGGATCCCAGTGCTTGTGTTCAAATAACCCTTCTTAAACTTGATAGTGACCCCACCATACAAGAATGGTGATAAAGGAGACACCAGGCATGGAACGTGGAAGGCAGGTTAACTGTGTTGGGCCAGGGTGTAGTAGTAGCTGTAATTTTATGTATCCATTGAGAGCCTTGGAGCATATCTCTGGTGCTTAAGAGGAACTACTATATCACATATACTGAAGCTAATTAGCTAGTATCAAAACAAGTTTAAATAACAAAAATGTAAACTGCTATTTGGGGTTGGTAGATCAGAGTTTAAATTTATTTTTGCTTAGTAGTGTTCATTTCATAGTACACTATAGTGTAAGTAGAATTTAAAAGGGAACATATAACTATTTAATAAAAACATATCCAATTCTAATTGACTATCTTCTGAATGTGAAAGGTATATATTGCTTATATTTAAGATTTACATTATTTAGTTTGCTTCACATATATTTTATTATGATACTTGCACTTTTTTAAAATCAAATTTTCAGTTAATATTAGGCTGAACTTTGAAAAAGATATACCTAAAAATCAAGCAGATTTAAATTAGGTCTATTTGTTCAGACTATAGTGTTACTTTTATTTCAGGTCATATTTGTTCATTTAGAATTATTTATCATGCATTGTATAGACTGTAGGCATTCACACACAGTGAGACTCTTAGGGGAGGAGCACAAAGGTACAAGGCCTATGTGCCTCTGGTCATATAAAATAATACATATTGAAATAAATTCCAGGGAATGGAAACAAAAGGTTTTTTCTTTGTTGTTATTTTTGTTTTCTTTTTGTCTTGTTTGTGTGTCTTTGGGAAGGTAAGGGGGAGGTACACAAATGGAGAGACAAAGGGTGAACAAACGCAGCAGACACTAGACACTGTGTTGAAAATAAACTACACAACGTGTGGGTAGGAAGGGGAGAGAAAAACAACTGGGAAAGAGTGAGAAAAGGATTGACATTGTCTAAAACAAAATGTACTTATTACCTGACTTTTATGTCACTGTAATCCCTTTTACATCACCTTCATAATAACAAAAAAATTATTATGCTGCATATATTCTGTATTTTGTATATGTATATTCTGTGTGTGTGTGTATATATATATATATATATATTCTGGTATTTTTCTCATGTAAAATATTCTCTATATAAATAATCGTTAAATCTCAAACATAAAATCAGTTCTATTTTTACAAATTAAGGGGAAATTTTTCTGTACATTAATTTTTTGGGGGGATCAGTTGTGGGGCCTGAACTCTGGGCATTGGGTGCTGTCCCTCAGCTCTTCAGCTCAAGGCTGACCCACTTGAGCCACAGCAGCACTTCGGGCTTTTTCTGCTTATGTGGTGCCGAGGAATCAAACCCAGGGCCTCATGCATGTGAGGCAAGCACTCTACCGCTGAGCCACCTTCCCAGCCCCCTGTACATTAACTTCTGTACTAAAGAGTACCATGAGAGCCATGTTTTGGTTTTTATTTCCTTCAATCTTTCTGTACAGAGTAGCCAGATCAGGGACTCTGGTTTAGGACAGTAATACCTAAAGTATACTTTGAGTTAAAGTGTCACTATGTAGTCAGACACCTTTTAAAAAGTTATGGTGATGTAGTGTTATGTCAGTAGAATTTATTGTTAAACTACTCAGGTGAACTGCAAGATTGTTGAAGCCCTCCCTAACAGTTGGACAGGTGGAATTGGTTGTCACCTTATTAACTATGAAAAGCTCAATAAAAGGTTCCTAAATTATGAACATATTCGATGAGAAATTCAAATAGAGAAAATAAGTGGTTGATATATTTGAACAGTTAGTTTTTTAATTGAACTGAGAAATGTTTGTGTTTTACAGTCTCTTCTCGTGACAGTCAGGACAGCTCACGTGATTTTAAGGTGAGTAGAAACTTTAGAAAGAGGTGATTGAGATTGGCTTTATTCAATTGATACTAAGATACAGCAGGTATAAAATATAAAATGATGACTAAACTATAGGAAGTTTAAATTCAATCATGAGGGATTAAGCTGCTTTTCTCTTTTTCTCCCTCTGTATTGCAGATATGTAATTCACCTCTGGGACCTCAACCATGAAGGGACCTGGGAAGGAAAGGGGACCTGTGTCTATTATACCGATTTTGTTATGGAGCTCACTCTCTTGTCCCTGGATCTCATGCACCACATTCACATGTTGGTAAGTGCTCTCAGAAAGAGCTCTGACAGAGGGCTAAGGTGTTTCATGTCAGAACAATTGAAAAATGAAATGATAGTGGAGTAGATGCAGATGAGCAACCTAAAATGTGATCAGGCCTCATTCCTCTTTTTCTCAGTGGGCATAGAGCAGTGTCTTGGGACCACTTGTGCTGGGTTCTAGCTCTGGAGGTAACTGCTGTCCTATGAGACTCAGTGAACTCTGCTGAGTCAGTAGTTCATTCTTTTAGCATGAAATTAAGGGGAGTACCTCTCCCTGTAGTTTCTGTGGCTTCTCATATTTAGCAATTACTTTGTAGGGTAAATGGAATTCCTGAAGTGTTTGCTGCTTCATAGATTCATAAATTTCCATCTTTGAAATTAGTCCTTATGCTTAATTCTTACTACTTTCCCTTAGTGTGTAAGAAATTTTAGTGTAAATATGCTTCATTGGTGAGGAGAATCAACATAGTGGATGAGCACTTTTTTTTTTTACACTATAAGGAAATTGAAGTAACATTTTTAAGTATTGTGTTACAAATAGCCAAGGCAATTCTGAGCAAAAAGAGCAGTACTGGAGATATCACGATAATTGATTTTAAATTACACTGCAGAGCCACAGGAACAAAAACCAACATGGTACTGGCACAAAAACAGACATGTAAGCCGGACGCTGGTGGCTCACACCGATAATCCTAGCTACTCAGGAGGCTGAGATCTAAGGATCACAGTTGAAAGCCATCCTGGGCAGGAAAGTTCGTGAGACTCTTATGTCCAATAAGCCACTAGAAAACTGGAAGTGGAGTGGTGGCTCAAGCGGTAGAGTGCTAGCCTTGAGCTGAAGAGCACAGGGACAGCACCCAGGCCTGGAATTCAAGCCCCACAACCAAAACAAAACAAAACAAAAACAAAAACACCCAGACATGTACCCTAGTAGAATAGAAGACCAAAGCATATCTTGGAGAAAAGACAGCCTCTTTGGGAAGCCTGGATATCCACATAGAGATGACTGCACGTAGACCCAGATCTCTTTGCCTGAACAAAAACCAGTTCAAAATGGATCAGAGACATTGATGTTTAAACATAGGGGAAGACATTTATAGATAGAGTCACATGGAGCCTAGTGCCAGTGGCTCATCACTGCAATCCTAGATGCTTGGGAGATTGAGTTTGAGAGGATTGAGGTTCAAGACCATCCTGGCAGAAAAAAACTCACGAGACCCCTTCTCAAATGAAGAGAGAGCTAGGCAAGATGTCATGTGCCTGTTATTCTATCTAGAAGAAGCCTAACAGGCAGATTGCACCCATGAGCACAGCCAGGCAGGAAGTGAGACCCTGTCTTTTTGTTGTTGTTGTTGGTCATGGGTCTTGAACTCTGGGCCTGGCGCTATTCTTCAGCTCTTCAGCGCAAGGCGAGCGCTCTACTGCTTGAGCCACAGTGCCACTTCCAGTTTTTTTAGTGGTTTATTGGAGATAAGAGTCTCACGGACTTTCCTGCCTGGACTGGCTTTGAACTGTGGTCCTCAGATCTCAGCCTCCTGAGTAGCTAGGATTACAGGCGTAAGCCACTGGCGGCTGGTGACCCTGTCTTTTTAAATGGTTCTGATACTGGACTTTCCTGCCCAGGCTGGCTTTGAACCGTGATCCTCTGATCTCAGTCTCCTGAGGCTGATATTACAGGTATGAGCCACTGGTGCTCAGCATAACTACATAATTTTTAAAAGTTGCATATTAGTTTCCTTAAGGTAGTTATACTTTTTTCACTCAATAAATATTATTTTCCTAGATAATTGACATTCAAAAGTCATATGTAGAAATATAACACAAATATTTATTTTGGTGTCAGTTCTGGAGCTTGAACTCATGGCCCCGGCGCTGTCCCAAGGCTATATTACTTTGAGTCATAGAACCATTTCTGCCTTTTTGGTAGTTAATCGGAGCTGAGAATCTCAGGATTTTCTTGCCAGGGCTGGCTTTGAACCATAATCCTCAAATCTTAGCCTTTTGAATAGCTAGGATTGCAGAAGTGAGCCACCAGTACCCAACAAAAACATTAATAAACATAGCTTGTGACTATAAATTACTTTATAGGAAATTGCAACTTAGTTCTTCTGATGGGCGTCTTGCTCACTTTCTTTCTTTCTTTTTTTTTTTTTTTGTCGGTCATGGGGCTTGAATTTTGGGCTTGGGTGCTGTCCCTCAGTTCTTCAGCTCAAGGCGAGCGTTCTACCGCTTGAGCCACAGCGCCACTTCCGGTTTTCAAATGGTTTATTGGAGATAAGAGTCGCATAGACTTTCCTGCTCGGGCTGGCTTTGAACTGTGATCCTCAGATCTCAGCCTCCTGAGTAGCTAGGATTACAGACATGAGCCACCAGTGCCCGGCTATCTTGCTCATTTTCATACTTGCTTTTTTTTGGCAGGGACGGGGGCGGGCGGGGGGTGGGGAGGAGGAGTCCAAGACTAGGATTTGAACTTTGTTCCTGACACTTTCACTCCCTGGCACTCTACTAGCTGAGCACCACCTCCAGCCCCAGGCTGGTCTTGAAATGGTGATCTTCTTGCCTCATCCTCTGTTAATCACTGGTGTGTGCCACCAGTAATTTTTTTAAAAATTAAAATATATATATATGTGTATATATATATATATATATATTTGTGTGTGTGTAATTGTTTGGCTTTACATTTCTGTTTGCTCAGGAAAATTAGTCTTTAATGGGCCATTTAGTTTGACGTATGCAAATGGTTTCTGAAAGGTCGTTCATTCCATTTCTACCAAACAAAGGCTTCTTTTGCTGAGAAGATGCCACTAGCAGGTTCACTTCATTTTTACTGTAGATGTTGTCTCTTTTCCTTTCCAAGTTATTTGGCAACATCTGGTTATCCATGGCCAGCCTGGTCATCTTCATGCAGCTGCGTTATCTGTTCCATGAAGTACAGCGTCGAATCCGTCGGCACAAGAACTATTTGCGTGTGGTGGGAAACATGGAAGCCAGGTAAGGGAGTACAAATAGAAGTTGCTCAAATGTACTCATTTAGTTCTTCAATAATGACAATCCCTAAACTGTGTAAGAATGTGACTTTGTAACCTGTTAACTGGGTGGTGATGTGAAGAGACTCCAGAGTCACACTGCCTTGGCGTGTTCCCATTCTGTTGCTGTGTGATGTGTAGCAGTTTATTAACACATTAACACCCTAGCTCCTTCTCTGAAATAACGAGAACCTTCTGGCACTGTGGGGAGGGATCCACAAGATATTAAGATCTTATTGTGTCATCCTATCATTATCAATATTAATGGAAGCTTCTCTGGGCTTCTGCCCTCAATTTCTTCAGACTTGTATGTTTCTGTATATGCTCACACTCACTGAAGATGCTTACTTGCCAACCTGAGTCTGACGGTGCAAGATTAATGGACATCTTTTGTATTTCTAGAGGGTAAAGTGAAGTGGATCACTGGGGTTTAGAGGAGAAATGTTCCTGGCAGTCATCTCTAACAGGAACCAATATTATGACAGATTTTGTGTATGAGTTTCTTACTTGCTCTTTAAGGGCTCTGAAGAAGAAACAAAAATTGTTTTTTCCTTACCAAGATTGCTTTGTAATTGGTCCATTGTAACGGCGATGAATATGAAGTAGTATATGTCCATGTGCATGAAACTGACAGGGATCGCTGCTGGGCCTGTTTTGTGTTTTACAGGTTTGCGGTTGCAACTCCAGAGGAGCTAGCGGTCAATAACGACGACTGTGCAATTTGCTGGGACTCCATGCAGGCTGCAAGGAAGCTGCCCTGTGGCCATCTTTTTCACAAGTAGGAGCTCCGAGAAGGGCCATGTGGGGCTAAGATTCAGCCTGGGTTGTGGAGGTCTTTTATTTCTAGGCTTGAGCCTGAGCCCAACAGAGGAGCAGAAATAATAGCTCAGTCTGCTTGTACTGGTTGGGCTGGCTTCTAGCCTTTGCATCTCTTTCTTTATCCATATCCTTGTCCCTAGTTCCACAGAATGGTGGGAACCCACATTTGCCATCTTAATTTCTGGGTTTGTTGTCTTCATAGTTTTTCCTCTTTTGAAGACCTGAAATGTAACAAATATGATGGAAATTTTAAGAAATAAAGGGTTCAGGGGGACATCTTGATTTCAAACAACCTGTTACCTAATTAAGGAGAGAATATATATTTTTGGATTTTTCACATGCCCCAATGCAGCATAAAACACACCACAGAGATGTGGGCTGAGATGGCATCAGACCAGGGTCATGAATGAGTTTAGAATAGTGCCTGTAGTAAGGATTGGAAACTTGGCTCTTTTCTGAACCTTTGGGTTTGAAGAGGTCCCGGAGAGCTTAGAGGGGCTCTGTTTAGACTAAATCATTCTGTGTTGGATGTTTTGCTATTGATGGGGCTAGAGATTATCTTTTAACCCTTTGAATCAGTTTTATGTATTGAGAGATCCTTTGATTTTTTACATCTTCAACCTTTGTTTTCCTATTAGATATCTAAGGTAGTTTTTGTTCTCTTTTATAATATTAGAAAGGTTTTGGAGCTGGAATAACCCACTTGACAAATGCCACAAACTTTCCCCCCATTTTTTCTTAGCATACATAAATTAGTTATACCCTGGGGCAGGGCGGTGTTCATTGTGTCTTTTTTTTTCTTTTCAAATTCTTTATTGTGATTAAGTGATTACATAATTTCCCAAATTTCATAGTATTGTGGGATAGTGATGCTTATTAGTTAAAGTCACAAACACATTCTAACTTTCATAGGGCAAATTGTCTCTCATGGTCTATAACATTTATGAGTTCTATGAGCTTTGCAATACAGTTATTTCTTCCACATTGGGTGATGTGTACATTTCTTTCGTTTTGCATAGCATCAGCTGTTCCCTCTTTCCCACTTGTTCCCTCCCTCCCATCGCTGCCATTGAGTTGCTTAGTTCATTTTGATCAATGTCCAGTGCAGCTGATGGGTCCCACTGTTGTATGTTTTTCCCTGATTCCCTCTAGTTCTGTGTCGTCTTCCTGGTTTCCCTCTGGTGTGCACACATATACCGTATATGTGATCAGCAGCATGGGATTATTTAGTAGTGATTTGACCAGATGAGTGGAAGTCCTTTGTTTTTTATTTATTTATTTTTTTGGGGTCCAGTCGTGGGGCCTGAACTCTGGGCCTGGGCACTGTCCCTCAGCTCTTCAGCTCAAGGCTAGCACTCTACCACTTGAGCCACAGTGCCACTTCCGGCTTTTTTATTTTTGCTTATGTGCTGCTGAGGAATCGAACCCAGGGCCTCATGCATGCAAGGCAAGTGCTCTACCACTGAGCCAACTTCCCAGCCCAGTCCTTTGTTTTTTAAATCTTGCTAATTTTGTCGTATCACCTAACATTTTGGATTTAACATCCACTTATCAGGAGACAATGTACTGTTTGTCTCTTTGCTCTTGGCTTACTTCACTCAACATGATTTCTTCTAGCTCCATCCATTTCCCTGCAAATGCCATTATTTTGTCCTTTCTAATGGCTGCATAATATTCCATTGTGTATAGATACTACAATTTTTGGATCCATTCATCTGTGGTGGGACATCTGGGTTGTTTCCATATCCTGGCTATTGTGAACAGTGCTGCAATAAACATGGTAGTGCATGTGTCCTTGTATACTGGTTCCTGTTGTTCAGGATAGATGCCTAGGAGTGGTATGACTGGGTCATAAGGGAGGTCAATAGTTAGCTTTCTGAGGGCCCTCCAGACTGCTTTCCAAAGTGGTTGTATAAGTGTACATTCCCACCAGCAGTGTAATTGGGTCCCATCAACCTCATTTCCTCCTTTACTTTCCCATTCAGCTCCCCCTTCTTAAAACAATTTCAACAGGATTCAATTTTCTTTTCTCCCCCACCCTCCCCCTTACTTTCTGTTTGTCTGTCTGTCATTAGGCTTAAACTCAGGGCCTATGTGCTATCTTGAACTTTTTGTTCAATACTAATGCTCTACCATTTCAATACTAATGCTCTATTTCTAGTTTAATTGGAGATAAGAGTTTCATTCACTCTTCTGCCTGGATTGGCTTTGAACCATGATTCTCAGATCTCAGCCTCCTGAGTAGCTAGGATTACAGGTATAAGCCACCAGTGCCTGGCTCCTTTTTTTTTTTTTATAGTACCAGAGTTTAAACTCAGGGCTCACATTCATTTGACTTCGTTGCTTGTCTGGCATTCTAATACTTGAGCCATACCTCTAGCCTAGCTTTTTGCTGGTTAATTAAACATGGAGTCTTGGAGACTTTCCTGACTGGGTTGGACTTTCCTGCCTGAGATCTAGATATCAACCTCCTGAGTAGCTAGGATTACAGTCATTGTTTTAGAATACATTCAGATCAACTACATTGACCATATTCATACTCATTCTCCCTCTTCCTTAGCCCTCCCTCCAGCTACTGCCTGCCCTTCATCAGAACCTGTTTTACGTTCTTGTTTACTTCTGTTCCTTTCCCCTTCCCTCCCTCCCTCCCTCCCTTTCTTCCTTCCTTCCTTCCATGTTTCAGATGTACATTTGATAGACATGTGTTGGGTACTAGGGATAAGATGGAAATGACAGGTATGATGGGGGTGTCATTGAAAGCTTTTAAGTAGTGGTTGGCAGAAAAGACTTGCAGCTTGCATGGGTCAGGGGCACATTGAGAGTAGCTGGATCTGCAGTGCAGGAAGTGCAGTGGAGAGAAATGGACAGAGCTGAGAGGACTAAAGGAGGTACCGTGCTCTCCCTTTGCTGTGTGTATACTTACCATCTAGTGATGCTTTTGTTGATACTGGGTTCAGTTAGTTCCAAAGGAGGTTGGAAGCTAGTTAGGAAGAATAAGAGTATGTTTTAGCCCAGGAAAAATATGATTAGCTTAGTTTTAGTTTAAAATTTTTTATTATTTTTTAAATTTTCTTATAAACCAGGTTTCACTGTTTTTCCCAGGCTGGTCTGAACTCAGGCCATCTCATGCCTCAGCCTCTCGGAATATCTGGACTAAGGTGCACACCACGCACCCAGCAAGGGTTTTATTTTTGACTGTGACAAAATTCAAATAATATATACCTAACCATCTTAAGGTGTATAATTCAGTGGAATTTGGTGTATAACAATATTGTGCAACTATACTTGTCTCTAGTTTCAAAACTTTTCATTACCTTAGAATAGTACCTCGCTCCCCGTTCCTTCCCTCCCCACCCCTGGCAACTACTTGTTTGCTTTCTGTCTATGGATTTGCCTATGGGTAATTCATATAAAAGGAGTCACACAATATATGTATGACCTTTTGTAACTTGACTTCTTTCACAATGAGGTTACCAAGTTGTAACAGATAGCTATACTTCATTCCTTCTTATGGCTAAATGTAGATAATTTTATAATAGCAATTGCTGTTGATGGACTTTTAGTATTTCTCCACCTTTTGGCCATTTGCTGCTATAAAATTTGGAAACAAGTGTCTGAGCACCTGCTTTTAATTGTTACTGTTTATGCCTGGAAGTAGAGTTCCTGGATCATACCTCCTCTCTGTGCTGAACTTCTTTATTTTCTTTCAGTGCTTGGCAGATGCTCTGCCACTGAACTACAACCTCAGCTCCAATTTTTTTTTTTTTGGAGGTTGGGGGGGGTCCGGTTGTGGGGCCTGAACTCTGGGCCTGGGCGCTGTCCCTCAGCTCTTCAGCTCAAGGCTAGCGCTCTACCACTTGAGCCACAGCGCCACTTCCGGCTTTTTTCTTTCTGCTTATGTGGTGCTGAGGAATCGAACCCAGGGCCTCATGCATGCAAGGCAAGCGCTCTACCACTGAGCCACCTTCCCAGCCTCGCTCAGCTCCAATGTTTACCTTCTTGAGGAGCTGCCACGCTGTTTACTACGGCAGTGATACCTGTCTTCATCTTCACATTCTCACTAATACTGCTTAAGTTTTCTTACTGTAGCAGTCCTAATGGTGTGAGTGGGATCTCATTGTGACCATTTTTATTATTGTGATGGTTTGTTTTTTCCAGTGGTCATTTTGAAATGTAATTTTTATAGTAAAATATGCATAATATAAGAGTTTCAGTCCAGTGCTATTTACATTGTTGATTAGAACCTCATCGCCACCTATCTCCAGAATTTCCTCATCTTTCCAAATCGAGTCACTGTACCCATTAGACAGCGAATCCCTATCCTCCTCTCCCCCTAGCCCTTACCAGTCCTTCTGGCTTCCTCTTATCAAGTTGATTTTACTCTGTAGCTATAAAGTTAGGTTGTTGATTTGAGACCTTTTAAAGCACTTTTTTTTTCAGAAATGAATTTGCCTCTGAGCTTTCTCTCTTGTGGGAAGTTTTAGAACTTTTGTTTTAATTTGTCTTAAGGAATTTTCTAATTTTCTGAACAATTTCTTTTAGCCAATGGTTGTACTAAAGTAAGCTTAATTTTAAACCATTTTTCTGCCTTTCATTGAGTGACAAGCTATTGTTAGGACATCCTAACAGTGCTTCACTTTACAGTTTTGATAATCCAGTGCGGAGAGGATAGTGTGATAATAATCTAGGGCAAACTTATTTTAATTTGTAATAAAGAGAAATGCCGAGGTTCTAATGGGCAATAGCTAATAACTACGTAATTTGTTGCTCTAGAAAGTATTTTTTATGAGATTTCTGAGTCCAGTGGCTATTTAATGCGTTGAACATCATGCATAGAAAGAGGAAAAACAGTTCTCATTAGAGCGTTGTTCCTGTTACGAGGGAGTTGTCTCTGCAGGCCATCATGTGGTTGAAGGTCTCCTTTGTCACTGTGTGGGCAAGCATAGTCTTGTTCGTTTCAGCAGCACTGGCCTTACACTCTACCACTTGAGCCACTCTGCCAAGCAGTCCCTTAGTTACTGATATTAAGAAAAAGACACACACATTTTTATTTAGTTCCTTCTGAGTTCTTAGGAGAAGACAACGCATTTTCATATGATTCTCTGAGGAGGGAACCTTAAACTTCATGCAACCTGCTTATCCTTGCTTTCCTTGCTGAAAGGACTGGTCCAGAGAGGTTGAAGGATTTGCCAGTTAGTTAGTGACTGATTTGGGGAGGTCAGATCTTTGTACTTTCTACTTCATGTTCTAGCACACTTCCCCTTAGTGGATACTGCAGGGGCTCTTGAGCATCTAGTCCAGCTAGGGCATTCTGTCCTCTTGAAAAAGGACATCAGGGAGCAGAGGGTAGAACAAGTAGAGTAGTGGATATATGGAAATGGTTCACCTCACTAGAGAGTGACCCATGAGGCTGTCATGCTTGATGAAAGGTAGGTGGGTGGTCTCATCTCAGAGAAGTTTCTGAAGTCATGATTTTGAAAACAAGGCCAAGGTTATGACCACATTGGTGAGTAGCTAAAGCAATGCAAGAGAAGATCATTGATAGAGAACTCCAGGGTCGAAGAGGCCAGCGATGTTGGATGATTCAGCCGTATGGATTTTGAAATAGCAAACCAGAGTTGGAAAGAATGGCAGTTAGCCATGTGGTAGCTTTTTAGATGGCTGTGTATGATAAACTGTTCACAGCAGGATGTGCTAAGTATGCTAGGGTGATATAGGGGAAAGAGTTCACATCCACAGTTTCTCAACGGTGAATCAAGTGAGAACACATTGGATATATTAGAATACTTTTGGTAAATTCCCCCACATTATGCTGAGGGTCAATAGAGGATGTTCACATTGTGTACTTTGGACTTTTTCTTGGTAGCTCCTGTCTTCGGTCTTGGCTAGAACAAGACACCTCCTGTCCAACATGCAGAATGTCTCTTAACATTGCGGACAACAACCGTGCCAGGGAAGACAACCAAGGAGAGAACCTGGATGAGAATTTGGTTCCTGTGGCAGCTGCGGAAGGCAGACCTCGCCTAAACCAGCACAATCACTTCTTCCACTTCGATGGTGAGCGATTTCAGCTTCCAGTGCCACGCCCACAGCCTTTCCTCACATGAGACATGGCTGTTTTTATTATAAATTGCCTGCATAGATAAACTTAATATTACATTTCAATTATTTATTTTTTTCTTTCTTGTGCTGGTTCTGAGGCTTGAACTCGGGGGATGGTCCCTGAGCTTTTTTGCTCAAGGTTAGTGCTCTACTGCTTGAGCCATACCTCTGCTTTTTGCAGGTATGAGCCACTGGCATCCAGCTATTTGTTATTTTTGAAACCAGGTCTCAACTGGGCAGCCAGGGCTAGCCTCTACCTCCTTGGGCTAGGTCTCAACTACGCAGCCAGGGCTAGCCTTGAACTCACAGTCCTCCTGCCTCTGCCTCCTTGGGCTGGGATTATATGTGTGTGCCATCCCTCTCAGTTTATATTTCAATTGAATTGAAGTTGTTGCATGTTGGATGGATAGGCGGAGCTGAAAGGTTGTTCCTTCCTAGGAGTTTTGTTAGATTCTGTGTCAGTTTGAATCAGTTTCATAGTAATCCTGAGCTGCAAACTGATTGTAGTAGTAATCATTTAAGCAATAGTGAAAGATCATTGAGTGGCTTTTCAGGAGCTCCAGAGGCAGAACCAGAGCTGGGGCAGTGCTGGTTGGTCCATAAGATGAGAATGTGCTTCCTCCTGGCAGTGCTGAAGAGTTGTGACCCAGTGTGCACTGCTGAGGCCATGGACACCTTCCTAGGGACCAGTCATCTTTCCTTGACTCACATATACTGAGCTGTTGTTGAGTTCCTTCAATTCCTGTACTATGACTTTCTGTGAATTCCTCTTCCTAGCTTACTGCAAAGTAGCCGCTTCTACATTTTGCTATAGCATTGCTGTTCAGATCTTGGATTTGAGTTTGCAAGGGTGCAGTGGTTGGAGTAGTGGTGTGTTGGTGGAGTACTGAAAGGGACAGGGAGCAGAGGCAAGCCTCTGAGAGGAGGGGCTTGGCTGTCTGGGCCTAGGTGCTGGACGGGCTTAAAGCCCTCGTGTGCTATTGTTAACAATTAAGCCTTCTGTGAAGTCCAACTTCTGAAATTGACTAACAGATTTTGGAGATGGATCCTGGCTGTGTAAGCCATTATTTATGAATTATCTCCAAGGAAAATGTAGGCAAATAGATCAAATCCCTAGTACATTACAGGAAATAAGCATATGTTTTTAAATACATACATTTTATTTGGTGATAATTCCTTTTGCCTCAGTGATTCTTTGTAAAGGAATAAAACAGCACCCCCTACGTGTGCAGCTTGATACTGAATTTTGCAGGCTGTACATGTGGCTTTATATCTTGGTCTGCCCTTTCCTTGGGGAGATAACAGAAGCAGCAGCCATTGTTGTTGTTCAACCCTGTGTTGAAAAGAATTTGGAATCCAAAAACCATGGTCAATCTTTTAGTCAGCCTATCAAGGAGGAAATACTTCATGAAAGCAGTTGTGCAAACCACCTCTCCCAGTGGGTAGAGATTTGCGTCCATGTCAAAGAGAAGGGCAGGGCTCATCTGCTGCAGCAGCCGTAGATTCTGGGCTCAGAATGGATTGGGGATTGAGTGGATCAAGGGCTACCAGGACGCAGGAGAGGCAGGTGGTAAGTATTCCAGAACCCAGTGTGGCTGGCTTCATATCCTGGCTGCCATCATTAAATATGATCTTGTCAGCATTACCTAACTTGTAACTTGTAAGCTGAGGACTAGCGTCATATCTCTGAAAAAGAATAAAACTAAAAGATGAGAACTAAATTAACTGTTCTGTGTGAAACATTTGACACAAAAAGCTGGACATGAAATAATCCCTGAGTGAATTTCAGGTGGTGTTCTAGAGAGTATAGAGAAACTGACTAGATAACATGGGGTGAGAGGCAGGGGCCCATACTCTAACACTTGTGCTTGCTGAACTGTCCTTTGTTTTAAGGGTCCCGGATTGCAAGCTGGCTGCCGAGCTTTTCAGTGGAAGTGATGCACACTACAAACATTCTTGGCATCACACAGGCAAGCAACTCCCAGCTTAATGCCATGGTAAGGACTGTCAACCACCTGAGCAAGAGAACTAGTTAGTAATTAGCAAGGAAGAAAACCTCTGAAACGTGTGCAGTTATATGACCTTGTTGGTCATATTTTCCGGGGACTTTTAAAAAAATTCCATAGTATTTCTTAAATTCATGTTTAATTAAATTATTTTGTGGTACAGGGGATTGAATCCAGGCCTTGTTCATGCATAGCACATTCTCTACCTCTGAACACACCTCCAAGTCCTTGTGTTTTTAAATTGGAAACTAGTTTGGAAGTTGCCTTTTTATTTCCGTAGTAGATAATCTAATCTTTAATGAACAGGATTGTGATCTCAGCCTACATTGAAACAACTTGATTTTGGCCAAGGTATCTCTGCAGAATAACTGACAAGAATGAATGATAGTCTTTTTTCTTTTTCTTTTTCTTTTTTTTTTTTGCCAGTCCTGGGGCTTGAACTCGGGGCCTGAGCACTGTCCCTGAGCTTTTTTTTGCTCAAGGATAGCATTCTACTATGTGAGCCACAGTGCCACTTCTGGCCTTTTCTGTTTATGTGGTACTGAGGAATCAAACTCAGGGCTTCGTGCATGCTAGGCAAACACTCTACCACTAAGCCACATTCTCAGCTTCCTCTCAATTTTTTAACTATTTTACTTGATTCTTTTTTTTTTTTTTTAACTAGAAGGTAGATGCAGTTACTATCTTTGCTTAGACTTTTTCCTCTGGCTTTTTTCCAAGACTTTCTTCTATTTTCTGTGGTTCAAAACCATTATGTGTAGTGTTGGATTTTGGCACTGTTTTCTTGGTGGACCTGAGCTTGGAAGAAAAAGAAAAAGAAAAAAAACCCAAATCAGAACAAATCCTTTCTTCCTCCCTCCAGATCTTGGACTAATGTCCTCACTGCACCCTCAGCCCCCGGTAACCACTGTTTTATTTGTTTGTTTGGAGCAGAGCTGAGGATGGAATACAGGCCTTCCACATGCTAGGCAGCATTCCTCCACTTCCCACCCATACAGCTTTCTTCCCTGTGGTCTCACCACTCCCAGCCGTCATTTATGTGAGCCTGTCAGGGCCCCTACGGCTCTTTGTTTGAGATGTATTGCTGTCCCCAGCTATCTATTTGGTACTCTGGAAAAGCAGTTGAAGAGACTGCAATGTGATCTGCAGAGCAGGAGAGGCCTGAGCTTTCAAAGCGTGGCCTCATGCTCAGTGCCCAGATCCTGCCCTGATGCTGAGCCGTGAGTATGTCAGGCATGGCCTTGGCTGAGGTTTGTGTGCCTCCCTCTAGGCTCATCAGATTCAGGAGATGTTCCCCCAGGTTCCGTACCACCTCGTGCTGCAGGACCTCCAGCTTACACGCTCTGTCGAAATAACAACAGACAACATCTTAGAAGGACGGATTCAAGTACCTTTTCCCACACAGGTAAAACCAGGGCTGGCATTGTGACAGACTCTGTTTTCACAAAGATCAAATCCTACAGATTCACTTTTTGGTTACTTTCATAACTGAATGTAATTTATGTATGATACAATGAAGAGGTTCTGTAAAGACCTTCACTTTGCCCCAATAATGAGAAGAGACCCACTGGTACAGACACAGATATGCACATCAAACCAGCCTGCCCTCGCCAGTCTAGTAGGTGATGTCTTGGCTCCTGCTAGGAAGGGATTGACAACTTTTCATGTACGGGGCAGATCATGATTATTTTAGGCCCTGGGACTATTTAACCCAGCTAAAGCAGCCATGGATAAAATGAGTACATGAATGACCAAGACTGTAGTGAAATGATTTCATCAAGCTAGGAGGAAAGGCGAGTATGGCTCAGGTCTGTGGTGGTGGAGCTCCAGGCCAGCAGGTATTGGCACCTGTCCCTCCCTAGGGGGTGTCGAGTCGGTTAGCTACAGTTCATATTTCTCTAGACTTTGCTTTTTTTAAAAAAGAAAACAGCCTAATCATCTGGCTATAAGAAATGTTAACTAGACAAGCTTTCTGACAAGCCTTTATATTTGACCAGGGAATAGTATGCCAAAAAATATTCATTTTCAGTATGCAAAAATATTCCGAAATCTACCAATAAACTTTCTAGGGTTGAGTCTGGAGAGGCTGAGATTGTAGCCTGTGATGTTGGATGGGCTCAGGTGTTAGCTCTGGGTCCCCAGTGTCACTGTTGGACCTGACTGCTGTCTGGCAAACTTACTTCATGTAGCCAGAGAGAGACCATGGGGAGTCCCATGGAAACTGGCCTGTAGGTCTTCACAGGCTAAAGTGAGAATACCACACTTTGCGTTGTAGGTGTTAGGAAAGCTAATGTGATGGTGTTGCCCAGGCTGTCAGCTTCACCCAGTGTTGGTTGCCTGTTGTCATTAGTTTTGTTATGCACTGCCTATTTTTTGTCAGTGGTGGTGGTCATGAGGCATGAACTCAGGGTCTGGGCTCTGTCCCTGAACTCTTGCTCAAGGCTAGTGCTCTACCACTTTGAGCCACTGTAACTCTTCTGGTTTTCTGATGGTTAATTGGAGATAAAAATCTCATGGCCTTTCCTGCCTGGGCTAGGTTCGAACAGTGATCCTCAGATCTCAGCCTCCTGAGTAGCTAGGATTACAGGCGTGAGCCACCAGCACCTGGTTAACTTCGTATTCTTGAAAGAAGAACTGAAGGTGGAGCCAGTTGCTGAGTCTCAAATCTGAAACTCTAATTTACGCCTCAGGCTTCTTTGTCTTGCCTTTAATTGTTCTTTGGTGCTGTGGTGCTGTGAGTTTCAGGCTATGTTGGGGCTATAGCTCCTTGTGTGCCTCAGGTTTTTCCCGTGTGTGTTACCTCATTTTGAGTGACCTTGCTGTCTCTCTTTCAGCGGTCAGATAGCATTAGACCTGCACTGAACAGCACAGTGGAAAGGCCCAGCACTGACCAGGAGGCGGGAGAAGCCTCTGCGCAGGTGAGAGCGGTGCAGTGAGGGGTGTGGCAGCTGGGGGGCGCCATGGCTCTGCTGGCGCTGACCTTTGTCAGGGGCAGACGTAGGAGAGAAGGCCCCATCTGCCCTGTCTGCCTCTCTGCCAAAGTTCCAAATTGAACTCAGCCAGTGGCGGGTCTATTTCCATCCTAGTCTTCAACCTGCTCTAGGCACTGCTGCTGGGCCAGTCCAGTTCCATGGAGCTTGAGGGAGAACACATGAAGGGCAGAAGGAAGCTGTCCTGGGCATCAAGGGGCTGGACCCAGCCAGACTGGGATGGGGTGGACTGGGTGCTCCCTAGGGGGCGGAGGCCCCCAAGTCACCATTGCTCATTCGTCTACTTCCTGTGTATTTTGCAAAAATCCAAACCTCCTGATCTGGGTGGGATGGGAAAGTAGATATCCCTTTTGGCCTTGTGGCCACGAAGTGGCTGCCTCCCTCCCTTGAGCCCCACAGCTGGGCTCCAGGCTCTTGGCCCTCAGCTGTAGTGCCGATGTGCTTCATACATGGCCACACTTCCCCCGTGCTTCCTTAGGACAGTAAGAACGTAAAAGTCAAACATCCCTACCCTTGCGCTTTTGTGGTTAGGGCTTCCTATGTGTGAGGCTCCAGTCAATGGCCACGCTGCCTTCTTCCTCTCAACGGGCTGTGCTCTTCTGGAAGCTGTGACTTCCACTGACAAGTGACGGCATGGCTGGCATCCCTGAAAACAGGAAACCATAAAGACCACTCAGACTTGGGCTGGCTCTTGATGAGCAGCCTTGCCTTTCTGGCGACATATTCGTCCTCCAAGCGGTCCTTTGGGGCTGTCAGTCTTCAGTGCCTCCAAGTTGTCCTTACAGGCGAGCCGCTCGCAAAGCCTCCGGACACACACATGGCTGCAGCCAGTGGGTGTGGCACTTGCTCCAGCACAGCCTCTCCCGGCACTGTTTCTTATCTTCTACGGAGTTTCTTCTAGATGTCTTAGCTATGTACTCATCAGTCTACGTGTTCCTAAGCTGTGGCTCCCCTCATGACTCTCATAGTCCTCTCTTGGGCTTGGCTGAAGGCAGGGAGAGCAGGAAGTGAGGGAGGTGACAGCACAGCATCCATCCCCAAGAACTCTTAAATGACACAGCCTCCCTGCTTCGTGGTGGGCTGGCGGTGAGCTGCCACTGCCTGCTGGGTCTGTGTCAGGGAGCACAAGTAGCACAGATGACTGGGTATCTTCTTAGGGATTTGGGGTACCTGGGCATCATCATGGCCTTTGGAGTTTCAGCCCAGATCAAGAATATATCTCATTTTAACACAGGAAACACAATTCATTATGTCTGCATTTTTTAAAAAAGATTTTTCTCATTTGCCCTTTCAGCCTGTGTGCCTCTGTTTTCAAAGTGAGGGTATAAAATTGGTGCAGTAGATGTGCTTAGACATGTTTAAAATCCTGAACAATTAGAATTGAACAGAAATCTCCCAGATGCAAATTGGCTGACTACTTTGTTGTGTATTACTAGATTATAGCTTGAAGTGCTTAGGGTTCTGTACTAGCAGTCATTTACTCACTGAGCATCATGATCTTAGGGACACATAAGCCATTCTCAGCAGGCCTGCCCCCCTGAGTCAGGTGTCCATGGTACAGATGTTTGAGGCACCTAGCTTTGGCTTTCTGGCCGGCAGCAGCCCTCATGTTCCGGAAGGAGCTTGCAGAGGGGATTCTGCTTAGATATGCGTCTGTACTCATAACTGCCACCCTCCCTCCAGACCGAACGTGTGCCACTGGACCTCAGCCCTCGTCTGGAGGAGACCTTGGACTTCAGCGAGGTGGAAGTGGAGCCCAATGAGGTGGAGGACTTTGAGGCTCGGGGCAGCCGTTTCTCCAAATCTGCCGATGAGAGACAGCGCATGTTAGTGCAGCGTAAGGACGACCTGCTGCAGCAGGCGCGGAAGTAAGTTGATTCTCCAGCCCCCGGGCTGGACTCCAGGTCAGAAGCAGTAGCCGCTGGATGCTTTCACAATGGGCCCACATCTTTTTAAACACAATGATTTCAAACCTGTCTTGAAATAACAGAATCTGGCTGTCAGTGCGGCTCGTACCTTCCAGTGGCTGCTAACCTCTGGTGGCTGGCGCTTCCAGTGGCTGCTAACCTCTGGTGGCTGGCGCTTCCAGTGGCTGCTAACCTCTGGTGGCTGGCGCTTCCAGTGGCTGCTAACCTCTGGTGGCTGGCGCTTCCAGTGGCTGCTGGTGGCTTGTCTCCTGAGCCCGCTGCAGCCACACTTGCACAGGTGGCACTTACGTGCCAGTGTGTGAATTCTTCATTCTCTTAACTCAGAGAAGGATCCCTGACATGCCCATGTGACAGTTGTTTCTCTTTAAGAATCTGGGGTTTAGGAGAGGCGACTACTAGCCTGGGTCTGGCTTTCAAGTCTTCCCCCTTTGACCACCTGCCCTTAAGGCCAACAGCATGAGCCCACACTGCCCACCTGAGTGCCACTGTCCATGCAGCCTGAGCCTGAAGCATTTCTCTGGTTGGACTGACACTTCTCATTTCAGTTCTAGAGGACAGGGCCAGTGACCTGCTCATCGGGAGGTTTGTGTTCTACACACACCTGCAGCTGAGGGGCTGGGCTGTGACTGTGGAGGGGATAGACACCGGAGAGGGGCCCGAATAGCCGGTGATGGGCCTCTCCGTGGCGCATGGGTGCATCTGCCCAGAGCAGTACCCTTTACTTCCATTTGTTTTCATTTTTGCAGTGCTAGGATGAACCTAGGCCTCTGGCTTGCTGGGTAAGCTCTCCACTGCCGAGGCCCACCCCAGCCCACATGGAGAGGCCACAGCCGTTTCCCACGGGCTGGTGCTGAGCCCAGCTTGTTGGAGGCGCCTGGAAAGGACACGTAGTTCCCTCCACCGGCCCACCTCTCCCATGGGGCTTTTTTTTTTTTTTGTAGGCGATTCTTGAACAAGACCTCTGAAGATGACTCAGCCTCTGAGAGCCTCCTTCCTTCAGAGGGCACGTCCTCCGACCCTGTGACCCTGCGCCGGAGGATGCTGGCTGCCGCTGCTGAACGGAGACTTCAGAAGCAGCAGACCTCCTAGCGTCCCTCCCTTCTCAGCTGCCTCCTCCCGAGCCCAGGGCCAGACCAGAAGAGGCTGGCCTGGGTTCCACCTGCCCTAGACTCGGGCTCGACTGCATTGCCGCTGTATAAAGCATGTGGTCTTAATAGTGTTTGGACAGCTGACAAGTAATCCTCCTTTGTAATACTTTCTATGTGACGTTTCTCTTCCCTTAGAAACACTGCACATTTTAACTCTAGGCATGACCTCTTCTGGCCTTGACTGGACTTCATGGGGGCGGGGCACAGGGGAGGGCAAGTGGTCGACCACCGCCCTCAGCAGCACCTTCCATTACTGCCTTGTCCTAACTCACGGCTGATGCTGGCACCTTGGCATCTCAGGAAGTGTGTGTGTGCCCGACAGCAGTGACGAGGGGCACGGGATCCCACCGCCTCCCCCCAGGACACCATCGGCAGCCAAATGCTCTCCTTTGTGAGCAAGCATCAGAATGTTCCAGAGGCCAGACCTGCAGGTTCCTGAACCTCAGAGTCAGCAGGGCATCTTCTATAAAGAATTTCTGGTTTGCTCCTGGAGCTGAAGGAGCGGGGACTTCAGAGTGAGAGATCGTTTTCCATCCTGACATTGGACTAACCGAGCCCCACCTGCAGCTGGGTTTGCTTCAGTTCACGCTGGTGCTCCAGCATTGCACATGCTCCCCCAGGGGTCTCCTCCTCTCCTCCCGGCTTTCTTCCCGCCCCCTGTGAATATGAGAAGAGGTTAAGCAGCAAACTTTGGTTGTGGTTTTAATTCATTGGTAAACTAAAAGAGGCAGCGCCAAAGCCTGTGGGTTTGGTCCTTGGAGAAGATGTGGGCCTTGTGAGAGGGCAGAGTACGTTTCGGAGGGCGCTGTTGGGGAAACAAGGTTCCTTGTTCTGCCCTGGAGCTTTTTCCTGCAGGTTCGATTAGACATAGAAAAACAAGGTGTGGAACCACATGCAGTGAGCAGACTAGATCCCATCTCTCCAGTTCTTCGCAGTTAACTTCAAGGGTTTGAGCCACAGTCCGAGGTCACACAGTCAGTTTTATGTCCCATTGGATTTTTTTTTTTTAATGTTTGAAAGCAAGTTTTATGGTAGTCTTTTTGGGAAGAATCCAGTATTACCTAAAATGATTGGCAAAGTAAAATGTATTTTAAATAACTGGAAGATTTTAGGATTTTGACAATTGAGAAAAAGGATGATAGGTAAATATGTAGGCAGAGATAATTTATTTCAATAAATCTTTCAAAAGCCTTACCTTGAAATGCCATTAGTAAGTTTCTGTGATTTTTTTGAAAGTTGGTTTTGTTTTGCTGAGAGCTTTTGTTTTTATTGTAAGACAACAATAATAAAAAGCAAACTCTTGTAGCGTGTTGTGTGCAGCTGGAGCAGAGGCAGCGTCTTGCAGAGATGCTGACATTGAAATTCAGCCTGTCTGCCATTTGGGTTTGATAGTTTTTTAACTTTCTGAGCTAGGGAGTCTTGTTTCTTGTTTCACACGAAGGCAGTGCCTTGTGTCTACCTGTATGCATCCAGGTAAGTAGGGAAGATGCTCATCTCACTTTCATGAGTTACATTGTACTTTGCATCTGCACACAATTACAAGGTTAACATTAATTGTACGTGTTCTTCCGTGTCAGATATGCCAAGAGAAACACTGATTGCAGTAATGATCAGGCACAGGTTTCTTAAATGGCTTAAAATGTCCCAGGAGTTTCCAGGTTTTATTCCACCTGTGCAGCTAAGGATTCTGAGTATTACGAAAACTATTCTCTATTCCCCCCCCCCCCCCACCCCAACTGCCAGTGCTGGGGACTTGAGCTCCAGGCCTTGCACTCTCAAATGGCTTTTTTCTTTTCCCACTGCTTCTTGGGGGAAGTGCTAAGGACAGGGCAGTGACATAGGGACCTTCTTCATACTTCCTTCACTGACCCAGCTGGCTGCAGGGTTACGCAGCCTTGCCTTGTGCCCAGCCCTACAACATTGGGCTTCTGGGAGCAGACAGAACCCAAGGCTGGGGTAGGATCTTTCATTGACCTTGTTCTTCACCTCCCCCTTCAAATCTTGAGGCTTTATGCACCAAAGAAATGATGCTTATGGGGGCTGGGAAGGTGGCTCAGTGGTAGAGTGCTTGCCTTGCATGCATGAGGCCCTGGGTTCGATTCCTCAGCACCACATAAGCAAAAAGAAAAAAGCCAGAAGTGGCGCTGTGGCTCAAGTGGTAGAGTGCTAGCCTTGAGCTGAAGAGCTGAGGGACAGCGCCCAGGCCCAGAGTTCAGGACCCACGACTGGACCCCCCCCAAAAAAAAATGATGCTTATGGGCTGGGAAGGTGGCTGAGTGGTAGAATGCTTGCCTTGCATACATGAGGCCCTGGGTTTGATTCCTCAGCACCACATAAGCAGAAAAAGCTAGAAGTGGCACTGTGGCTCAAGTGGTAGAGTGCTAGCCTTGAGCTAAAGAGTTCAGGGCCAGTGCCCAGGCCCAGAGTTCAAGCCCCATGACCGGCCAAAAAACAAAGGAGTGATGTTTATGTGGCAGCTTTCACTGGAGTTGTGAATCCTGGGTGCTCGGAGGGCCTCCTGGGCCTGCCTCCCCACGGGTGCTGGGACAGGAAGAGAAGGTGCAAACGAGGGAAGCAGCGCACGTGCTGCTGCGACCCGTGGCCTTGCAGCAGGGGCCGTGTCATGGAGTTGCTCCTGATCTGTCTGCCCTGGAACGCTCTTGGTACACCTGCTTGCTATTGGATTAAGCAATATTTCTGATCTGGCTGCATGTGAAGAGCCACTTGTATAGCATTAAAAAAGTAATAATAATGTAGGCTCTGCCCACACACTTCTTGTCCTACTTTATCTTTTCTTTGTATGCTTTCCAAAAGATGTTTCCTAACTTTCCTCCAAAAAGATAACGCAGTGCTGTGAAACTCAGTGGTAGAGAACTTGCCTAGCATGTATACTAAAATTGGAATGATACAGAGAAGATTAGCATGGCCCCTGCACGATGATGACACGCAAATTTGTGCAGCATTCCATATCTGCAGTGTTGCCTAGCATGTATGAAGTCCTGGATTCCATGCCCAACACGGGCAGGGAAGAAGAAAAATAAGGCCAAGACACTTGTGTTTATTTTACCTACAGAACTCATTTGGAAGTTGGGAAAGGAGCTGTGTGGGTGGCTCATGTCTGTAATCCTAGCTACTCAGGAGGCAAGCAATAGGATCACATATTACAAGACCAACTAGGGCCAAATGTTCACAAGACACCCCCCACAGCCCCCTCCCCCCATCTAACTAATAAAGTCAGTGCAGTTTTGCTTATAGCAAAACAAGGTACATTAGGGGAGCAGTGGTAGCCAACAGCCTGGAGAGAGCTCAGAGCCCATGCCCCAGTCTGGGCCACCTGGTTCCTTCTTTGCGTTTGGCCTGCAGGAAGGCAAAGCTGTGGGAAGTCTTCCTGGCTAATGTCCTAAGCTTGTCCTCAGCAAAGGAGTGGATGACTGACACCACCCCAACGCTGCACAGAGGTTTCAGGCCACGTGACCTTAGAAAGTGGGTAGAGAAAACAAGAAGGAATGGCTGACCCTCCCTCCACTTTTCCCTTCCTAGTTTTCAGTTCCACCAGGAGCTGACAAAAGCAGCAGAGTGTGAAGAGTGGGGAGCCAGAAGGAAGAGGCCATCTTGGGGATGGATGGTGCTCTTACAATCCCACCCACGGCTCCCCTGCTGGCAGGAATTCTAGTGGGAGGCCTTACCCATTAGCTTCCAAGTGTTTGTGGCCAAGTCAAGCCCCTCCTTCCCTTTGCTGCCCACCCCAAGTAACAAGTAATCGTCGCCTGCAAGGCAGAGGGTGAGAGACTCCAGTACAGACAAACATTCTCTTTATTGAGCTACACATGAATTTTTCAATTAGAGAAGTAGACTGGCAGTGTGTAAGATAATCACAGAAACCTCACCGATTGGGAATAGAAAGGCTTAGAAAGACCCGTGGGCTTTTTTTTTTTTCTTTTGTGTTTTCAAGTTTTTTTTTCTGTATTTTTAATTTTTTTTGTGTTTTATCTTCTTGCCTCCTCTTTATTGGGAATGGCTGTGACTGGTTTTCAGCAAATATTATTTTTAAAAGTGAAACTGTGAAGAGGTCTGGGATTGGATACTAGTCAAGTAGAAATGACATAGGACTGATCATGAAAATGGTGGCTTTAATGTAAACACTACATTCCATCATTTTAATTTTGTGTGTGTGTTTTTCCATCTCGTGGTATTTAAAAACTTTTTTTGTTCTTTTTTTTTTTTAAATCTGCAGCACAAACATCCCCACAGGAGAGAGAGAGATAGGAGAGAGAAAGCGGGGGGGGGGGGGGGGGGGAGGAGGACACAGATCACTGAAACAAAGGAAAATTGGGCACACACATGGGGGAAGGACTTCTGCCTGAAAGACTGAGATGCAAAGGAAAAAAACCACAACCCCATTTCCCAGAGCCCATGAGAGCTGATGTGTCTATGTGATACGCAGTACTCATCAGGACAAAACAACAACAACAAAAAGAAACACAAAAATGACCAGGGGCATTTAGGAGGTCAGCAGGGTTTTTACAGGGTTAAGGATCTGTAGATGACAAGGGTTCTTTTTGGCAGCTACTGGCCAGAGCTGTGCTTTTGCTATACAAACTTGGAGTGAGGGTGGGGCTGGGGTGGCGGGGGGCTGGGAGAGCAGGCCTGCCATTGCTTGGTGTATCTGTGGTATCTGAGTAGCTGACAGGCTCGGGTTTACAGTGGCCAGTGTGGCCTTCTGGAAAGCCCAGCCCCAGTGGGCTCCCACCAGCATCAATATGCCATCCAGGAGCTCCTGGCCACAGGTGCGCCCAGCACCTCTGGCATGAGCTGGGTTGGGGAGAGCATGAGTGCTAATGTGTAGGCTTATTTCAAAATCAAAAGAAAAATGCATGAAATGGTGAGTTTTCCTTTTTCCTTTTTCTTTAAGCTACAAAGCACATGAGAAATGTGTGTGTATGTGTTTAATCCTTTCAAATTCTAAATGTAAAGACTCAACTAAAACCAGATTCTACAGCATTCTACAGAAATACACAGCCGTCAGTCACTCTGGGGTCGTAGGTTAGACAGGGGCTTGATACAGAAAGGCTGTGTGTCTTACAAAGGTCATGCTACCAGGAGATCAACGTCAACAGCAAAGAGTCCATGAAGCAGTCTGTAGAGAGAGAGATAAGGGGTCCAGTCGGACCATTTTCCTTGATTTCAACAACCAACCAACCAACCAAAAACCCTAGGACGTTTTAACTAAAGCTGGGATAGGGCCTGACGAGAGATCAAGAACCCTGGTGAAGATGCCCCAGGCAACCTCATTTAGGGGATGGTGATTCTGGTCAGATCTGTGAGACTGGCCTCCTCTTGGCCAGTCCTGACCCATTCTCTTCCCTCTCCCCTGTGGCCTCTTGGAAGGGAGCTGGCTTCAACTTCGAAGGTGGGTTTAAGCCATGACTCACGGGTTCCCTCCCCTCAGCTGTTTGAGAAAGCAGACCAAAGCTCCTAGATCTCTTAATTTTTCCTTGTTCCCACAAATAACACTCAGGAGACAGTGGATTGATCGGAGCAAAGATTCTTCTAAATTCTTGAAATTAACAACCACCACCACCACCCAAAAGAGAAAGATCCTTTAAATTTTTTTTTTTTCTGTTGTAGGGATAGGGTAGGGAAATATTTAGGGCATTGGCCATTTCTTAAAGGGTTTGGGGACTGGAACGGGAGCAGAGCAGAACTGAGAACCTCAATAAGTAGAGTACAGAGAAGGAGCAGGCTGGACACAGCCAGGCCTCCCTCTGTCTGGCCCCTGTTCCCAGACTTATGGCAAGTCAGACCCTGGGGCTGTTCTTCAAAAGATGGACTCCTAAGCCACGCTCCACCTTAACAGTGGAAAGCAAGTGTGCAAGTGCATGTGTGGTCCCAGGAACGCCCCCGGATGAGCTGAGCTATGGAATGGTGGTCAGTTCTGTCTGCAGCTCTTGTGAGTATAAACTAAAAAGAATTTTCTAATATATATTTGTGTATATATAAGGTTTTGTTATGCCTCTTTAAAGTTTATGACCAACTTGCATTGGTTAGTGGTGTGGTGGTGGTGTGTATGTGTGTGTGTGTGTGTGTATGTGTGTGTGTGTGTATGTATGTGTGTGTGTATACACGCAAGCTGTTCTGTGAGTGCTGGAATCATTACCAAATAGGTTGCTATACAGGACAAGAGGTCAGTACAA